TTTTAGTATTTTTATTACTTATACAAACTCCGCTTGAGATGGTCGAAGCTCGACATTGGCTGCATCACGGGGCCATCTCGATGGGGGACCCTGGTTTTCAACAGGAACGGGCCGGGATGCTTTGCCCGGTCCGAGAACGGATATGAGACGACTCATAGGAAGAAGTAAGAGAGACGAGATCATAAAGAAGCTTGGTTGGAGTCATACTTGAGCTCCTTCAATCGGATACTCACCCGTTCTCGCCAACCCAACATCCCCAAGCTCCTCCTCGACAAAACCACGAGATGCGAGATCCAGGCACCATCAACTGTCGCGTGAGATGCCGCGCCGTAACAACGTGCTCCACCATGACGGGCCTCACGATTCTCCCACTTGCCATTGCGGGCAACACGGTTACCATTGCAGGCAACTCCCAAAAAACCACCTCCTCCACAGACGAAGATGGGTTCCCGTTTTATCCCCATGATGGGGCTCCATCGTTCGACAATCTCGCCTCGCACCCCCCGACAACCCGCTGCACCGGACCTCGACGACCACGCGGACTGGTTGACTACCAACTCGTTTGTCTTTATGTAGTGTCACAAAGAGCTTGTTCTGACATGAACCTTTTAGCTTGGTTGTTTCTTTTGGGGACTGCGATAAGATATTTAGATCCGGGGAGATCTTGCCGTGAGAGACTGCATGAACTGACCTTTTCAACTTTTTCTGGAGTCTCATGTTTAGGCACTAGCGGCTATCATCTCGGGGCATTCTATCCGTGAGGTTCTTGAACCAGGTCTTGAACATAACTGTAGGTGCTGACACATAATAGCCGGGAGTTGTCGTTGGTGTTCTCAGACCAGTTTCCTCTTGAGTACAGTTCTTCCTTGTAAACTTGGGCAGCCTTCACACCATGTCCATGTCCTGTCTGATCGAGTGTGTGTGTTGGGAAACGGCCCAACCGATCGGAAGACGCAAGCCTCCAACGCTCTGGCCAGAACCTCACACCACTGAATAGCCAAGAGGAAAATTCGATCGTCTCAGGAAGAGGACACGCGATTTGGCATGCATCAGGGGGTCAGCTACAGACGGCAGCACATTATTGATTTCAATACGAAGGCGACGTTGCGATCGACATGGGATGTCCAAGGTATTTTGCAGCACTGCAACCAAACAATCCTGTTTCACAGCATTTTGCAGAGGGCAACTAGTCTGAGGCCTTGGACGTTATTCCCGGTCCAGCTATTAATCCCGTGACAAGGGAGGGCACACGGACTGGCAACCAGTGCTGCATCCACTGCCGGAGAGAAGGGTCAAGTCGTGATGCCTTTGGATAGGTTTGTTGCGGTTATCTGTATGTAGGTGTTTGTTGAAGGCGATACTGACGAACCAACGCTATATTGCTGCAGAGCTGTTATCAGATCGATACACCAAGGAAATAGTAACAAGAAACATGTCGCGTTCGGTTCTCATCACCGTGGGACGCGTCCTCCGTCTCTGGCGCATCTTGGCTGGTGGACGTTAGGCGACCTGCATCCGTCAACCGACACAAACGCTCTTGCATGTTGTGCTTCTGCATGCCGCTCAAACAACGGCGAGATGAGACACGGCCCAAGAATGAATTCTATCCATCGCAAACAACTCTTCGCAGTGTATCATCAGGAGATTGGCATTCGGCTCCACGGCACCGGACGAGCCTCTAGCGGCGTCTTGGACTCGGAACCTGCACGCAACCAGCGCCAGATTTTCAGCTCCTCATGCTCTGTAGGTACAGGGGGATGGCCAGAGCCGAGACCTCTGATTCGTTAGACGGTACCTGCTCGATTGCGCTAAACCCAATGCCGCTATGGTTTCTCGTTTTAGGGTAATTGCCGTGCTTGGGAGCTGGCGCCTCAATGACCTCATAGAGTCGGGCCAAGGTGAAGAAATGTCTTGGAGTTTGTCTTGGGAGGTAGGAGCGACCTTGTTGACACCCCGCCAGGTACCGATTAATTAGGCTCGAGGTCATGATCTTTCTGTTTGCCAAGGGAGAGCGTCACAACTTGGATCTTGCAACCTCCATCATCGTTCAATCGATTTAATCGACAATTGATGCTTCAGCATTGATTTAAATCACGTCGCCTTTCTGTATTCGACAACCCTGCGCCGATCATCGTGATACCCTCTGTTTAGCTGTGCGACAGCTTCATCGATAGGCGCCGTCATCATGGGCGAATCCGATACCTACTATAACCCCAACCAGCCGGCCAACGGTCAATATTCCAGTGCCGGCTACCAACAGCAATACCAACCTCAACCGCCACCTCCTTCTCATCCCCAATACCAGCAGCAACCGCAGCAACAGCCATACCAACAAGGACCCCCTCAGAATGGAAATGGCTACATGCCCGCCCAGGGTTACGATGGAGGAGAGAAGGCGTCATTTGAGCAGCAATTCAAAGTTCCCAAGCCCAAGTACAATGATCTTTGGGCCGGTATCCTCGTATGTTGACCATCACCCCCAAACATGCGAGCATCATCTAACTCTCTAGCTCATCTGTGTCTTTATCGGTTTCGTAGTCGTCTCGGGTCTCACTCTTCAGGGATACGCCGCCAACCGCGGAAACGCTGGCTCTGGCATTTACGGCAACCGCAACGACTTTTCTCTCAACACGAGCACCATCATTCTGTTCATGTTTGTCCTCGCCGTTGCCTTTGTCTTTTCGTACGCGTACATCTGGCTCGCACGGCTCTTTCCCAAGCAGTTCATCTGGGTCACTGGAATTCTCAATGTCTGCTGGGCGCTCGGAACCGCCATCTTCTACCTCTGGCGCAAGTACTGGTCTGCAGGCATCGTCTTCCTCATTTTTGGTCTGTTTATGGCCTTTTGCTTCTATACATGGATCTCGCGCATTCCATTCTCGGCTCTCATGCTTAGGACGACTATCGATGTGAGCAAGAAGTATGGCCATGTCTACCTGACCAGTCTTATCGGAGGACTGATTGCGACTGCTTTCGCCGCCTGGTACTCGATTACTCTCGTCGCTATTTACGTCAAATACCAGCCCGCCGACGACAACCCGTCATGCAGTGACGGAGGCTGTAGCCAGGGCAAGGTCATCGGCCTCCTTGTCTTTGTCACCTTTGCCATGTACTGGATATCAGAATGGCTCAAGAACACGATCCACACAACCATTGCTGGTGTCTACGGATCTTGGTACTTTTGCCCTCACAACTTCCCCAAGGATGCCACACGCGCTTCTGCCAAGCGAGCCTTGACGTACAGCTTTGGATCCATTAGCCTGGGCAGCTTGTTGGTTGCCATTGTTCAGTTCCTCCGTCAACTCTGCAATGCCGCACGAAACCAGGAGGCATCAGATGGTAGCATCATCGGGTATGCCCTGTTCTGCTGCTTCAGCTGCTTGCTGGGACTCTTGGAATGGGCAGTCGAGTTTCTCAATCGATACGCCTTTTGCCATATTGCCTTGTATGGCAAGTCGTATTTTGCGGCTGCTAAGGATACTTGGAAGATGATCAAGGACCGTGGTATTGATGCTCTGATCAATGTGAGTTTGTTAAGCCCCTATTCCAGAACTATTGCTAATCTGTGCAGGACTGTCTCATCGGTCCCGTCCTCTCGTTTGGTGCCCTGTTCATCGCCTATGCCTGCACCCTCCTTGCGTACCTCTTCCTCTACTTCACCGACCCTGCCTATAACCGCGATGGTGCTTATACTCCGGTGGTGATGGTCTTTTCCTTCCTCATCGGCTTCCAGATCGCAAATATCTTTACCACACCCATCTCGAGTGGTGTCGATACCATCTTTGTCGCCGCTGGCTGGGATCCCCAGGTCATGTGGCGCGATCACCCTGAGTTGTATCAGGAGATGTGCCGAGTGTACCCCAAGGTTCAGCAGGTTATCCGTGACCGTTGAGCTTGAGTAGTAATATGGAACTATGGAATAGTAACGGGTTGGGTTTGAATGATACCATAAAAGTGCTGGTGGAGGACTGTTTTTTGGGTTGGGGGGGTGTGTCGTTGTCTTTGTATGCTGAAGCGGCGACGACTGGTTGTGTAGATGATAATCAATAATTAGCAGACTCTACAAGAGGTCTACTTGTTCTGGCCCGACCCTCCTTTGGGATCCTCCACACACATCCTCCATCTGCCCGTGTCTAATTCGGCGCCGGGATAGCAGTGACATGAATAGGCCTCTCCCTCGATCCGAGATAATCGATATAAGCCGGCAGAGCCACCTTGATTGGAGTCTCCTGGTTGCCCTTCAAGACGATGCCGTGGTTTGGATTCGTCATACGCTTGAACTCTGCGAGGACGAGGGCGAGGATGACGACGAGACCGGCGAGGAGGATGACGACGAGACCGGCGAGGAGGATGACGGCGAGGAATTGGAGGATACGATCGAAGCGAGAAGGGGAAGACATATTGATGAAGGAGTTGTATGTTGGTTCGTAGGAGATGGGAGTTAAAGAAGACGGATGCGATCGAGGTTGAGGTTGACAAGAGCTGTCGTTAGTTAGGAATTGAACTTTATGGGAAGTCGAAGTAAATCAGTGGTTGATGTCGACCGAGAGTCAAACCCTGGATCGAGCAAGCCACTCTTACTCAAGAGCAAGCAAACAAGGAACAAACCCCTCCCTTACCATTAAGCATGTTAGTCCAGACAAGCTACAGTAGTCCAAGCCCAACAGACAAGGGTATGCCTCACGATGTGTTGAGCTGCACGTCTAGCACCCAATAAGACTGAGGGAGGCTTGATTATGCTTAACAACAAGTGTGGTAGCACGGGCTATTCATAGATGGAGAGAAGATGGGTTCTTTTGGTCCAGATCCAGGCAACTAAAAATAAAGGATGGTGGTATTTACAACAAAAGCAAGAAGCAAATAACAAATAATAATCAAGATCCAATACCCTTCCTTGCGGTAGCCTCAAACGCCAGTATCCCCAACACCATCAAATTCCCAAACAAGCTAGTTAGCAAGTTGCCCAGTAACTGATGCAATGCAAACAAGATGAGGTCTACTCATCGTCTTGGCTCCGCGGTCGCCCGTAGAAGCCTTTCTCGCGCTGCCTCGACAACACTCTTTCGTAGTGCAGGTCCTTGTACATCCTCGCCGTCGTCATCAGTGCCGTCATCCTTGATCGGCATAACTGCCCATCTTCTGGCTGAGCCTTGCATACCGGCCCAGAGATCAGTGGGTAGAAACTCCCCAACGTCTTGTCTAAACGTCTCACGAGATGCGCCGTCCTCCTTGAGCAGCTTGTCGACGTTGTCTTGGGCCTTGCGCCAGATGCTCCTGACCCGGTCGTCGACAGCGTGTCGGCGCTCAACCTCAAGGATCAAACTGTCGTAGGCGCTGGCATAGCGCTCGTAAAAGTCCTTGAGCTGGTGCATCTCCTCAAGCTTGGCATAGACGCCTTCCTTTTCCATTTCCCACCTTGTTCTAAAGTCTCCCTCGGCTGCAAGATAGTCGGCGAGTCGATCGCCGATGTCGCCAAGCATGGCATATGCATCTAGCATACTTGTATACGCTTTGGTCGACCTCTCGTGCTGCTCCTGCAGCACAGCATAGCCTTGCTCCATAGCCGCGAGGCGTTCTTGGATCTCTTGGACCACATCTTCCACCTCTCCGGCGTCTTGGATAACGACCTTTAGCATCTCTGCGCGATCCTTGGAGGTCTTGGGCTCAAGATCAGAGACATTGGATTCTTGTTCCGCAATGACTCCCGAGATGGAGACGCCGTCACTTCCTTGGGATTGTGTAGCCTCGGCGGCCCTTCTACGGGCGAGAGCAACACCACCCTCTGTAGTTCGGATCGCGGTGACGCACATGTCAAAGTGATGAGTCAATGACACCAGAAGCTGTGCCATGTTGGCTGAATGATCAACCAATATTTCAAGGAGCTCGCCCGTGGATGGATTTGTGTCGCTGGCGTCGCGTGACAGGCTCGGGGCATCGACGATGATCTTCTTGAGGCTGCGAATGTCGGTATCGAAACGGAGCAAGTCTCCGTCAAACGACTGCTGAATTGCCTGCGCCAAGTCAGCATTGAGATGCGACAACTTGGGATGGATTTGCCTACCTGTAGCTCTTGGATGCTCTTCTTCATCGTCTCGCGCATGCCATGCACGCCGCCTTCGTCGATGAAGTCGAGCAGAGTCCGTCTCTCCTCACCTTTAGGCCGAAAGACGCTTTCAACGCTGGTACTCTGGAGCATCTCCATGGTGTGCCCAAGCTCTCCATCAGCCAAGTCCATCGACTTGACCAACTTCTTAAAGTCTTTCTTGCCCCTGTCATATGTGCCTTGTAGGCTCCTCCGGACCCGCACGAGGATGGCAGCCTGGTCTAGTATCGACGTCCGTAGGAAGCCGGCCTGCGCTGCTAAAATGGCGACGTCTTCGTGCGACTGGCGGGCCACGGTAGCGATCTCGTTGGCGCGTAGTACAAGAGTCATAGAGGAGAGGGAGCGCTTAGCGACAAGCAGGTGATTGACGAGGGTGTCGATGGAAATGGACGGCATTTTGGGGTCGGCATTGCCGTCGTGCGTAAAAGATCGCGAGCGAGAATTCGAACCGCGCGAGTGAGAGTTTGAATGAGGATGCGAGTGTCTGGATGAGGCTCCAGAAGAGCCGTGGCTGCGTCGCAACGAAGCTGATGAGGAAGCCATGATTGCGGACAAAGTCGAACAGATGTGAATGGATTTGTGGGGGAGAAGGGTATCAAAGAGGAGATAAATGTCGGGAGATGATCCCGTGACTACATGATGGGGGAAAAGTTAAAGATGGACATGAAAAGAAGCGACAAAAGATAAGGTTGATAAAATGAAGAAGTATGTGAATGATGATGGGAGAGAGAAGATGGGAGCTTGATGGGCAATGACGGAACCACCGATAAGCTTCCGTTATCGCAGGACCAGAGGCAGGTGCATGTTGCGGCAGCACCTGCCTAGGCAGCTGACGCAGTCTCAGACCGGTGATAGCTGATAGCGCGGATTATGGGGACCTCGACTTGCCCTTTAGCGGCTTAGCGGCTGCCTCTCAGTGAGTCTAGGCGGTCTCTGGCGCTGATGTTTGGCGCTGTTTCAGCCTGGGCTGTTTGCAATTGGAATTTGAGGACTGGACGCACGTGGAATGGCGCCTCCATCCGCCCCCATCCCGTCATCTGAATCGTGTCTGTCGCAAGTCTCACTTGGTCATCACGTCAATTGAATACGCCAATTGTCATTGTATAATCGTCATTAATGAATTCATTCTTTAATATCGTTGCTTCGTTCCTAAGAGAATCCTTTCAAGGGGCCTATCCATCCTCGCTCATCCATCCAAAACACTAACCAAGAGCAAAACAAGCTAGCAGAAAATCACCCCCAATCCCGTGTACTTTGGGGTTTGGTATATCGGTCTTCTCTAAATCTTCTCTAGTCGCTCTTCAAAATGCAATCTTGCCATCACTTCATGGCCGATGCTCCAGCCGACGGTCAAACTCGTATGGCGTGGGAGCCGGAGAGTTCATCCGAGTTGTATCGGCCGAGTCAATGTGAAAGTAACTCTTGATGGTAGAGTTCTTCTCTCCGGTGGTCGTGACATCTTCAATCACTCCACCATCCTTGCGGACTACCGGAGGATAGAGCTTGTCATCCTCGGCCTTGTCCTTGGGAGCGTCCTTGTCATCACCAGCGCGGACACCGCCGGCGTTGGACTGGGCATTGTCAAGATCTGCCGCTCCCTTCTCACCCATGCCTCCTTCCAGAAGCTCGCCGCCCTCCATAACGGTACGGAGCTCTAGACCCTCATCCTTGGAGTAGACCCGGATGCCAACAATGCAGATGGCGTTCCATGGATCAGGCATACGCTCTTCCTCCGAGTCGTAGTCATCCACATGCACCGCCTGGTTCGACTGCGTGAGTCGTGGCTTGCGGGTCAGATCATCGCTGCTGTAGAGGGCCTCCCAGTCCTCAACGGGAGAGTCTGAAGACTCGCCTGCAGAATCATAGACAGGTTGAGGCCGGGTGGGCAGGGGCTCTTCCTCTTCAACAGGAGCTGGTGGAGGACCACTGACAGGAGGAACCTCCTGCTTCTCCTCGACCATGACAGTTGTGGAATCAATCGTCTTGGGGGTGAACTGTGGTGATCCAGTAGAGACTGACATGACGGCATCATCGGGGACCTGAGTCTCCTTCTTGTCGGAATCCTTCGAGTCCTGCTCGGAAGAATCCTTGCCGTCCTTGTCAATCACCACAGGCTCGTCCTTGTCGTCGGCTACCTGTTCTTTGGTAGCCTCGACTTCCTTGTCCTCAGACTTCTCCTCAGATTTCTCTTCGGATTTCTCCTCAGACTTGTCCTCAGGCTTGTCCTCAGCAGTTTTGCCTTCGACCTCCTTGTCTTCGACAGGCCTGTCCTCAGATTTCTCTTCAGACTTGGCTTCCTTGTCGTCAACGGCCTTCTCCTCAGACTTGGTCTCAGACTTGTCCTCAGAAGACTCCTTGGGCTTGTCATCCTCAGACTCGTCGTCGGCCTCCTCAGCCTTCTTCTCCGCTTCGACCTTCTTCACGGCCTCGGCCTTGGCGAGTCTCTCCTGCTTCAGCGCCTCTCTCTCGGCCTTGACTTTGGCGTTGAATTCCTCGTTAAGTCGGCACTGCTCAGCCTCCCACGCGGCACGTCGGCGGGCTCTCTTTTCGGCGTTCTTGGTCGACTGCTTCTTGGTAACGTCGCGGTTCACGTGGCGCTTCTCCCACATGCGGCGACGCTCATTTTGTCGGCATCCAGAAGCTTTCTCTTGATCCTTCTTCTGGCGGAGTTTGGTGACCTTGTCCATGTGGTCCCATGCCTTGCTGTGGGCCAGATCGTAGGCGTAGCCAACCTGGGCAAGCTTTTCATTCTCGACCCTGTCGACGCACTCGCGCTTCACGACGTCCTCGACAGAAGTGGCATTCGAGTCTCGCTCGCCTGTCACCTTGAGATACACAACGTAGTTGCCTGCAGGCAGGTCTGGAAGTTCCACAGACACCGACCGATCCATGAGATAGTTGCCGTGAGAGCGGACAATGTAGTCCTCGGCATTGGGGCTATCTTCATAGTGAAGTCGGAAATGCAGGCGGAATGAGTACTGGCCGTGGAGACCCTTGAAGTATCGTCCATCAAGCTGAGACAGTACCAGGCAAAGGGGCGAGTCCTTGGTCAACTTGATCTGGAACTTCTCGTGATACTCTGCCTTCCATGGCACATCGACTCCGATCCAGCGCTGACAGCATCGCCAGTCGCGGTCCCGGAAAAGCCTTGTGCGATCGAAGTGAGAGTACTTGCGAATGAGGTCCTCGTACGAGATCCAGAAGACAGAGTCGCTGCCAAACTTGTGGCCGAGCTCCTCCTGAACCTCGGTGGTCCACTCCTTGGAACCATCGCTCCAGGCTCCTTCCCAGATACCCTTGCGGACCTTGCCCCAAGGGTTTCGGAGCTTGACCAAGCGCTGACCGGACTTAAGTGTCCGAGCCTCCATCACAACGTAGGCATGCCCCTCCGAGATGCCGTTGCGCTCACCGTAGCCATGCTCTAGCAGGCCGGTCGAGGCACCGAAGAGAAACTCATCATTGACCCTGGACATTTCCTTGTCCCAGAATTCGTCAATGTCGAGAATGTCGGACGTCAGGAGTTCGGTGGTGACGCCACCCGAGAGATCTTCCAGACCCTCGCCGATCCAGCCGCCAGACAAGGACGCATAGTCGCCATGCGCCTTGGCATAGGCCTTCTCTACCAGTGGGACCCAAGTCTCGTTCTGATCCTTGCACTGGGCAAAGAAGAGGGCCTTGGAACCAGTCTGGTAGGTCTTTCGGTATACGTTCTCAACATCTTCGCGGTCAATCTGTTGCAGGAGATCTCGCTGCATGCTGGGAGAGTCCCAGCATGGAGACTTGAGATAGAGCTTGTCGTCAATGATGGAGTAGATCCACTCTCCGTCTCTGTAAAAGACGAAGCCGTAGATTCCAATCTTAGTGTTGTAGGCGACGCAGATGCGCTTGAGCCCATCCGGAACATTGGAGAGGGCCGTCAGACCCGCCATGATCCAGCAGTCGCCCAGACTTCCTTGCTTGACGTCACCACCGTTCACATCCTTCATGAAGGTGGGATTCTCGAAGATCTCGTGAACTCGCTTGACAGCCTTGGGGACAGAGGCCTTGGAGCTGAGAAGAGTCGTTCTGTTGAGTTCAAATTTTTGTGAGCCGAGAGTATTGAGACAATTGCCCTTCTCGTACTTGAGATCCCAATCCTAGCCAATCAGTTAGCGTCGCGTTCTACAACACATCATCTGAATAAACTTACCAAGTCCCAACCAGGATCCCGATATCGCATATTTACGCGCTTGCATTCTTTGATGATTTTTTCCACCTTTCGTCGACATTCTTCTGCAGCGCGCTCGTATCCCGACGAGAGCAGCTCATTGGATTGATAGGTGGCGGGAGGGAGAACGGGGTCGAATGGGAGAACGGCGAGGGCCCTCTGGAACTTGCGTTTGGAGAATTTCTTCCAGATTCGATTGATAGACTTTTGGGGCGGCAACTTCTTCTTCTTCTTTTTCTTCTGGTCGTTGGAATTGGCTGTAGTCGCGGGCGGCGCGCGAGGCCGACGAGGGTCGTCCGACTCTTCTGATGAACTGTAGCCGTGCATGTTTCTGGCTGATGTTGTCTTGGTCCGATAGCGGATAGTGGAGAGTGCCGAGATTGGTTGTAGTCTCAAAGCAGTCTCAGGAGTTGGGAGAGAGGGTAACAAAGCGAGAATAAATAGACAAGATGCAATGCAAGCTCGGTGATTCAGCAAAAGGAATGAGAGTGAAAGACTGTAGTAGGAAGAGGACAAGGACAGGGACTAACGTATATGCCGTAACTTTGGGAGAAATCAGAGGAGGAAGGGAAGAGCGTGAGTCGAGAGGGAACAACGACATATATACGGAGACCAAAGGGTACTTGACCGGCCGCCACCCAGGGTCCGACACCGTGAGGATAAGACAGACTTACTGCCTCGTTAGTTCTGCAGCTACACCGACATTGACTTGAGAGGCTACAGCCAGCTTCGTCTCTTTCCTCTGGCGCAGCAAAGCTATCAATGGACGTCTCGAATCGCACCATTGACGCACGGCGCACTTGGCGGACCGGCTGGGTCTGCCGTGTGGGATGGCGGAGAACGGCAAGGAGGTCAGCAAGGGTCCTGTCTGGCGACGAGCTAACACAGAGTCCCCCGGAACTGGAATTGTAACCGGTACCCCGAGTCGCATGGTACAAGGTTCCACACGGGGATAACGAGCTGCTTAATGGTTAACGGGCTGATGCTGGCGCAACCCCAGCAATTTGCACTTTGAGGCGACAACTCGTTCGTTCGTCTGACGACTCCTTCTGTCCGTCTTTGATATTGTCTCTTCCCTTTTGGACCACCCAGCACAGCGTATGTCTCCCCTTGTTCAAATGTACTCAACCGTGTGAAAAACGGGCTGCAGTGGCTTGACGATCAAAGCGACCTTTGCGGGAGGCTGAGCTGACAGATCTCTTCTGGGCGGACAGCCCGAGGCCTAGTGGGGGCTGAAAGCCGTGGTTTTCAACCGTGACGCTTCTGGTGAGCACATGGCGACGGCTCAGGGCAGATCAAAGGCATCTCATGCCTTCTCCGACCTTTTTTCTTGAGAAATGTTCCATTCTTCGCCATCCACCATCCCAATTGCCCCCCGTCCCCCGCGGTTCCGATTCGCTCGGCCGGCCACGCCAGACTCCTGAGTCGTTGGGGGTTGTGGGTCCCGTTTTAGGGGTCTTAAGGGTCCTGAACTAGTCACTAAGACGGCGTGGATGGGCACACAGATGTCTCTTTCAAATGGACTTTGGCGAGGCAAACAGTGCGGGGGCGCGCCTCAGTCCAGGCCGATGTTCCAAGGCTGCATGTCCTCCTGTGGGCCGCATGGAGATGCCTGTAAATGTGGACAAGGATGACCTGTCGCCGACAGCTTCCAGGCGGCAGGCTGGGGATGTGAACGAGTGGTCAAGGAGCTTTCTTGGTCCAAGGCGGCTGATGTGATCGTGCGTGAGACAGCAGGGCTCTGTAGCAGCTCTTGTGCGGCTTTACTGTCGCATTCATGCGAGAAAAGGTACAAGAGACAAAAAGAGAGTGTGGCCAGCACTGTCCGGTACCTTGTCCAGACCGCGATAAGCAATTGCCCTATGAGCGCTTCGAGATTAGTCGATCACAAAGGATGGACAAGGGTGGCGACGCTTCCGAGAACGGCGGGCCTGCTGGGGTGAGCATCTGACTCTCTCGACCCTCCCTCAGCCTCAAGCTGGACCTTCTAGCGACCTGCAATCCGCAAATCCTCACACGACTCGAGTGAGCGTGAGTGACCCATTGGTGGACGGGCCCGTAGCTGGACCAGTGGATGAAGAGAGACCGCCCCCGCATTGTGATTGAAGACGACGAGACGCTATCGTCAGCCTGGATGCCTTGGTGCCTGTGGTCTCCATCAGCAGATTAGACCAGGCCCCAGAACAGAGCCTCAACGCGTGCTGACTGTGTGGCCAAGGCTGAGCCCTCCAGGCAGTCCAGGCTCCGATATGCAAATCGGACTTCGGTTCCAGAAGTGGTGCTTTGAAGATGAGTCGGCGGCGGACGGAAGGAGTCAATTGGGGAAAAGTAGACAAAGTATGATCCGATCGGCGTGTCTAGCGGCGCCCGACCCAGGTGGCTGTCGCCCCAAAGTGCCAATCGAAGAACAAAAGCCGTTGTTCGGCGTGTGTTCCATGAGGCTGACTCAACCGTCCCCGAGCTCGTGGCTTTGGAACTTTGACGTTCTCGACGGATGTTGCAGTGAGGGATATGTTGCACTTTCAACGAGGTTCTGTTCACGTCATGGCCCACCCACCGATGCTGGGAGCCTGCCTCTACTTTGCGTGTATGCAACGCTGATACGAGTTGTTCGCGAACCAACCCAATGTCGAGATTTGCTGATTGGTGCCACCTGGTCAAGAGGCGGCTCAAAAAACCAGAGATGTCGACTCGAGTGATATTTCGTGAGCATTGTTCACGGTTTCGTCGTCCTGCAGTGCTTATGCGGCCTCCCCATGGAGTGCTATGATCGCCATTGGTTGTTGTAGTGACGGCCAAGTGCATTGTGCAGCATCGTGCAAGCCAACTAGAGGATGCGGCTTTTGTAGAGCTTAGCAATGGCCGACGCGTTCGCGGGGAATCGTCACGGCTCAATTGGGTGCAGTCAGTCACATGCCATCTCAATGGATACGGACTGATTTCTCTTCTCACACTCACTGTATTCGTTGGACTTGTTGATAGTGGCTTGCATTGCAGGTATCCAACTCTTGTTGCCCCCTCAGTTGGCGCCAATGCAGAGCAACCCCCGCGTTCAGAGTCGCACAGTGACAGCTCAGTTGTCCCAAGAGATGACAAAGTGTCTGTGATGCGGCGCACAAACTGGCCAGCGCCTAGCCGCGTCTATAGCGGATGTTGTGAGACGGGTATCGATCGGTTATCCGCACAAGTGTAATGCAACGATGTCGAGGAGCTGATGAGCGATGGGCGATCTGGGAGCAGAGTCGAGTATAGGGGGCTTGCGCCGTTGGACTCGATTGCCTTTGGTATATGCATCGTGGGTACTTGACGGTCGAAGGAGGATAAGGTGGTTGAAGGTTGAAGGTAAATGGAGATGAGCAAGCACGTGCAGCATGACAGCTGGGAAGGTGAGGTTGGGGCTGAGGCACCCGGTGTCGGCCAGAGGCAAAACGAGCTTCAACTCCATATGCACCCAGACTTCATTGCTATTAAACCCGTCGTGACGTATTCTAGATTATTTCAAGTAGAATGATATTGTTTTAGATAACTTGACTATGAGATCCATCTCTTCTTTCTATTGTTGCTGTGCTGGATAATCCCGAGTTCTGCCCCAAGGCAGAGGCGCACTGGCATCCCCCATTTGGGCACGTCCACTACCAACGCCTGCGATGCACCTCTTTGATGACCGACCCTAAGGATATCCTAAACTTAGGGCTCACAAACAAATCTTTGGTCGAGCAACCTTAAGCGAGCCCAAATCTGAGCTTCCACAGGATTCCGTGCTCTGCTGTTTATCTCCCTCCCTCACCATTTCCAAATTTCTCCCGCATTTCTCCTCTTCCTCTTCTCCCACCTCTCAGAACATTCCGCACCATCCCGAAGCTTCTTGCAGAGGGTATGTCTAAAGGAAATCATCGACTGTTGGGCGAGAGCCCTCGTTCATCACCGGGCGAGAGCCCCCATTCACGACCGGGCGAGAGCCCTCATCCATGATCGGGCGAGAGCCCCCATGATTTCCGTCAGTCATCTGCCTACCAGCCATCGTACATTGAGCTGCAGAACGGTCAGTCTCCTTACCAAGAAATCTCCTACCGCAAGCCAACATACGCTGGCTGCGAGTACCAACAACTGCAGTACCAGCAGCTGCAGTACCAGAGACTGCAGGCATCGCCCCTTCTCCAGGCTCACAGCCTGGAGATCCTACAGCTTGATACAACCAGAAGCTATATCCAGCATGGTTTGTGGGCCATCCTTCGCGCACAGGCGACACAAAGTCTGTCACAGCTGGTCTTCGCAGCTAACCATCACCTTAGGACACGAGAAATGAAACTTGTGGGCTGCGCGCCCAGAAAGTACGACTTCATGTACTTGAGAATTGCCTTCGACAAGTACATGAAATCGTACTTGCGAGTCGGCTTTGGCAAGTACGACTTTATGTACTTGCGCATTGACTTCGCGAATGATTGCAAGTAAGTTCTCCTGTTTTTGGATATCACCAGTTATAGAGAACTGATCTCTGTCCTCCAGCATTGGCTGTGGTCGAGCACTTCATCTTTGCCAGTTGGCTTCGGCAAATACGACTTCATGTATTTGCGCATCGATTTCGCCAACGACTGCAAGTAGGTTACTTCTCATCCATTTGTGAATACCACCTGGTATGGAGAACTGACGTATGCCTCTTCTAGTGTTGGGCGTGGTACCTTGAGGCATCATGTATTTGCGAGCCGGCTTTGGAAAGTACGATTTATGTACTTGGAACCAGGCAGAGAGAATGGGCACAACCGACTTCGCCAATGATTGCAAGTAAGTTCCTCCTATTTTATGGATGCCATCAGTTATAGAGAACTGACCTGTGTCTCCTCTAGCGTTGGAGACGGTTGGGAAAGGTACCTAACTGACGAGATGGACGTCACCCCTTCGAAGCGCGCCAAGACTACCAGACGTGGTCCTGCCCGTGGAACGATACCTTCCCGCTCTGCTGCCGTCAAGGCCGCCGCTACCATCGCCGAAGCCGCACAGCAGCAGCCCCTGAGCAGCGGGTCGTCCCCCGAAGAGATACCCGCTCCCATCGTCGCGCCTATTGTGGTCCCGGTCCTCATTCATCCTCCCCCTCCTCTTAACACCATCCGTCCCCAGTCCCTCTTTGGCAACGTTGAGCGCAAGCCCCAGCCTCAGCAGCCCCGCGGCTTCATGACCAACCATGGCATGAATAACCATGGTTCTGGCCTACCCAACTGCAAGAAGCGATGGCGACATAAACATTGGATACATGCCCGATGACATCCTCGACAGTGGAACGCTTCCCGCCGGTGTTCTGCTCTGCGATCTGGCCCTACACTACAAGGCACGAACGGAGCAAGAATGAGAACATATACTTGAACGTCAGTGATGGAAAATATGACTTCATGTATTTGGAAGTCGGCTTTGCAAGTACGACTTTATGTACTTGCGGGCCGACTTTGCGAACGACTGCAAGTAAGTTATCCTTGTTGGATAGAAATGACCAGCTCTAGAGCTAGAGAACTAACCTATATCTCTTGTAGTGTCGGGGGCGGTGGCTGCTTGAACCAGACAATCACTGTCTATTCGCTCAGTTATCCCATCAAGGGCCGGGCTTCAACTATAACAAAGTACGCGACGAGATCACCACTATGCCAAGATTATGTCTGAGGCACGAGAAAAAAGGCCGCACGCAGATTGGAGAGGAAGACAGATGGATGTCACGCAGACTGGAATCCTCGGGTGGACTGGTACCATAACTGTGAGGAATACTCGAAGACTGTCATTCTGCGTCTTCGAATATACGACTTGTTCCCATCGTTCTGCCAGACTTTGCCTCTCGTGGCTTTGGGGTATATTCGAGGTGTTCGGAGAGGGTGGAGAGAAGAGCCAGGAACTCGCCGGGGCGGAAGCAGAGGTTGCAATGCTGTTTGAACCGCTTGCTGGTGGGCTATGATGACGCCAGGGTGAAGGGGAGGCCAGGCGTCAATGAGAGACACAGGGCACAGCTGGGGAAGGGAAGGGCTAGCCCCCCAGAGACGCGAGATGGTGTTCGTCCAGAATGCGACACATGTATGAGCTGAACATCTTTTATGGCTCGAGCCATTGCATGGTGACCGGATTCCTTGATCCCTGTGTGAATGCTCATCCTTCATAATGGACCTTGACCACGATAACTCCGAAGACCGCCCTGGGAGGAAACCAACCACAAGGCCTAGATCTTTATCTAATACCGTGTCGATGCTTCATCTGGTGACGACCCTTCATAAAAGCTTCTTTAAGATGGGAATTACTTAATTATTCGCCCGAAGAACTCAATCAATGTACTCAATTCTATCCAAGAGTTACCCTTTTCCACAGTCAATCTTGGAAGACGTTTCCTCCTAATAGCCTTGGCACTCGTTGCAGTAAGCATTGACCATATAACCATTGATGTTATACTGCCGTGCAGGCGAGCTGCAGAAACCGCTCTGCCCGGAAGGCGTACGCTTATCACCGCACTTGAGGGGATGGCGCTGCGCAAGATGTCCGCATACTCCGTAAAAGTAATACCACCCGCAATAACAAGTCGCGGTCCTGTATACCTTGTTTTGCTCGGCCACCGCGCCGGTTGCTCTGGGATCGATAAGAATGGCCTGCTGGGCCATGGTGGACTGGGTTTCGCGGGATTACAGTGTGCCCTGGTTGTTGAAGAGAGGTCAGTAGGCTGCATTCGCAAAAATGGGGTAGAATTGACCTACGCACCCTCCAGTTCAGTAGTTTCATGAGAATACTTTAGAGCAGATTGATGTAGATGGCGATACTAATAGTCTTTAGTTCTTGGGCGAGGTGTCTGCCACTCTTAAGGCTGAGACAGGGAACGTTGGTCATGTGAATCGGTTCATCAGTGAGTTCCATCCTGCCTAGTCAGGCCCAGCAGGCCGGCCGATGAGGGCCTATCCTGCGAAGATTACGCCTTGTTGACCCGAGACTTTTCGACAATGTGTATGTGTTGGTTCTGGCTACTGGACCAAGCTAAGTAGAGGTTGGAAACCTGGCCACCCCTGGCCACAGTGCTGACCCACAGAGGGCAGCCCATTTACCGCCCGCAGTTTTGGGACGTTTTTAGTGGGATGCAATTGCAATTAGCAACCAACAGTGACTTTCAGGGGCGGAGAATATGGCCAGTTATTTACCGCCCAAGATGAAAATAGAGACAATGGAGTGTTGTTATCGCCATGATGGTGGAGGGCCTTCGGCTTGAGGCGGTTCCATAGCTTAGTCACACTACCGCTAACTTGACTTCCTGTCTCTCAACTTCCCTGCTTCATCCTGCCGGTTATCACACCCTCCCCTCGATCGCCATGACCTAGCAACATGATTGATGAAGATTCCAAATATTTTTCGCTCAGCGGCGATGTCCGCATCGGAGGGCCAAGCACATGGCACATCACCGATTGGGATCAAAGGAGGGTAATTTCTGTCACGATGGACGACGAGCAAGACGACGAGAGCATCGCCATCCAACACCTCAGGCGCCATAGCAGTAAGCTTCCACCCAGTGTGTACAGGATACACGTATCCAATACCGGCGAGATCATCACTGCATATACCGATGCAGAGAATGACGAGACTTGCTGTGTACATTACCCGCGCCTTGAAGAGATCTCCCTTCCGGAAGGAGTCCGAACAATACGCCGGGATAGGCTCGAGGAGCTTGAGAGGCTTGGTCCTGACACTGACCTTGTCACATATCCTCCATGCTCCAGTGAGCCTGTCAACAAGGTGAGGGCCACCCAGTCACTGCTCCCAAATTACATTGTCGTATGCTGACGTCTAACCAGGTGGTGTTCAAGTACTACTTTTTATGGCAGTATGCGCAAAAGTCATGGAAAGAGATGAACCTATGGATGCGGCTGCCCTGTCATCCAAATATCGTCCCCTTCGACCGCGTCGTTCTTGACGAGCTCGAGGGCCGCGTGGTGGGATTCACCAACCGCTATGTATCCGGCGGTACTCTAGAAGAAGACAAATCACGAATTTTCCGATTGAAATGGCTCCAACAGCTTATCCAAGTCGTAGACGACTTGAACCTTCGATATGGCATCTCACATCAAGATATTGCTCCACGAAACCTTGTGGTGGACGAACCAAGCGATTCGATAATGCTCCTCGACTTCAATTTCGCCGCACGCATCAATCGCCCTGCGACTGAAGATGGCGAGGGCGAATGGCACGACGAGAACCGGAATGATGTCAAAGGCGTCATCTTCACTATCTATGAGATTATCACTCGAGACAATAGCTTCCGCGACGCACCCCACGAAGAGCAGAGCATCGACAGCCTCCCTTTGGAGTGGGTCAAGCATCAAGAAGTACAATTAGATCGCCCCATTGTCGAGTATCGGCAAGCGCTTCAAGAATGGCGAGATAGGAGGGCTTTAGACCCAGGATCAAGAGACGTTCCCAAAGCCATCAACTGGCCTCCTCGGCCGAAGCCCCCGAAAGTCAGTATACCCATGGCAGACGTGCATGGAAGCCCTTGCTCAATAACCATGGATCAATGGTATGAGAGGAGACAGGCTATAATACGAAGAGGCGGAAAGGTACTGAACTGGGAGCGACCGCCACAGAAGGTGCTGGATGACGGAAGGCGGCTTCTTTCAACTGGCAAGGTAATAGATTGCTAGAACTTGACCTGTACTCAATTAATCCAGAGCATCAATGTCTGTTCGGGCAACTGCAAATCCGGTTTCAAGAGCGTTGACACAGATGGTACACAGCTGTGTTCCCGCTGGAATAGACGATGTGAGTGAGCTCTACGCCCATCTTCTTGCGCAGTATCTACCTTAGTACTACCCGACCATATTCAAACTGCCTGCAAATAGCTTTGAACTGGGGAACCTAGCGATCGGCGATATACACTCGACGATATCACCAGCGAATCAATTGTCCGTTGGCAATGGAGCTGACTGACCGGTCTTGCGTCTAACAGCGAAGCCCAAGGATGGGCTCCAAGGGACTTGGAACAACGGTTTCCTGGGCGACATGTAGATGAGGTTTTATTGACAGAATTGATTGATCGACGAGGGTAATCGGAGCCACAAATTTACGCTTCAACATGTTCAAGGACGCAGGCCAAACCCCTGGACCGATGCCAACAAAGGGATCCTCCAACGCTGTTACTGAAACCAGAAAGACCGTCGCTAAACACCAATATAAAGTAAACCGACTACCCTCAAACGACGGTTGCAATGATGAACAGCGTCAGAACGCTCGCGACACCCCTATCTTTGTGGACAACGCAACGGCCACTGTTAGGATTGGGGTGCGATGCTATGATGTGTTGATAATGTGTTCTTTGTTATAGTTAAAGCTCGGCCCTAATGGGATAACTGAGCCAGAGGATCGAAGCCCAGTTCTTGATGGGTTAACTGAGCTAGGAGATCGATGCAAACACAGCAAGGTGTTTGGCAATAAGCAATGACGACCAGGTCATCTCACCTCCCAAATCGCCAGTGCGATTATTTGGGTGCCATTCCTTCGGCCACTCATCCAAACCGATACCCTCGAAGGCTTCATCAGAAGCTGTTTGCTTTAGCTCTTCATAGAGCTGATCACCTAGGCCGATAATGGCTTCGACCGGGGTAGCCTAACCAAAGGGGAGTCCAATCCGATGGGCATTGGCCATGCTGACGTCTTATCGCGAATAACCAGCAAGCATGCTCGCCCTCGTCATGCATCAATGGTGCCATTCGCAGGTGAGCTTTGGAGGTCTCACACTAGGCAAGTGCCTTCTGGCCGCACCAGAGGAAGAAGCGAGTATGTTGTTGTTGCTGCTGGCTGTTGGCAGCGTTGTTCAAACTTGTGATATCTGGCGGCGACGGCGATCATGAGCCAGAGCGCTTGACAAAGTTGCACCGACGACGTTCCTTGCAGTGCGTACACCTCAACCTCTTTACCCTAGCCTCGGGGTGCATGTTTAGACCGGGACGGATGCCATACCGAATATGCCACTTTCGCAGGTCATCGTTTCCATCCCGGTCGAGATGCTTGATGCACTGGGCGCAGAGCCAGACACCCTCTCCCTTTCGGGGACCGTCGACGAACAGCATCTGGTCCCACAGCGACTTTCGTAGCCTGGGATTTAAGATGCTTTTGGCTCCGGTTGGAGCCGCGGAGCTGTCCACCACGGTTTCCCTGCCGACAAGACTTTTGGCCATGGGAGGATTGGCGGTAGAGCCCATGGAGTCTTTGCCATGGGCATTGCCTCCCGGAAAGATACTAGTCGTAGACCCATTGGTAATAGGACTATCGACCATGGGAGTATCAATTGAGTCTCCCATGTCGAGGGGAGTATCTGTCGTAGGGGAACCAATGGTGGAGCTATTCGTCGAGTGAGGGTAGGCCGAGTGATTGTCCATGAGGCTGTTGGTAGCAGAGCCATCAACCATCATGTCGTCGACCGCCATCAAATCGTCAACCCCAGAGTCCTTGATAATCAGACTCTGAGTCATTGTAGTAATATCCATCAAGTCATTGCTTGTGGAGTCGTCAACTACAAGGTTATTAACCATTGAGTTGTTGATGTTGTTGGTCATCGAGTTGTAACCCATAGTGACAGAATCGAACCCAAAGTTGGGCATGGGATTAAGAGTGAAGTGATTCATGTTAAAAGCGTAAGATGGTGTTAACGAGGGATGATCAAGTCATTGATAGGATAAGAGCTTGGAGAATAATAAAGGGAGAAAAGCTCGTTGATGTTGATGTTGATGTGAGGATGAAATTGATTGTCTTTGCAGGGGAGAACATCACGTCAATATATAGACAGTCAACAAGAAACAATGGTTATAGAATTGAATTTTCATTGTCATGGTAACGAGATGTATCAACTCCAATATGCACGCTGTATGTATAAATCTGCTGCCTAATGGCTAATATGTGTTCTCATGACTCCCCTGACTGTTGGGAGATATAGACTTTCGGGCTTATAGCCTTCACAATGCGTTAAAATCGTATCACGGTGTGTAAACACGTCCTGGTGTCTCATCAGGAGTCGAAGGTTCTTCCAAACCCTCATCAGCAGCATCGACAAGGGGCGGATTCCTCCTCTCCACCCGTCTTCGCCAAGGCCTATACACAACGATAGACCCCAGTCCCACAACTAAAAAGACACCACAGATGCTTCCTCCGATAATATCAAAGTGATCTCCAATAGCAGATACACCATCCCAGAAACTTCCCTCGGGCTCGGCAACGTTCTGGATGAGAGACAAGACCTGGATAATACCGATAAATGCAGACACAAAGACTGTGATGCCAGTGAGTACTATGGAATAGTACAGAATGGCAACGACGTCTCGAGAGAAGGCTTTGGAAGTGTATAGTGCCATCATCAAGGCTCCGTCGGTGGTATCAAGTAGACACATGCCAGCTGTTATCAAGTTAGCGTTCAAGAAAAAGGTTAACCGGGTTTGAAACTTACCGGTAAACAGCAACGGGAAAATCAAAATCAGCCAGATGCTCGTTCCCTGTACAGCCTGAATACTCGCAATTCCAAGAATAGCAATCTCGGAACTCGTATCAAACCCGAGGCCAAAGACGACACCAAGAGGATACATCTTCCACGGTCGATCAATGACCCTAAACAGTTTCTTGAAGACACGAGACAGAAATCCTCCTCCCTCGAGGGCAAAGTGATCCTGGATTTGACTCTCCTCGGCGTCAAAGCCACTCCGTTGTCGGCGTTCCTGCAGAACAACCTTGAGGCGCTGCACAAGCTGATACAGAACCCAACCGTTTCCGATGCAGAGAATGATGAGAAATACGGCACTGACGCTGGTGCCTATGATATTTCCCACACGCGTAAACCCATCAAACCTCTCCCTCAAAGCACCACTCGTAGCCGCAACAACAATACAAGTAACAATAACAATAGTACTATGCCCCAACGAAAAGAAAGTCCCCACAGTAGCAGGTCTCTGCCCCGAAGCGATGAGCCTCCGGGTCATGAGGTCGATGGCAGCGATGTGGTCTGCATCTAGGGCATGGCGCAGGCCGAGGACGTAAGAGAGAGCGGCGGGTGCGACGAGGCGGGGGTGGAAATGCAGCACAACGGCGACGGTGGCCCATACGATGGCGTTGACGCTGATGAGGAGGAATATCATGAACAGGCTGTTTGTGGGGATTCCGCGGAGGAAGCTGGGCTTGGAGCGGCCCAACGGGTTCTGAAAGTTGAAGGGCGCCATGGTGATTGATTGTGAATAACCAACCTAGGAGGATATTCACAGAGGGAAAAAGGTTAAAAACTCGATGAGTCTAAAAGAGATACTACAAAAGCCACCAGTAAAACCCCCTCTCTTTTAGCCCCCCCACGTAAAAGATGCTAGTCATCACCAGAGAGAAGAAAAAAACGCCATGAATTTGACCGACGGCGGCCGGCGGGCGTTCAAATGCAAGAGTCGTTGTAGTCGCCTTATCATGCGCGATGTGCGGGGATGCGAGACAATATCGATAAGCTAGGCTACTTTTGGAACGATTGGCTAGACTTCATGGGGAATGTCCCGGAGCCAAGAGTTTAGGGTAAACTGAGGTTATTCGGAAGAGCCTCAACTTGACAACGTCTTTACGCAGAGATGATGGTTTGCGGGTGACTTGATTGAGAGCTTGTTGACGACTCTTACGTCGTTAGACTTTTTATTGCCGTTTTGTTTCCAGAGCAACCAAACGTCGCCCACAGGAAACGTAAGGCAAAACAACCTTTCCCACGTACGAACGATTGACTCGAGCTTCCGGAGAATGTTTTCGCTCATCATCCTTTTGACTTCGGCCTCAACAATGACCAACATTGCTACATTTAGATACTTTGTGATTGTTTTTATAGTTGCTGCTGTTTGTGACTCATCTCACTTCTTTCTTCAGGATCCGACTGTCACGAGTGAGGGCATTCAGAGCACCCGAGACATACTCCCTTGGACAGATAGGAACAGTAGGGAGCGACAAGACACGCATCTCGTGTGTCTGACGCAATTCTTCTCTCTGTGGTAGGCCACACAAGTGTCCAGCGCGAGTTCGTGGGGAGTCGAGTTGTCATCTGCTGTAGAGTCGTCCACGTATTCTGCCTCCATGGTACCAGAGCATCAGCTTGGTCTCGTCCCTTGGGAACTTGGGCCCCATTTCTCCATAAACTCAGTGTGTCCGTCGTTAAATAAACTTTAATCATGCAGCTTGTATGTACTGCGTACTCGTGATCCAAATGCAACGGCCTGAATGCCATTAACGCCCCCTTGTGATCCATTCAATGGTATCAAGGCTGTCACAATCTGGATCCAAGGAAAAGAGGTGTGTGTGTGTAGTCGAATTTGATTTCCTCGAGGCCAAAAACTGGATCCCTGGTTTTATCTAGTGTAAATGCATCACACCAATCTTTCCCTGGGCCCAAGGGGTGCACCTGCTCCCGCCGTCGACTCACGCGCGCGATGTTGTCTTTAGAAGTTAAAATCGCCCTCGGCAATACAAACTGAAACGATGTACGCGTAGGAAAAGTTTAAAGAAATCGGTCTCATCACAGACCGCGGACTCAAGTGGCTCTGGTCATGGGATTCGACATTAAGGACTGCCCTCTCATCCTTAGGACCTTGAACGCCCTCCTGAGGATGTGGAGGAACTGAGAAAGAGACTGCCGCGCCGCAAGAGGCCCGCCACTGACCCTCCACCTGAGGGAGAATGCATTCCCGTCGCTCTGAAAGGCGTGGCTTTGGATCACCTGGAGGGGCGCCCGCTTGGCGCCGCCTTGATTGGACCCTATACTACCGATGTAATCGGTAGAAACTCACGAGATTCCCGGGTGCTAGCAGGGGAAATGCGAGTCCTTGAAGTCTTCCACCTGGAAGAGCGCCAGACTGAGACACGAGATCTAACTCGCAGGATCTTGGTCGCATCTGTCTTTCACTCTTCTGCTATCGCATTAGACGTCCCGAGCGATATCAAGACTTCAAAGTTTCCATATCTTCTGAATTAGTCTAACACAAGTAAAAAATAGTAGACTTCATCCCTAACACATGATCTCAAGAACCTCTTCTTCTACCCCTTAATCCACCCCGAGGATACCGCCATATGCAACGTCAAACTCTCTCTCCCTCACTACTTACCGTGTCGTTTGTCCGTCGTTTAACTTACTCCCAAAATTTAGCATTCAGTACTCAAACGTAATCCATCAATGTAAACGAAAACCTATTTACCACTGCCTCGTTGGGTGGCAGATAGAGTTGCCAGCTGCATCACTGTCATTAGACTTGCACCGCCTGGTTTACAGTGCACGATTGTAAACACTGCTCAACGGATTTTGTTTGCTGTCTTTAGGGACATAAATATCCATCCTCTCTCCCAATTCTCTTCTCTTTTTTTCTTCCTCTCCTTCTTCACCAACATCTACCTTCCCACCTCCCCATCTATTCTAACAGCTTCATTTTTTAAGCCTGTTAATCACCCACAACAACATCTCACGTCCATTACTTCATCTTCGAAACGATGTGTTCAACTTATTGGCCTCATCTACGTGATGAGTTGGTTCACGCGACCGCGAACACTGCGCAGCCGTCTCTGCAGTGTACCATCTGTCTGGAACAGATGGACTCTCGACAAGAAGCCTCCCACGAGGCGGTAGTGCTCCCTTGTGGTCACGTTTTCGGGAGATACTGCATCCAAGCATGGATTTCCTCGTTCGTCGGAGAGAACAACCCTAGCTGCCCTACCTGCAGGGTGGAGGTGGTCCACCCGGGCTGCGGACATGTTGCTAAGATGATCCCCGTGCCGGCAATAAAGACTGCGCAGCCTCAGCACATGTGCCAGGGGTTTACCGGACGGTCCAGCAACGTGGCAAAGACCTTAAGACTCTTTTCCACGGCCATCCAGAGTTACCATCGCGACAACGCGAACCGTCTTGCCCTCCACAACTTTCCTCTCACGGTACCCGAAGGCGGCGCAATCAGACAACGCTGCGCTGACTGTTACGTCCAAGAGCTCCTCGGCATGTTGACGACCATTGCATCCCCTATGAGTCTGTGGAGTAAGATTGGGGAACCTGAATTTATCGGCGTTACCGCCAAAGCAGCAGACCGACGTTGGGTCCTGCATTCTCGCGGAATGAGGGCCAGAGTCCTTAGAACGATTGAGCCACGCCCTGAGCTTCTTCGAGCATTTCAAGAACTTCGAAATTTTGCTGAGAGTGCGGAGAAGACACCATCTTGGCCGATTGACCTTGAGGGTCTGGAGTTTACCCTTTGCCTCTGCCAATGGGAGGATCCCTCCGGATGGACTTGAAGGAGAGGGAGTTGGTGGTCGTTTGTCAAGTCTTTGCGCATCGTTTTCTTGTTCAACTTCTTCTTTTTGTCGATTTTCTTTTACGTTGTGCCGGCGATGCACTTTATTGTTGTTGTATCCCCTTTCTGTTAATCTTTTTTACCGCGTCGCTTTTTGAGTTGGTTTGCAGGAAGGCTGTTTGTTGTCAGAGTTAGACTGGATCGATCGAATTGATGTGGCTTATGCCGATTATTCTCTTGTTGAATGTCTTATTCTTACTTAAACGTGATCATTATGATGTTCTGGTGAATTCTTTGTCCTTTTAATCCTCGTGTCTGAACAAGTCTTTACTCTTTATCCCATCCAGTGAACAGAGGATATATCAACGTCCCTGCTGACCATTAAAGAATTAATCCGCCTTAAAATACAATCCAATACCTCTCAAGTGACAATTCATACCACCAATCTGCTCTGATCCTCCAACGTTGACCACCATGAATTCTAGATCCCCTTCTACGCTTAAGAGCCCTTGTCCAAACCACTCCAAGACACGCAAGATCTCATCCGTCTACTGGCCAGAGCTAAAGCGAATTCTAGAAAATGACCCTAGCCGGTTTTATGACCTCGACCTCGAATGCCTCTGCTTCGAACGCATGTCCATCTTTGAGCATGAGCACGTCAGAGACCCAGCGATGGATCACTACACACACGGAGCCCACGTCCTCCCTTGCGGTCACATCTTTGGCGAAAAGTGTCTCGTCCGTATGTGGAAGTATGCGATTGAAGCTGATGGCTGGTTTGCCTGTCCAGCGTGTCGTCAGGCTCTCGGCTATCACCCGCACTGTTACCACGACCTCAACTCGCTCCCTATGCCGCAATCTCTGGAAGAAATCAGACAGTTCCCATATTTTAGAGAAAACGTCCTTATATCAAACAAATGCGGCGACTGCATCATGATGGACGAGGTCAGGAACCTCAGCTCCATGGCGCAAAACCATCTTCCTCCGATGGATCTTCGCGAAGGTGAGTATGTTGGCGTGTCCATCAGCTCGCCCGACACCATGTGGGCACCTTCGACGGATCCCCGCAAAGCAGACCCGATTATACGGACCATTCCATCTTCTGGGGTACTGGAGAGACTTTGCGAATTATCGCGTAGGTCCTTGTCAGAGAATTGGGAGGGTGTGTGGAGGTCGGTGGACTTTCGGGAGCTGGAGTATCGTTTACATGTTTTTAGAGTAACAGGATATCCTATGTATACTTGAGGGGAATATATAGACGGTGTGAGATTGGGAATATTGCAATTCATATAGTTTTACTGTTTTATTTCTGTACACCGCTTTTTAGCTATGATCCAGTTCCAGTGACAACGTATCCATCTATGCAGCGGCTTCAAACTCCAGAACTAGCCCCGGAAGCAGCTCAATCGACTTGGGGCTCTCCTTTGTGCCCAGCAATGTCAACCTGACCTCAGCCTTGCTACTCCCGTTCGTTAGAGTGGACAAAGTAACCTGGTTGCTCCCAGGGTTCGGCCCAGCAGGAAGCTCATAAGGCCACGAGAGCACTCCCGCCTCCGAGGTAGCGGCCGTGTTGTGAATAGCGTCGTAGACTGGCTTGTACGTCGACATATCCTTCTCCGGAAGTAGAACTGTGATCCGAGAGAGACCCTTGGCGTGAGAAGGATGCTTGGTGTACTCGTGAGGTCCACTCTCTCCCTTGAACGGCGACCGAAGATGTCTCTCGGAAACATCAACGCACCAAAACGGCACCGTCGCGGGAAACACACGCTTCCCTTCAGAATCAAGAGCAACCGAAACAAGACACTTCATAAGAACACCATCCGGCCTGTTTCTCTGTAGCGGAACGAGATCGCTATACGTGACACCCGCAGCAGCATCAGCAACCCGCTTCTGAAGCTGCGCATAGTCGGCCTCGGAGTGCAGCGTGTGCGCCCAATCTGCAATTTTTCCCTCCTCGAGGTTCCCCCATCGGTGAGCTCGTCTCTTTTCCGGGTCTACCCCTTCAACAAAGGCGATGAATTCAATGTATGTCCCGTCGGCGAGGTGGATGAGTTTGTTGACGGTGAGCCCATCGGCGTGGGCCCCGCCATCGATGACGATGAGAGAGTCTTTGAGTTGGTCTGTGACGGTTTGGAGGGTCTGAAAGGAGACCAGGATGGCGATATGGTCAAGGATTGGAAGAGTCATTGTTGATTATTTGTTTTCTTTGTGTTTGAATGAGAGAGTGTCCTTGTTGATGCTTCAATGAATGGTGTTCAAGGAAGAGTGCGGGGGGGCGGAGGTGGTTCGGAGGTCGCGCATAACAAGCGCCAGAGTCAACATTTACACCTGATTAGACGCCCATTTGTAGTTTATTTGCATATGGCCAATCAATTGTAGAGGGGACATGTTGGAGTCCACCAACCTTGTTGAACACGCGGGCTTTCGGATAAGCTTCCGATGAAGCTATTGCCGGTAGGTGTCATTGCTATTCACAACCACATTGAACTGCAAGCTTACATCGCGATACTCATCCAACATTCTTTTAATCGACAACGGTGATGGTATATATTAATACACTATAATTGTTCCTGTGGATGATGGAATTGCAACACACCTTGGTGCAACCCAACCTCCACGTCAACCATCCAGCTCCCTTCCAAGCGACAACTTCTTTCATTCGTCAGCTCGCCATTCGCATTAGACCATCAGCCACAATCACCCACCTTGTAGCCCCTCTAAATAGCCTACCGACTGCCGCTCGGATCGTCGCCGCCTGCACATAAGCTTCACCCTTGACTTGAGTGAGATCTAAGCGCTTACCATCTCCGCGTCTACACCAAACTCCGTCATAAATCCGCATGATCCGGAAATCGGCACGGTTTGTGATTATAAAGCTGTCGTCATGGGTTGAAGCGGGGTTGGGATGTTAATTGGGTCTTGGTATATATGAGTGAGCTGTGCTGATGGGGGAGCTGTGAACTATACACTTCTCATCTCACCTACTCAGCTCAAGACACAATGACGTCCCTATACCAACAGACCGTCCCACCTCTGGTCAAGTCTCTCAAGAGCATGTCTCATCTTCTTCAAAAAGGCGCCAAGTTTTGCGAGGAAAAGGGCGTCAAACATGAGCAGCTCCTCACCTACCGCCTAATCGCCGACATGCGAGGGTAAGCAATTCATCACTAATTCAGTTAAATTCTATTTAAACGTAACCTATCTAACACAATTCATAGACTTCCATACCAAGTCCAATCCTGCTCCAACACAGCCAAACACGCCGTCGCCCGTCTTGGCGCCCCCAACATTCCCATCTTCGAAGACACCGAGACAACCTTTACAGAGCTACACGCCCGCATCGACCGGACAATCGAAGTTCTCGAATCCGTAGACCCAGCCAGCATCAACGGAAAAGAAGAGCAAGAGGTGATCATGGAGACGGGGATGGGAAACTTTCGCTTCACGGGGCAGAGATACGTCTCCGAGTTTGTTCTGCCCAACTTTCACTTTCATCTCACTTCGGCGTATTGTATCATGCGTGCGCAGGGAGTCCCGCTTGGAGCGTTTGATTATCTCAAGGATGTTTTTGAAAAGGTTGAGAAGTAAGTGGTGGATATTCGGAAAGGGAGGGTATTCTTGAATGGGGGCCGGGAATAGTCCGTGAGAAATTCTCGCCGTCGCCTACTTATTAATGAAGAGACACTACTTGAAGATATCAACAATACAACAAAATTAAGTCATCATGTCTTCTGAAACACCCTCTACCCGCATTCAAACACCAGATGTCACTACATCTGAAATCGAAAGAACAGCCCACGTCCAGCGTCTAATGGACCGCCTCCTCGAAAAGAGCCCCATCTACAACTTCATAATGTCCCCCGTCAAACTCATCAGCGCCACACAAGGAACAGTAACAACTCAAATGGTCCTAAACGGCAACCACGTCAACAGCAGAGGAGGTCTGCATGGCGCCGTATCGGCTACAATCATCGACTTTGTGACGGGTCTCGCCATTGCGTCTTGGGATTTGAGGGAGACGACGGGGGCGAGCGTTGACATGCACATTAGCTATCTTAGCACTGCAAAGGTTGGGGATACGGTTGAGATTGTGTCTACGGCGGATAAAGTTGGTGGGAGCATGGCTTTTTCGACTATTCGGATTTCGAAAGTTGGGGAGGATGGGAGTTTGACGCCTGTTACTGTTGGGCAGCATACAAAGTATGTGAGGCAGAGCTCAGCAAAGACGGACAAGTCATGAGATGGATATCGCTATAGAAGAATGTTGAAGGAAGCATGGAAGAGATTGAACGTGCATAGAGGCGACATAGACATGACACAGAAGGTGATTAGACGGATGGCATAGAAGATCAATACAACTATAGACTTCACTCTCAAACCCCCCCAGTCGAACAAGTAATCCCCCCATCAACAACAATCTTCTGCCCAGTAATATACCTCGCCTCCTCAGAAGCAAGAAACAAGACCGCATTCGCAACATCCCACGCATCCCCCATCCTCCCCATCGGAACCTGACCATTCCTCATCTCGCAAAACGCCTCATATCCTCCTTTTTGCGGGAACCTATTCGCTAGACTCTTTGTATATGGTGTATCCATGAGACCTGGGACGACGCTGTTGAGGCGGACCTTTTTGGGCGCGTATATGACGGCTGTTGTTTTGACGAATTGGAGGATGGCGGCTTTGGCTGTGTTGTATGCGACTTGGCGTTTTCCAATGTATCGGAGTCCTGCGATGGATGAGATGCACACGATTGATCCTCCTGTTGGTTGCTTCTCCATGATGGGTAGGACATGATGACAGGCGAGGTATACGCTCTTCAAGTTGATGTCCATCTGCGCATCCCAAACCTCCTCTTCCAAGCTCGCTGGATCCCCAGGTTGACTCTGTCCAACACTCGTAACAAGAATATCAACCCGTCCATGCATTTCAAGGCAAGCATCCACGAGCTTCTTCACCGAGGCGTTATCCGTAGCATCGGTAGCCACGACATCACACCGTCCACCCTCAGCTTCAATCGTCTCCTTCGTTTTAGACGTTGAAGCAACAGTTCTATTCCCTCCAAAAACGACAGCTCCTCTTCTCGCGAGCAACACGGCACAAGCAGCACCAATGCCCTATCCATCGGCACCAGTTTGCCCGAGGCCGACAACAAGAGCGACTTTTCCGTGTAAATCCAACATGACGGAGACGGAAAAGGAAATGACAAGCGAGGAACAAAATAATGATTGGCGGCCATCTTTTCACAGGCGCCGAACGATGCAGTTATAAGCTGCACATGATGTCCATTTTCCTTCATTTCCTACGGGTTTCTTGTGTCAAGGCGGAACTTGTCCGTCGGCAGGATTGCGTGATCACCGAGGATGCGGAGATCCTCCGCCCTGCAACTCACGGCGACACTTGCGAGAAACGTCATTTGGGGGGTGTAATACATAAGCCATGATAGGCCAGCTCTTTTGCTACTCACAATTCCAATCTACACTTACACACAAACATCACCATCAAAATGACAGACATTAACACAGACTACGACCTCGATACCCCCATAACCTCCAAAGTAGGTCTCCGCCAGGGCCTCGCCTCGTATGGAGACCCTCATTTCTCGCTCTTCCTACGCAAGGTCTTTATCAAAGCCCTTGGTTACAGCGAAGATGCACTCTCAAGACCCATTATTGGCATTGTCAACACGTACTCGAGCTTCAACCCTTGCCATGCCAATATTCCACAGCTGATAGACGCCGTCAAGAGAGGTGTGCAGCTCAATGGCGGATTGGCGATTGACTTTCCTACCATCAGTATACATGAGAGTTTCTCGAGTCCTACGAGCATGTATTTGAGAAACTTGATGAGTATGGATACTGAGGAAATGATCAGCGCTCAACCTTGTGATGCTGTGGTGTTGATTGGAGGGTGCGACAAGACCACGCCTGCTCAGTTGATGGGAGGCATCTCAGCCAACAAGCCTATCCTTCATCTTGTCACAGGCCCGATGATGCCAGGAAGTCATCGAGGAGTGAGAATTGGAGCTTGTACCGACTGTCGTAACAACTGGGCAAAGTACAGAGCTGGCGCCATCGACATTGAGGACATTTCCGCCATCAATGATGAGCTAGCACCAACCGTAAGTCCAATCCATCTCAATTACCGTCCACAAACTCACCAGCTTCTCAGGGTGGAACATGTGGTGTCATGGGCACAGCAAGCACCATGGCCTGTATTCTCGTCGGTCTCGGCATGATGCCTTTCGCCGGTGCCACAGCTCCCGCAGTCTCAGCTACTCGTCTTCGCATCGCCGAGGCCACAGGAGGACACGCTGTAGCTGCTTGCAAGAACCTGGATCAGCTTCGACCGCAGACTTTGTTGACACGCGAGTCGTTCCTCAACTCCATCATTGTTCTTCAAGCCATTGGTGGTTCAACCAACGCTGTTGTGCATCTCATGGCCATCATCGGACGTCATCCAAAGGTGGCTGGCACCATCACTCTGGGTACCGTTGACGAGATTGGTCGAAAGACGCCGTTGCTGGTTGATCTGAAGCCCAGTGGCGACAATTACATGACTGATTTCCACAACTCAGGTTCGTCCTTCACATCTCAATGGTTGAATAGACGCTAACATCCCCAGGCGGCATGCTTGCTCTCTTCCACGAGCTCAAGCCTCTTCTCTACCTTGACGCCATGACAGTAACCGGGCGAACCCTTGGTCAAGAAATTGCCCAAAACTCTCTCATCCCCGTGCCACGAGAGCTCAGCGTTATCCAGCCCTTCGACAAGCCCCTCTACCCGAAGTCATCACTTGTCGTGCTGAGAGGCAACCTAGCCCCTGGAGGTGCAGTCATGAAAGCAAGCGCCTCCAAGTACAGACGTCTCCTCCAACATTCTGGCCGAGCAGTCGTCTTTGCGAATTCAGCAGACCTCGCAGAGAGGGTGGACGACCCTGATCTGGAGGTTACACCAGACAGTGTGCTTGTCCTTCAGAGCATCGGGCCCATCGGAAACCCAGGCATGCCCGAAGCTGGAATGATCCCAATTCCCAGAAAGATTGCATCGCAAGGAGTCCTGGATATGCTCCGTCTATCAGATGGCCGCATGAGTGGTACAGCAGGCGGAACAATCGGTCTCCACATCTCACCAGAATCCGCCGACCCCGATTCAGTGCTGGGAATCATCAGGAACGGCGACCTCATCACCCTCGATGTTGAGAAGAGAATACTCTCAGTCGATCTCACAGATGAAGAAATCGCTCAAAGAATCCAAGAGAGGAAAAAGACCTTTGCAGCGAGCGAAGGAGCCGCAGCTCCGTGGGTGAAGAGAGAAGGCATGAGAGGTTATCGGGGACTGTATATGCGACATGTGAACCAAGCGGAGGCAGGTGCAGACTTTGACTTTTTGACGGCTGATGGACCGTCTCGATCATGAATATGTTAATGTCTCTTATATGGTTGGATACGTAGGTATAAAGTCTTGGAAAAGGTCCCGGACTATGGTATCGACGTTGATGGAATCCGTCGCTTCAAAGTATTCGGCAAATGAATCATTCATGAGAAAATCTTCGAATCCGTTTCCGCTGAAGGCGTTTATGCTCTCGTTGTGGCTCATCGGCAGCGTAGTGTTAGGATAGGAAATGCCAACATCTAGGCCTGCCAATGTGGTTTGCGCAGACGTGACGACTGGCCCTTCTGTCTCACGAATAGCCCCATGACTGGTTGTAATGCCAGACTGTCCGTTTCTGTCTCGTAGCCATCGGATTGTTGATCTTCCCAGTTCGTCCAAGATGTCTCGACTTCGTTTTGCTCCTGACCAATGCTCACCAGTGGCGCTCAGAACACTCAGAGAAATGCTCAGGTCCCCCATGAGAACATCAATCTCAGTATCCCGCGCAATCTCTGGTACCACTTTGATGCAGTATAGCAAGGTGATTGTGCTGAGCACCAGAGCATGAAACGTCACCCAGCTGTGCACCAAGAGGTTCTTCTTGTACAAGCTATCAAACAACTTGATACTCTCGCAAGCACTCTGGTGGCACTGTATCAGACCCTCGCTGGAAGGCTTGGGTATAGCGGGGTTGGGTCTGAGGAGAAGCATCCTCAGGCCGTGATAGCGCAGTTGGCAGGTCGTCCGGAGGTAAAATTCGGATGGTTCGTTAGGGGAGACTGGGATCTGGCTTGCCCACTCGTCCAACTGGCGCAGCATAGATGTTTGCCAGCCATTTATATCGACGACCGGGGGGTATGCGTAACTTGGCGAGTCTCTGACGATGCTGTTGGCAACGTACTTGATCTCCGAGTTGAGCTTGGCCGCCTTGAAGAGATGCATCGCAAAGTCCATCTCCTTATCAGATCCTGGGAGCGGTGGCTGGTTTATATCTCCAAGCTCATTGTCACTCAACCCTTGGGGCATCTATACTGGTCAGCCAAGGCTTAGCGTGTTGGTGAGCTTCCACTTACACGAAGTTCGCACGCCTCATCCCTCACACCAATGGGACGACCCATCATGGTCGCAATGATCCGATCAAAAGAGAAAATGACCCAAAAGATACGCGTACGCATCTCCTGTTCCAGCAAAGATATCCCGGAACCAATGTTGATGTTGCGCTGAAGGCCCAGGTCAAGCAAGGCAGCGAGGCAGTGATAATTGAGGTACCACACGTTCAACCGGACAAAGGGGCTATGAATAGTGAATATGAGAAGCAGGAGCAAACACTGGACGCCTTGTAAGGAATTTTCGAGGTTGAGTTGTTCGAGATGCTGTAGGGCGGACAGGCAGTATGATTCTGCTGGTATGCGAGCCCTGAGCCGACCGGATAGTACGGTAGCCCCTATGGCCAGAACCATGAATACTTGAAAGCCAACAACAGGGCCATTTTCTTCTTGCTCATAGGCCTGATCCAACATCTTTAAGAATGTAGGCCTATGAAGGATAGGGTACTGCAGGTGTATCGCGTCAAAGTAAGCATCGCACAACTGCTTCGCCATGTCTCGAGCTGGAAGGGAGAGTGGCCCTTGGATCGCCTCAATAAGCTTGATAGGAAAAGGGGCATCGCGACCTGCTCGGTTGAGCCTCTCGTCCTGCTTAGAGGACGAGTTGAGCATCACTCGTGCCAGAAAGTAGCCACTAGAAGGGCCGATGTATCTTGGGTCTTGGTTTGTCCCCAGAGACACCAGTCCAATCTCATGGGACAGGGCACCGGCCCCTGTAGGCCCAGGAGCCGACCTAACTGGTTGACTGCTTGGTTCTGTAATTGTTTCATCGGCGGCCTCGGTATAGTCCTGGGCTTGCAAAGCAGAAGGAGACTGCAGTATCGTGTCTGTGGTATCATCCAGAGCAGCTTCACTCGAGGCTTCTCTAGTCTCAGGAGGCGGCTCCTGAGATAAATCAACGTCAGGACATCTTGAGCGCACAATACCTTCCAACCAAGATATACGACGCTTTAAAGTTGAGATGTATCTTACTTGACGTTAACATAGGAATTGCCAATGCACGTTTGACCTACTCTCTGGGCAGATCCTTCAGCCGGGCACTTTCTCCGTCTGTACAGGCAGCACCAGCATTTCGACAATTCTTACACGCCGGAAGTTCTCCATCACACTAAACTCATCAGTTCCATACCCCAGACACTAGACTTTGAAACGTACTCGTATCTTGCGTCTCTGGCAGCGGAGACAGGCCATGCGCAGCCTGGGATTTCTCCGTCCCAGCTGATTCCGTCTTTGGGTCCGCGGCCCACTGGAACTTTCATCTTCCGGCATCTTTGGGGGATCTGTCCAAAGGTGAATTATTATTGGTGGATGTATGAGTGGCTGCAGGTGCTGTTGTTGAAGAGTGCAAGATGGAGTGGCGAAACTCCGAAGGGAGCGGGGAGATGCCGAGAGGTTCAAGGTGGGAGACGGAAAAACGCCGCGTGGTTTAGAGGATAATCAATGACCCAGTTGACGATTAAATAAAAGCATTCAGCGCTCGTTCAATTAGAACAAATACTATTCGTCATTGTTTCGTTGCATAATTATACTCACTTATTCAAGATTACTCTCTTCACTCATCTCTGTTTAACCAAACTCACTCACCAACCGTGTTCAACTCCTCGCATTAGTCCGCAATGGCCTCTCAACCCCCAGAAGAATCCCTCAAAATCCACGTCGCCGCCTCAGAAGCCCGACGCCTAGTCCAAGACATCCTCAAAGGAAACGGCGTCCCAGAAGAAAATGCCACCATAGTCGCCCGCTGCCTCGTCGCCGCCGACCTCCGCGGCGTCGACACCCACGGCATGAACCGCATCCCCTCGTACATGGAGCGAATCCGCCAGGGCGTACTCAATGCCAGCGCACAGCCTGTCGTGAATCAAGTGACGCCAGCTGTTGCTCAGGTCGACGGGAAGAATGGGTTTGGCTTTGTTGCGGCTCATAAGGGTATGGCTGCTGCTATTGAGTCTGCTCGTGTGTTTGGTATTGGCATGGCTAGTATCAAGCATTCGAATCACTTTGGTATGAGTGCTTGGGTTGTTCAGCAGGCTCTCGATGCAGACATGATGAGTCTTGTATTCACAAACTCAAGCCCTGCTCTGCCTGCCTGGGGCGGTAAGAGTAAGCTCATGGGTGTGTCTCCCATCGCCTGTGGTGCACCAGGTAAAGGCCCAATGGAGAACTTCATCCTCGACATGGCGCCCTCAGTGGCAGCTCGAGGCAAGATCTACAAAGCAAAGCGACGCGGCGAAAAGATTCCATCCGACTGGGCTCTTGACTCCGAAGGACGTCCAACCGATGACCCTGAGGCTGCTCTCGGAGGCGTCATGCTCCCCATGGGAGGACCCAAAGGTTCCGCCCTATCCATAATGATGGACGTCTTTTCAGGAGTCCTCTCCGGCTCAGCCTTTGCTGGCCACGTCACAAACCCCTACGATCCCTCAAAGCCCGCAGATGTCGGTCACTTTCTAGTCGCCATCAAGCCAGATCTATTCATGAGTTTGGACGAGTTCCGCGAGAGGATGCAGTACCTGTACGAGAGGGTGGTGGGGTCTGAAAAGGCAGCTGGTGTAGAGAGAATCTATTTTCCGGGAGAGATTGAGCAGTTGGCTCAGAAGGAGAGGGAAGAAAGGGGGATTCCGCTTGTGCAGGCTGAGATTGATGCTTTGAATGAGGAGGCGAGAAAGGTTTCTGTTGATACTTTGGTCACAATGGAGGGTCGATAGCCACTTGGAATGAAAACACTCAAATCATGTAAGAATACCATAAAACTGCCTCTACTCAGGGAGCGTCACCAAGCTGCCACCGTCCTCATGCATACTTCCATCGTTGTGTATTTCAATATCCTTCCCACACAGCCACGTAACCGACCAAATATGATGAATATGACGGAAAATGCAATCTCCAGGGCTAAAAACTTTGTATTCCGATAGCTGAGTCGCTTGGAGGCTATTAATATGGGCCACTTTGAAGCTCATGATCGTGAAGCTATCCCCATAGCGGCCACGGACATTCCCCGTCAAACAGTTCACGGGTTTATTCCGCTCAGTCTACACCAAGTTAAATGTGCACACTTTAAGAACAGAAGTTCAACCACAATGAACTTGCCTTCATAATCTACATCACACATAGTAAACCGGAAGCGCACAATCGTCACCATGACTGTCGTTCACATCGGTACGTCGGCACCTTGTTTCATCACTCTCCCACTGACATTGAACAGTCCTCTTCAAATTCCGACCTGATGTCGATGAATACCACCGAAAGACATTTGTCAAAGAACTCAAAGCACTCAAGAGTCTATCCTGCGTAAAGGGTCAGCGCTTGGTAGTCGGCGGCCCATCCATCACAGACCCCATCGCGCGAAGCAAAGGCTACCAGATTGCTTTGTTAAGCTTCCACAAAGACCCTGCTGCGCTGGCAGAATATCAGGCCAGTAGCGAACACCACAGGTAAGTTGCCGTATGAGACGAGAGTGGAAATGAGTGTTGACTTGGCGTCAGGGTGACGAGTCAGTATCTATGGCCTTTTGCTGAGGATGTAACACGTTTCGACTTTGAAGTGGACGCTGAGGATGAGGACATGTTTGAAAAGCGGTTTGGTTTCTCTCAGGTATAGAAAATAGATCTTACATTACTATCGTACTCCCTTTACCAAGGCCAGCACTCGTACCTCTGAAGCGTCATCGTTCAGCATTATTCAACAAGCAGCCTCAAGACTCTCATACAAGGTGAATCGCCAGCGACCTCAGTCCCTGGACTTCCGGTAAGACTCCGACATTGAGAATGCTCTTTCACCCATTATATGCTCTTTCGAGACAGAGAGGGGAGCCGTATCTCAAAGCGGATATCTGCCACAGCCATTTTATGTCAAGAGGTTCCGGCGTGCACATCCGAAGGGAGCAGAGAGTAACCGTCTCAAGTACCAATCCGTAGAGTAAAAGTCTTCAAAAGTCAGGTACACACTCACGAGGTATTGCGAGCTTGGCGCATTGGCAGATAGATGGTACGTTAAATCGCTGGTCAAGTCAGCTCGTCCACTTATACTAATATTGCCACCTCTCCATATCAAGCATGAGGGATCAGTCCTTATCTCGTCGAGAAAGACTTTGGGTCAAAAATCGTCCAGAGTGATTGCGAGGCCGAGCCAAGACAACCGAGGCCGGCGTGGCCATGGGCAAATCACTCAGTCTTTGCCGCTTCTCGTCATCGATCGCGCCGAGGATTGTAGGTTCTCGCATCAAGAGCTTCGAAGTTCGAGATCGACATACTCATTTCGGCGCGACTGTGGACGAATCAGTAAAAGCGCTAACACTCACACCCTCAGGACCAAAATTCCATGACATCCGTATCTTGAAGCGACCGCATCTGGCAGCCGATGTAAATCCCGAATTATAGTACAGCATTGCGCCCGGTAGGTGAAACGAATATCCCAGAAAATCAATCATACAAAGCAGGAAATGCGCCAGTGGCCTAATCCCGGCCAGTTCCACCCTCTCAACGCGTCTGTGGTTATTCGGCGCGTGAGCCGCCGCTGCTGTGTCTCGCGCGTTTCCGGCCGCTGCTTGTGGCAGGGTGCATCTTGTCGTTGCGCTCTCTCTTGAGCTTGTCGTCCAAGACGCGAGCTGTATGTGTTAGCACTAGGCACGTCTTTTATACAGGAGAACGTACTGAGAACATCGTATCCGAACTGGGGGTGCTCCAAGCACAGAGCCTTGAACTCGTCCTCGGCCTCGGCGCGCAGGGTGTGGGAGCGGGTAGCCCAGAAGCTCGCGATGGGTGCGCGAACTGTAGTATCGTCGGTACCGGTGTAGGCATAGACGTAGCGGGCGTAGGCGATCTCGCCCTTGGCAGTCGAGTTGACGCAGTGGATCTTGGAGCTCGCGAGGGTCTTGAGGCCCGAGACGCCAAACTTCTCGGCGAGTGTGTAGATGCGGGCGTGCTTGAGGAGCTGGTCGCCGCTGTTGTCCACCGAGGGGATCGAGGGGTCCGACTCGAGGACGCGCTGGCCGGGGAGCTTCTTGGGGAAGTATTCGCCAGTGTAGAGGAATTCGAGGAAGCTTCCGACGGTGTCGATGTCGTAGTCTGGGAGCTCGATCTGACGCGGCTGGGGTGTGTTAACGGTCTGAGCCAGACATATCACAAGGCGCAAAGGTATTAGACACTGACGCTGCCATCCTCGGCAAATCTGTCGCAAATCTCCTTAAAGTAAGGGCTCTGGGCCAAGAGGCCTTGATGCGCCGTGAGAATTGACTGATCGCCTGATCCAATGAGCAGGGTAGCGATCGGGCTCATAAGATAGTTGGCAAATGTGACTCTAGGCTCTGTGATTTCGGCCTCGGCGAAAGGAAGCTCGCTCCCGTTGGGGTTCTCCTGCTCCTCGCCATCCTGAGTGTTCTGGGTCTCAGTCATCTCGACGTCGCCTGTCGGCTCAGCCGACTCCTCGTGGTGCTCATCGGTAGGCATTTTGAGCCGAGCGATCGCGAATCTTTAAAAAATGAAAGTCTTGAGCAATTGGAACCAGAAACGAGCGTAAGTCGGCGCGCGCGTTGGAATCGGTCGCAACACTGACGAAAGCTGATTGATGGGCGCGTGTGGGTGTGTGTACGAGTCGATAGGTGGGAGCTCTAGAGGGATGCCGAAGAGAAACGCTAGTCCGAAAGCAGAAGCCAGCTTTGAAGTGGGTCTGGGGTCAAGCTGAAGCTGATGCCTCGTGCGCAAGGCATGAACAAAAGAGTCACCTACCCTAGACCTTCACATCAAACTGGAGCCGCTATCGGTGTGCCCCGCCCCCACCAATCTCTTGGAGTCACCTCTGACCAAACCAACGCTGGACCATCAATTGGCCGTTAATTGGCATGGAGACAAAGAAAAAGTAGCAAACTCCAAGCCAACCCATCACTTTCTTTGTTCCTGGCCTACCTCCCCTCCTTTTCTAGACGCCACTTCTTCCCATTGTCTCGATCTCCTTAAGATGTATGGTGCAGCGCAGGTAACTATAGCCATTCCCATCATCCTCAATTCACCATGGACAGTAGACTCATTGATCGTCAGCTCGAGATACGGCCTTCTGCCGATGAAGCTCGCGATGCCTTCAACCAGGCCTGGTCCGACACGAATCGTCCTACTCTCCTCCCCGTCTGCGCCTCGACCCCCGCCGATCTCCTGACTCCTTCTGCCGTGTACCTGAAGCTCTCGTCAGGGTAAATGCCCTCTGTTCTGGCTTAGACCGCTCGACCTGTGACTCACGACTTATAGAGCGACGGTCGAATACTCATTTCTCCTGGAAAGCGCAACTGGCAGTACCGAGACTGTTGGACGGTATAGCTTCATCGGTGCCAGTAGGCTCCCCTATGTTCCCCCAAGTGAAACAATATCTAAGCCCTTCAGACCCCCGAAAAGTCTTGACAACCGGCGACGGCTACGGCCATGTTGGTGACCCTCTCCGAGCCCTCGAGGCCGAACTCTCCAAAGACCGAGTCCTCGACATTCCCTCCCTACGACTTCCCAAGCTTTCCGGCGGTGCCGTGGGTTACGTCTCGTACGATTGCATCAAGTACTTTGAGCCCAAGACCGAACGACCGCTCAAGGACAACCTCAAGATCCCCGAGGCTTTGTTCATGCTGTTCGACACCATTATTGCTCTCGATCACTTCCGCTCGACTCTGACTATCGTCACCCACATGAAACTTCCCGCGAACCCCTCGGATGATCTCCAACCCGCCTACGATGAGGCCTGCGCTACGCTGCGAAAGACTCTCGACATCATCTACCAACCTGATACTCCCCTTCCTACCCAGACATCGGGCCCTCAATCAGACTCGGAGCTACAGTACTCGTCAAATGTTGGCCGAAAGGGTTACGAGACGTTTGTCACAGAGCTCAAGAAGTACATTGTCAAGGGAGACATTATCCAAGCTGTGCCGTCACAAAGGTTTTCACGCAGCACAAAGCTTCACCCCTTCAACATTTACAGGACTCTTCGGACGCTGAATCCTTCACCTTATGTGTTTTTCCTTTCATGCGCCGACTTTCACATTGTCGGTGCTTCACCTGAGTGTCTCATGAAGACTGATGGATATGCCCCTCTCCCTGCGGACTCTCGGTTTGGCTACACCGCGGCCGAGGCTCGCTCACGGCCTCGTATTGTTAACCATGCTATTGCTGGTACTATTCACCGTGGAAAGAATGCCGCTGAGGATGATGAGCTTGCGACTCAGCTTCAGGCTTCTAAGAAGGACCGCGCTGAGCACGTCATGCTTGTTGACCTTGCTCGTAACGATGTGAACCGAGTCTGCCACCCTACCACAGTCAAGGTTGACCGATTGATGAGAATCGATCGATTCTCTCACGTTCAGCACTTGACCTCTGAGGTTTCGGGCGTTTTGCGCCCTGAGTGCACACGCTGGGACGCCCTTCGATCCATCTTCCCCGCTGGAACTGTATCAGGCGCCCCCAAGATCCGAGCCATGGAGCTGATCTACGACCTAGAGCAGGAGAAGCGAGGAATCTACGCAGGCGCCGCCGGCTGGTTCGGCTATGACGTCGTAAGGGTGGATGACAACAGCAAGCCCGAGGAGAAGATCTTTATGGATGAGGGACCCATGGACACTTGCATCGCCATCCGCACCATGCTCGTCAAGGACGGGGTTGCGTACATGCAGGCAGGTGGTGGCATTGTCTATGACAGCGACCCTACGGACGAGTGGATGGAGACGATGAACAAGTTGTCGGCCAACCTTCGCTGTGTGGAGTTGTCAGAGAAGTACTTTGGGGAGGGGGTCAGCACTAAGACTGTCGAGGAGATTATTGCTGAGGAGAGGAGGAAAGGAGAGAAAGAGGTCAAGGCGGCTGAAAACTGAGTGTACATTGTGTTGACGTGCATGTTGAATGCTGATGTACAGGTTGCATGTGGTAGATAGAATGGACAGTAGAAATTCATTGTATATCCATGAATGTCGGTTGTTTGCCAGCATGTTCACTGAATATGGTGCCTGTTGAAATTGAATCGCTGCTTTGTTCGGACGATATTCACCACGCCTTTGTCTCGTGAACGGTTCTTTTTACATGGTTCATGCTCTGGTACTCGATGGTTGACTGTTCACATCCAGTACTTTCAAGACGCTCATCGTAACATGATGGAATACATCAGGTGCAGTTATGCTGAGCTCTACTATATAATGGCTTACAAGTTGTCTTCAAACTTGCTCTCATCTCATCATCACTCACAGCTCACTCGTCTACACTCAATCAAGTGTAGATATCGAAGCTACAGCAACGCAACATCACCATCTACGCAACTCACCTTTTACTCACTCACCAAAACACCAACCATGCCTCGCAGCACCATGTCGTCTGCAGACGGGTCAGAGCACTACTGGCCCAACATCAAAAACGCCATCCTGCAGAACCCAGCAGGTCAGCCATCCAGTCAGCGCATGAAGCCTAAGTGCCCTATCTGCTTTCACACTTTCGACATCACCACATTCCGCAGGCCATCGGGCAACGCACCCACCTGTGTGGTTCTCTTCTGCGGTCACGTCATGTGCAGGGAGTGTCTTAAAGAGACGGAGGAGTCTGGCCTCGGAGGCGAGGATAAGAAGTGTCCTTGCTGCCGGACGGCGCTGGCCTGCAGGTGCGGCAAGGCGTCCAAGACGTTCACGGTGCCTGACGCCAACACGGGCCCTAACGCCGTATTTAATGCGCCGCTCACCAAGCCCGAGGTCCCCAACGGGAACGTCCAGCCAAAGTGCCACCAATGCACGGCGTCGGGGGAGTGGCTCGGCCGGATCGACAACGGGGACTGGCCGAGAGAGGCCGAGACTATGGAGCCCGGGGCCGTGCGGTTCATTTACGGGACCATCGATGCACTCGAGTCCGAGGGCCGGCCCGTAACTCCTGGGTCTGTCTCCAGCGCGTTTGGGAGCGTCACTAACGATGAGTACCAGATGTTGAGCAGCCACCGCGATGATTTTATAAGCCAGCGGAGACCGGAGCTCGAGAGGGAAAATCCATGGTTTGGAGGACATCGTGAGGCTGGTGGACTAGACCGTTACAGTTCTTCCAGTCGCCATCACGAGCGACGCCGCGAGGTCAACGTCGACTACCAGGCCCCTCTGGATTCTCCCCTCAGCCCAGCAGCCCTCGCCCGTCGCAGCGAGTTTGAGGAGCGTCGTCGCATCCACGACAGACTGCCAGAGGAGAGAAGCCTTCATGAACAGCTCAGTGGGCTAAGCCTAGGAGGTGAACCACGCTTTGATGCCTTTGGAAGGCCTCAACGCAATGAGCGGAGAGATCGTACCCAACAGCTCTACGACGAGCCCGGCTTTGTCGAGCCTCGACGACGAGATGCTATGGGTGGTATGCCTGACTCTGGCGACTTTAGAGATCGCGGGATGGGCCGTGAGCCTTGGCAACGAGATGCCGGCATGGCCAACCATGGCGACTTTGGAGGACGTGAGACGGGACGTCAGACTGGCCGTGATGCCTTCTCTAGTGCCCAATACGGACGGGATACCGGCAACCCATACGCGGATCAACGCAGACGGGAGACAGACAACCCATACTCCGGCCAACGCGGACGGGATTTCGGCAACGATACCCCACAAGCACGGAACACCGGCAACCCCTACGGCGGCACTCCATCCGGAGGTGATGCCGGCAGACACGTCTGCCGGCACCACGTCCCCAACACCCAACGCGACGCAAACACTGGGCGCTACCCCGATACGCCACGCCCTCGAATCCTTCATCCGGAACGCGTGCCAGGCCCGCCAGGCTCAGACCACGCTGAGCTGCTCGCCACGTTTGAAACCTCTCCCGAAGCGCAGAGAATCTTCCAGGAGGACATGGAGCAGAAAGCCCGCGGCCGCATCACACAGGAAGAGCTTTCCGATCCTGCCTTTATCGAATGGCGCAAGCGAGAAGCCGTTGTCGATCTTGAGTGGTCGATGGCATATCCATCTGGACGGTAAAGTGGTGAGGTCTCTTTCTTTCCCCGTCTGAACGCCGTTCTGGAACGGGCCGAGAGATGACGCGGCTGCAAGTGTAGCGGATGGAATTCAGGAACGGGAATGTTGCTGAGTAAGACTTGTAAATTAGTTGTAATAAATCATTCACCTTTTTTCTTTCACATCAATCATCCAACCCTTGCTTTAACGCACGATGCCGTCAGAGCCGTTATTTCGTACGTCAAAGAAGTGAGAGAAGACCGCCACCGGTGAAACCAAATGACAATCAAACCCCGTGATGCATGTTAGGGGGGGAAAAAAAGGTGACGACGACGCGTGAGGAAAAAAGCCAACTAAGCCATGCTCTCGTTAGTCTTCGGCATACCGGCTCGTAGAACAATGATCGACCATTCCACTCGGCAACTCAAAACCGGAATGTATATGCCGAGCGGATGGAGTATTCTTTATAGAAACACGATATTAACAAATGAATCAATTAAAGACTGAAGAGAGAATGAGAGTAAAGAGACAGAGAGGAGAAGGGGAGGAAAAAAGTGGGGGATAGCATCATCTCACCGCGCCGTGCCGGTATCCGATCGCGCCCAATCGACCCCGGCAAGTCGGCACGGCGACATCCACAAGTTGTAGACGCCCGGTTTTGGAATGAATTTCAGGGCTTCAGGGCGTGTCAGGGTCTTGTACCTTTGTAGGATCATCAACAAGAGAGAAATACACAGACGGACAATTATCTAGATACAGTCTACTGTTTCTCCAATACTCTATCAATCAATCTCTTCTCAATATCCCATCTTAAACCCCATCTTGCATTCATCCGTCATGGTCAACAACCGGTCTATTCCCTCGAGTTCCCACCTCGCTTCCTCGGCACCGCGATCCTACCCACGAGCCACCCCAAGAAAAAAGCCCACACCCCCCCCCCCCCCCCCCCCCCAATAGCTAAGCTTCTAGTGGAGGGCAGTCCGTCCTGTCTCGGAAGTACGGCTTCGTCCCCAAGCTTGCCCTTGAATCTGTTCGTGCCGTTTCTTCCAGGACGCGACGAGGCCCTTACTTTGCGGCGGTAGACTAAGAATAGGCGGCAGCCCCCCAGGTCCCAGTCTCCCCCCCTTCGCTGTAATACATACATCCCTTCCCACGGCCACTGTCTGTCTCTTTTCCCCCTCTCTTTCCCCCCCGCCCTCGCTGTTTACTACGTATTATTCCCCCCATTTTCTCTTGGCCCTGTTCGTCCCCCTCCCCTCCCCTCCAAAAAAAAAAAAAAAAAGTGTCTTGTCTCGCCTTGTCTTGGACTACTCAAGAGTCCAGGGGGGCCGGCCTAGAAGCGCCTCTGCCAAGCAAATAACTCGATCGCGCCGCCCATTCATTCAACTCACAAGAGCCTCAAATCCAAACAAATTACACAGCTTGCTTGTGCTTTGCTTCCCAATTCCTAGGCGCAGCACCTCCAAGCCCGCCTTCGTCGAAACCGTTCATGTAAATGCCTTCCGCTCTGCAGGCCGACATGGACCCCGCCGTCGTCGGCCTCCCTGCGTCCACCGCCATCGCCGGGCTTCTCGCTGTCGGCGCCACTGCCATCGACACCCTCATCGATCTCAACATCTCACCTCAGCACGACACGGCTATCCTCAACCTCTTCCTCCGTGAGGTCAAGGAGTGTCGCTCTTCGATTCACGCCCTCTGCAAGACTCTCAGCCTCATCGAGAATGCTCAGATCCCATTCCCAACCCGAGCAGCATGGATCGGTCTCGATGAGCTGGTCGCCACTCTGACCGACACAGTTCTCGCCTTTTCTCGCATGTATTCCCTGTGCTGCACACTCGACGAGGAGGCTGCGCGCTCGAGCCCTGAAGATGCCGCAAGACACCTGGAGAAGCGCATAAGGGCCCTGTGCGCCCGTGTCCGGTGGCATAACCTGTCAATCGCCATGATGATGACCGTAATAAACTGGTGAGCAGGCCACATAGCCCACAGAATCATATCCCTGCCCTCCTCTCGTTTGTTCGCACAGACCGCAGAATGGCTGACTGGATGGAAATACCAGCCCAGGGGAAAAGGACGCGAAAAATAGCCGCGACGAACTTGCCCACCGCATTAGTCGACTTCTCACCTTCAACGTTGGTCTCGCATCCCGTTTGCGAAGCGGCAGCCGGCCCGGATCCTCGGCCGCCAAGCCTCCGTCCCCCGGTGCCCAGCCCGCCGAGACCTCCGCGATCGCCCGTGCAGATGTGGGTCCCACCCCCGGATCTTGGCCCTCCAACTCGGGCACCCTCGCCGATCGAAAGGCCATCTCCCGCCTCATCCTGCCCGTCACACTAGAGGAGCTTCGGGACGACTTCGAGTACTATGTGCCTGACATCCCCGAGCAGGTCGGGGGCTGTGATTTTGTCACAGGCGGCGTACTTGTCGGCACTCCATATGAATTTACGCCGCCGCGATGAATGACACGGCTGGATTACTATTAGCGTATGAATTACCAAAGATGAAGAGGACGTGTCCTCGGGAAGGATAATCATCAGGAACGATGACGAGGATGCAAACTCGGTGTTAGGGTTAGTAATTGCAGGCTTCTTCAAGGTCGGTCGGATTAGCTTGCTGTCTTTTTGCTTGATGGTTGGGGTTAGACGGGCATTTCCAAGGTTTTCATGATTGTAAATGGGTTCTTTTTTCACAAGGTGGACAAGATTCATCTAAGCATTTAAATTCAGTTAAGATATCCAATCAATTAAAAAAAGACCACTGGGTCTGTTGCACTTCTTAAATGATGTACTTATTTCCGTGCATCTTGACCTTGTCAGCGTAGGTCTGGATAGAAACCTCGGTTGTACGCTCAGGAAAGTCCTTGAACGAGAGGGCGTACGTGGCCACCGAGTGGGCAATGAGCTGTGACGCTGGTCAGTTACATGTTCGTCTTGACACAATACACGACTCACCTTTGTGTTGACCTCCCAGGCAGTGTAGTTGACGTTGTTGAGGTCGTCGCACAACTGGTGATAGCAAGGGTCATACCACTGGCCGGCGATACCACCAAACTGCTCTGCCTCCTCCTTGGTCTTGACACCCTCGGCACCAGTAGCGATACCACCAGCGGGAATACCACCACGGATGAATCCATCATAGTCGCTGCGGCCGTCAAAGGGGATAAAGGTATAGTTGAGACCCTGCTCCTCGTACCAGTCGACGTAGAGGTTACGCAACTCCTCAGAACCGGCGGGGTTCTCAGAGTTGGTAGCATTGTAGATCTGGTAGGCAAAGTTGGGGCTACCCATCATGTCGTAGTCCATAAAGAGGCGGATCTTGCGGTTCTCCTCCTCGGGCAGCACGGCAACGTAGTGGTCGGAGCCAAGGAGACCCTCCTCCTCAGCAGCCCACCAGGCGAAGCGCACGCAGTTGTTGACGCGGAACTTGGAGAGTTGGGTGGCGACTTCAAGAACGGAAATGCTGCCGGAGCCGTCGTCGTTGATACCAGGTCCCTCGGTGACACTGTCACTGTGGCCACCGAGCATGACACAGTTCTCGGGGTCACCGTGACGGGTCTGGGCAATGATGTTGGTGGTAGCGATGGTCTTGACCTCGGCGTCAATGTACGCAATAGCATCAACCTTTTCGCCATCCTTGAGCTTCTTAGCAATAGCCTGGCCTTCCTCACCGCCGAGTCCGAAAGTAGCGACGTGGTTAGGAGAGGGAGTTCCCAAAGTTCCATGAACCTCCTCCTTCTCATAGTTGTACACCACAGCGGCGACAGCACCAGCCTTGCCAGCATTCTCCGACTTGGTACCGAAGGGGCATGTTCCTCGCAGGATGAGAGCAATGTTGCCCTTGAGGGATTCGGGGTAGTCGGACTCGCTGCAGCCCTCGTTCTTGACGAGGACGAGGTTTCCGTAGACGGGCTCCTTGTTCTTGGTGGGAGGAGTCAGACCCATGGGCGACGCGTCCTTTGGCACCGAGTTACCGATGACGAGGCGAGACTCGAAAACGTTGCCCGACACGGCGGGGAACTGCTGGTTAGAGACGGAATAGTAACCGCCCAGCTTGGCCAGCTCAGCGTGGATGTAGGACAATGTGCCGAGGTGGCCTAGGTAGCAGTCATCAGTATCATGCAGATAACACGGCCGAAATCGGCAAGCTCACCTTCACTGCCAATGACACGAGTAGGATGTCCATACTCCTCCTCTCCATTCTTTGCAATCTCATAAAGCTCCTTGGCCCTCGTCTCGAGGTTCGAGGCCTTGATGCTGTGCTGCAATTCCTTGGTATCGATCAAGGGCAGACCGGTGAGGTCATCGCTGCTGGGTCCCGAGCTAGAGCTCCACGGAAGCTGGACATTAAGAGGAATCTGCAGGGCCGAGACGCCCGAGAGCGCCGCAGCAGCGACCAAGAGACTCTTGGCAGTCATTGGAATGGTGGAATGAGAATCTGTCTTGGGTTGTTTATGGAGGAGAGAGAGAGATGAAGGAGGAGAGTTCAAGTGATACAGCCCTTGTGATGAGGTGCTGGGACTCGGGAGCTATTAGTGGCTGTGGTTGCCCGCTGCGACGCAAGCCAGGCACAAGCTCTTATCGCGTCTTGCCGCTAGCCGCTTTGAGTCATGAGCTTTGCCTCCCCGCATTAGGTTACAGCATGTCTCGGATCTTGCCTGTTTACCCTGGACTCACAGAGATGAGGGTATTTGCAGTTGCAGTATGTACAAAGAGAAACCCACTGCAGACTTGAACTTTGACTAAAGCATTGCCGTTGCCATGGATGCCGGCTTTTGATGCAGCTAAGAACTCTATTCCAATCAGGGTTGATAGTGACCCCCCCTTCCATCATGCACCCCAAAGCAACGGCCACCAATGGTTCTTCACCAGTCGACGTGAAGCTCACCGAAACTCACTCTTGAGACCTTTTCCAACTGCATATCGCCAACATTATACAGTATGCGAATATTTTACCTGTGATTGATTGTTTAGAGCTGTTTATTCAAGATGCCGAGTCGCCACCAGGTTTATAGTTTGCTTTCTCACTACCTAGGCAGGCTGAGACGCCAATATTGCTAGCCACGACGAGTTGAGGATTACACGGAGAGATAAGACGGATTATAAAACTCTCTCTATATATATGCCGTCCGTTTTATCTAATAAATAGACAAAAACACAAAATATCTACTGAATCTAGTATTTTCCCAGTGACATCATACTGACGCCCAGTCGAACCTCAGGTCCTCGCCGTACCACCTGTATGGTTAGATCGCCAGCCCAAATCTCACTCAGCTGTACCACCCTCAAGGTTGGGAGCACGAAAGAGAGACATATCGTGAGCAAGAGTACCTAGGGTATGAAGATAAAGCGAGCAGATGCCCCCAGAAAATTATTGCGCAAAAAATGGTTGCTGACTGCCTTTCTTGGCTTGACTTTTGAACAATGCACGTCGTCTATCTACTCTACCTCGGCGTCATCCAACGCATGGGTGAGATCCAACAGAGCATGCGTGGGACCGTGAACAAGATGTTTTCTGTCAAAACTACAGTGAGAGGGCGAGTAAAAACGGCCCTGCCGACAGACAGATGGATAAACTAATTTAACTAGACGCAGGTTACCGGCAAGACAAAGGGCAACACTGAAAGAGAAGCAGAAGAGGGACGTCGGGGTGCCGAGAAAGAAGTGAGAGAGTAGGGTTCGTCAGATACCAATAGGTCCTTTGATGGAGTCAGACGGCCACCGGTGAGCGGCTCTGAGAATCCCTGAATGACAATGCCTGGTTGAGGCTGATGTACTGACGACGGTTGAATCCAAGCCAAGTCAGCTCAGCCACGATCTTGCACATATCCTGAGCGTAATCAATAACAAACCAAACAACACTAGGAAGATTATTTAATTTAAAGATGCGCTAGTCAATCCTCTAACCATTCCATGCATGCCTGCCTCATAGTGTACAACTCCCCGTTGCTATAATTGTTGCACCCCGAACGCCCGAATACCAAATATTATTCTGCTCATCATGGATCGAGCAGCCTGCTGTTGACCCTTCTGAGCCTTCCACTTCTTCTAATCCCGGACAGATCTTCCTCCATTGCGGGTGCCACCCTTCTGGCTGTGCTGGCTGTGCTGTGTCGGCTCAGCTTCCGTCCTCGCTCCGACTCTTCTAGCTCTTCAGTTTCCGCCTTGGAAGCCCCAAAGCTCTTGCGTCCTCTCACCCGTCGCTCATCATCCGCATCTAGGAAACGATGGATCGTTCGATGATCTAGGACTCTCTCTTCCTTGTCGTGCGGTCCTGCCTTATCCGTCTTGGGCCAGATGTATCCGTAGAGCTTCGAGTGTCGTTCGCAGCGTGGGCAAGACGATCGTGTAAAGTATGCGTTCTGTTGTACAAAGTATCCATCGCAGATAGTGCACTGGATCCATGCCATCTCAGGCTCCGACAAGAGTAGTGGAGTCAGGAGATAATCACCGGGGGTTCGCACCCGAGATGGCGGCGTGGGTTGTTTGACAAAGGTGCGACGTTGGTATTTGCGGCGCTTCGGTTGTTCATCCTCGTCAGCGGCCTGACCCTCCTCGACAGTCTCGATGCTGGTTGCGATAGGTACTGTCTCGGGCTCGGGTACAGCCTCAAGAGCCTTTTCGGGCTCAGGCTGTGGTTCCATCTCAGACTCCAACGGAGCGTTGAGAATAGCTCGGATAGACATGCTCTCCAAGCCGTTTCGACCGTTCGGCCCTGCTGTGGAGGCTTCTGTCTTTGTCTGAGGTGACCGGGATCCCTCAGTGCTCTGGGGGGAAACTGGTGCAACCTGGGGGACTGCTTGAGTTCTACCCTGATCAATCGCCATAGGGATCGCTTCCTTCATGACTGGCGTCTTGACCATGGGCTCTGGAGTCTCCTTCTCAGGCGAAGTGACATCCGTCTCCACCACGCCGCTTCCTGACGATTCACTAGCCGTCACAGAGCTACTGCGCGAGGATGAATCTTCCCTGGAAACTGGCTCAGCTGAACGCTTTTGACGCTTCGCGGGCGTCTTGGGTGGTGTCGCAAGGGCATCAAGCGGTCGCTTGCGGCTGTTAGTCTCCGCAGGAGGAGATCGAGCAGCTGAAGAATCTCGAGCGTGGCCGAGGAGAGAGTGTCTCGTGGCTTTGGGAACTCGTGGCCGCATGTCGGGAGTAACCGAAGGAGTTCGTGATGAGCCAGAGATGCTGTCGTCTCTTCGTCGTCGTCGCAGCGAATATCCATCCGACTTTTCCTGCTCGATGCTCTTCTTCACCGCCACTGACCCCTCCTCAGGCTCCCACGCATTCCGCAGCAGATCCTCGCAGGTCTTGCAAAGACACTCGCAGTTGTTGTCGCCAAAGTAATTATCACCGTAAGTGACTGTGATCTCCTCTCCTGGTCCAATCGCTCGTGTTGCGATAATCTCGATTCCTGCATGGCTTGTCCTCATAAGTTTGGCGTTTGCATCGCAATCGTGGTTCGCAAATCGTGCGGGTCCCATGAAGAGGCTGGTGCACTTGCTGCGTGAGCTGACGACAATGCTGAAATCCTTCTTCTGGCTCGAAATTGCTTTCTCCTCTTCCGGAGTGATGATGACCTGGACGCCTGAGAGGTACTTGATGGATTCGTTGCGCTTGATGTACCGTCTGGCATGCACCGCAGCCTCGTGGGAGACAATCGTGTATCGGTTCGTCGAGCTGACCTCCCATGGGCAATCGGGCATGTAGATTTGCACGTATCGCCTCAAGTGTCGTCTGAAATCCTCCTTCTCCTTGTCTGTTCTCAAGCCATTGTAAAACCTCTTGAGTCCGTCCGTCTTCAGTAGTCGCTTCTCGGCAGCATCGAGGTCCTTGTTGATAACAACTTCCTCCTGAAGGACTTTGGTAATCTCCTCTTCTCGTACACCTCGGGAAGGGTGGTAAGATGTGCGATTCTTGGGAACCGTTGTCCAGTAAAAGACCTTGTCTGGGTTAGAGCTGTGTCACAAACGCCAGCGTCTACTCCTTCATAAACCACTCACATGGTCAACCAGGGCATCGGTGAGAATGTCATCATATGCTGACAATTGAGCCAACGTTATGCGTTGCTTCTTGGCAGGCGCATTCTTTGAGGGAGGCATGATGATGCCTACTCGAGCCCTTCAACACAGGCAATCTTCAAGTGCCGAAACCGTCGTCGATGCTGAAAAGGAGCGCACGTGTCCCTAACAAGGTACACAACAAAGGCGAGAAAGAGAGAATAGTGAGCGTCGATCCTCGAGGCACTCCAACTCAGAATCCTTGCGTAAAAACCGAAATGGAAACCTCTTGGTCTTGGAAAAAAGCGGTGGGTTCTAAAAGAGCGGCGCAGTGAAGCGATGTCGTCCAATTCAATTCAGCTCATCCACTCCCGCAACGTCATAGTCTTGAGATGGCCCGCAGCGAGTCAAGGCAGTGGAGACACAAGTCTCTCTTTGTAAGGAACGGTATTCGATTCGAAAAGCGACAGAGGAGAGACAGGGCGAGGCTGAGACTTGAGAGGAGGGGGTGCGGTCTCTCAGGGGATCCGGATTGAAGGAGGGAAGAGTTGGCGGAGGTGGAATGACATCGTTGCTTGCTTTCGAGGTTAGGGGGGGCTTGCTTTGTTCGTCCCTGGTCTGGTCCTGCCCCAGAGAATTGGCCAGGCGACGGGCGGGGGCTGTGCAATTGTTGATGTGGCTTGGCGCTTCAGGTGTGGCTGGCTGAGCCCGAGCCTTGCATGGCACGTGATCTTGGTTCGAAAAGTTCAACGCCAATGGTGGGCAGTTGACGATATCCGAGCTGGACTGTGGAGAGACGAGTTGGAATAGACCTCCCTGTGCGAGGATAGACTGCCAAAATGATTCAATTAAAGGTATGATTAATCTTTACATGGTTTTGTTTTCATATGCTAACTGCGATAGACAATGCTCAACTGCATCGACAACTCGGGCGCTGCCCTTGTTGAATGCGCTCTTGTCGTCGGCCAAAAACGACACGCCCGAATCGGTACGACCTCTCCCTTCTACACGATACACGACCCTCAATCGAATTATTCGAACTATTTACTACTTCCGGAAACTGACTGTCCCCATAGGTGACCGTATCGTCGTCGTCGTCCAGGAACAGCGAGGTTCCTCCTCCGGTGGCATGGCTGGTCTCTCTGCCGCCAACAAGGTTAAGCGCGGTGACATTCGCCACGCCGTCGTTGTCCGAACCCGATACCCTACTCAACGACGGGACGGCTCCGTCGTCAAGTTCGACGACAACGCCTGTGTGCTACTCAACAAGGCTGGTGACCCCGTCGGATCCCGCATCAACGGTGCCGTGGGCGCCGAGCTGAAGCGCAAGAAGTGGAGCAAGATTCTGTCGATGGCTCCTATGCAGGCTTAAAGTTTGGGAAGATGAGAGACTACAAGAGGGGAGGTGGACGGTTGTGTATAAAAGACACGAGGTTAGGACGAAGATGTCACCATGTACGAGTGGGATACTGTACAATTACGAATACTCGGGCATAATTGCGAGGCGTTGATGAGAAAATAAAGACACCTTTCAGCTCAATCATTTACGGTCACTGATTATGACTTGACGTTTTGGATGTGATTACATGTCACTTAAATGTTACTGCGAATAATGTTGTGATTCAAGACTGCAAAGAGCAGCTTGACAAGTCCTTATTGCCCTCCATCGCATCTACCAGTACAGGTCTATCAGATATTGATAGGATACAAATTCCATGTCTTCTAAAGCCATCCAGCGCCAGTGGCATCTTTGCCACACCCTTCCGTGAACGCCATTTGCTAATGGAAACAATCCGAGAACCCTTCCTCCAAATCTTTAAGACGGTGATGAGATCGAGCTCTTCGGGGGTATTCATACAAGTCATGCCTATGCGAAGATGTGACCACACTCGCAGCAAACGTAGAACAATTTCTACAAGAGTTAGTGATTTAACACTCTTGTGATGGTCGGTATGGCTTACCATGCCGGTCTCGGCGCTTCGCTGCTGAGACTGGAAGAAGACGGCTTCTTCATGCTTGCAACTGGGGCAGGTCTTGTTGGATCGCGGGAGCTGCAGCACACAAAAGAAGAACAAAGTCAGCCAGCAGTCTGTAAGCGAGGGCAAGCGGGTTCCAAAGAAGACGCGAGACACATGAGCTCCGACTGCTGAGTGCAACTTTACGCCACCGTCACGGGTCGGCTGCCAAACTGCTAGCCACGAGGGTGTCTATCATGAGAAACCCAGAGCATGTGCCAGCCAAATGAGGATGAACATAAATCGTATGCGTCGTGATGCAGCGTAAAGGATATAGTCGTTTACGTAATGTCGATCGGGAGTATGTGTCGGTCATAGGTCGATGTCCATGAGGCTGTCGCAGAACTCCTCGCTCGTGTCCGAACATGAATCTTCGGGGTCGGTCTTGAGGTCGCACTCCTCGGACATCATCTCCTCGTCGTACTCGGAAAAGGGGTCCGCATCCTCATCCTCCCAGGGCAGGGTAAACTGGCACATGCCCGTGACGGAGCGCTTGACGTTCTTGCGGACAGTGACGACCATCTGGCAGTCGGGCTTCCCACAGGTGGTGCAGAGGATGATATCGCCACAGCCGTGGCAGGTAACGGGCGGGAGGTGACTAACCGTTGGGTCGGAGCCAACATCCTGCGTGACACCGGCCGTCTCACCGGCCGAGGTGTTGAGGACGTTGCGGAAGACGCAGGTGGATTGGGCGTCCTCGGTGTACTGGCACGTCCGGCAGGTGAACTGCAGCTTGTGAGAATCCACATCTTCCTTGGGGTAGAGCATGTTGGAGCACTCGGAACAGAAGCGAAAGGTGATTTGCTCAAGCTTCTTGTCGGCCGAGGCGTCGTCGTAAGAAGTGGTGGACTGGGGGGTGGCCATTGTGGTCGGTCGCAAGCTGAATGTAATAATGCGTAGGGGAAATGGCGAGTCGCAGCGCGGTTGAAATACTAGTATATTCCAAGATGCGAGTGAGAGTCGCAAAGGCGATCCTTTGTTTGTCGCTCAGAGGTTGTGGTGTTGGTGAAGAAGAAAAGAAGTTGAAAGCGGCGAGGCAAGGGAAATGGTGGTAGGGTAGTCCAGGAGTGGGAGCGGAGGGCGAGTCCGTGCCGAAAAGACCTAGACCCACTGTTTTTTACCGCTGCCCGAAACTGGTTCCAGGTGACTTGATTTTTGGCTGGGTTGCAGGGGAAGATTGGCTGATGCAATGGTAGACGAGTCTGCAGATGAGAAAAGTATATTTTGCTTTTTGCCGAACTTTGAGGTTTGTGGTCAGATATCAAAGGAAATAGAGAGGAAGAACTAGAGTCTGGAAAATGTGGTAGGTCTTGCTAGTTTTGTAGGGAGACTCGAAATAGGACCAGGCCAGGCCTCGTGTGGATGGTCACACGTGGGGTTTGCCATGAGAGTGAGTGAATCCCATCTCCTCCTCAAAACTCTCTTGTCGCTCTGTTTCACGGTCTTGACGCGCCTTGCGTGGCAAGGCAAATACTAGGGGACAACACGGCCACTATGGATCCCCGACAGGGGGGTTTGTTTGGTTTGCTTGGTGACTCACGCCTGAAATCTACAACACAACTCGGCGATAAACATGAGGTGACGCTATTCCTGCCTGAAGTCCCAGGCAATATGACCCCCCGGCCAGCTGGCAACGGCACTTCCGCCCTGTGTAACTTGGCAACCCCAAATCATCTGGTGAGGCGGCCGACTACTGTGCACTTAGGAACAAAACAGTGAGAATCGTGATTTGGGCAATGATTGGTCGTAGCTCGTTACCTCGAGAAGGGGGCGAGTAAGCTGATTCACGATTGAAAATAAGCCGATTTGACGGTAGAGTAGGGCGACAACGACAACACCCCTCTTCGAGTCGGACGCGCAGATTCACACCTGCGTTAACCAACGCCTCGATCCAGGAACAATGCAACCTGGTAGGCATCCAAAAGGAGGACGCCAAGATGATGTGCATGGAATAAGAGACACGCATACGAAGCCTCTGGAAATCCCCAGAACTGCCCAACGTAGACAGGCAGAGAGTGAGTGCCGTCAGAGGTACTGGCGGGTGACCAAGAGTGGCACATGGAGGCTTGGATACCGGGTACGAGGGCCACGGGACCAGCCCATTCTCAACAGCACGACCACAAACGACGGTTCGAGGTCAAGACCACGTGTAAAATAGACGCAATCGATCCCGTCGTCGCTGTAAAGGGAAGAGTTGGGGAGTTGGGGATGCACTACTGTCGTTGGGTGTTCTCCTAGTCGTCGGCAATGAATGGTGTGATGGCTTCCTATCGCTCAACGAGCTCACCAATGCTCTTGTTGTTTACCCCTATGACAAAGCCATCCATATGCACTTTCATTTTAATTCCGTGCAATTTTTCACAACACTGTGCTTTTGGGTTATGCCTTTTGTGAGTCATGGTATTCCTAAAGCGCGTTCCTAAACGCGACCGATGGTTGATCATGGACTGGCTCATGGATCTCGCCAATAGTCGTTTCATCCATCATTAGACATCCCGTCTAAATGCCTCTCGTACATGCTTATCAGGTGTTCTATGTGCGTCTCGTTTGCGTATTCGATCTCGTCTGGCGTGTCTTCCCATACGGACTCCAAGTCCACAATAACAACCCTGTCCCCAACAAGAAGAAAGTTGTCCAGCTTCAAGTCGCCATATGCGAGTCCAAACTGGGCCAACTCAGCAAAAGCTTCCTCAATTCGACGCTGAAACTCCGGGGGCTCAAGACAGGGGAATTTTTGGCTGCATGCTTCGACACCGTCAACTTCAGAGAGGATCAAGGCGCGATTGTTGTGTACTGTTGTTTCGCCGAAGCATTTAGGAATCAGGGTCCCCTGTAGACACAGAAGCCTCTCATACATGCTCTTCTCATTCTCAAACTCATCATTCCAGCCTGGCTTGAGCTTCTTGATCACAATCCTGGACGGAAGAAAATAGCCCGGGACGACAGATTTGGCCAGTGATTGGATCACCATAGGAAGCCGGCGGAACAAGGCAATTGCAACACGGTCAAAGGAGCTGCGAAGAATTGATAGCCGCAAAACGTTGGGATGGTAGCTATCATTTTGGTTTCCTATAGCAGAAACAGTGCTCCATCCAAACCGGAACTGGAGATGCCTGATCAGTCACTCTTTCAGTAATAGATAGCCTGGGCTGTGAGTACCTTGACCAGTAATGAGTTTGAGTAGTTAGAATTATCCGAGCCTGTGGAGAGGTGGCCAGACAACCTGGATGATACAGAATCGCTGTCGTACATCGTAGAGGGAACGAAGACACGGCAATCACTTCGCTGGCATCGACCAGGGACCGTGAACGCTTGTGACAGGCTGGCAATGCCGGATCACGTGCCGTGTATTAAAAAATCCCCGTCCCCTAATTGTAAACACGGCTGCCTGATGCACGCCAGGCACACGGGTCAAACTATGCTATGTGATCAATGCATTAGAAGGCTGGCAATGACAAGGACGATGAAGATCAACTCCTCTCTAATCTCATAAGTAACTTTACACACAAAATGCATATTCATAGTAAAACGAGACTATAAGCAAATTCTTCATGTCTCTTGTTATTATTATGCCTGCCCTTTGCAGAGAATGTGTTGATGCCTTTGTGTTGGTGTCTCTTTTTGCGTTCCTTACCAATCCTCCACGAGTTGCAATACCCGCCTCATCAAGAACGGCCTGGACCAAACACCGTCTTTCCTGACTCGAAGAGGATCAGACACGACGACAAAAACAATCAAACACTCTTATTTGAGCCGACAGCCTTTTAATCTGTCGCCCGCTTCCCGAAACTCGTAAACTCGTGGCCCATGCCGAACATAACGTTATTGGGGAGACTGGGTTCGTACCCGCCCGCCGGGGTATTATCCGCCTATTTCTATGCCTCCCATCCTTATCTTGCATAAGTACTGAGGGGTAAGTCAATGTATTTACTTCATTCACATGCTCGTATGGTCTTGCTAAGAAAGAAGGTGAGCAAACTTGCTCATGGATGAGTGTTGGGGATGTGTCGAATAAAAGCCCCTCTGAGCATCGATAGGGATGTTGAGGATCTTGACTCGATCGATGATGTTTACAACTTGACCTGTAGTTGATGTTTGGACTAATCTTTCATAAAGTCTCTATAGCCAATGTTTTGTGTTATACTGCGGATCCCGTCGCGAAGTACGTCGTGGTCGTGGGTGTCGTGAAGAAAGAAGCTTATCTTCCCCACAAAGACTACCGACCAACCCCGGATCTTGGCAACTTTATTTGTTGGAGGAGATTACGAGGCCTAAACAATGCTAACGTTGCTCTAAACTCTGTTATATAAAATCACTCGGGTACGGGGCATGGTTGTCGTATGGATGTCAGTATCGAAGGATCCGATGGTGTCTCGGATGCCGGGTATTCGCAACAGCCACGCGTAACGCCTCACGGAAGCCAGTTGCACTGATGCTCTCTCGCATATAACAGTCAAAGACCACCTAGATTGGCATCTATTCATTACACATAGAGTCATCGAAAAGAACACCAAAAGCATGACAGGCCTTACTGAAACCAGAGACAACCCCATCCCAATCACGAGCGCCGATTCGGTCACCAAGGTCGAAGCCGGTGATGAATTGAGCCACATGGAGGATCAAAAGTGAGTATCAAATCGTCCCTTTCGTGATTTCAGCGAGCTGAATTTCATTGTAGAAATGTTCCTCCAGAGTTCATCTTTGATCGCCAAGCTGAACGTCGTTTGCGCAACAAGATCGACTTGACGATTATGCCTATCATCTGCCTCATGTATCTCTTCTGCTTTATCGACCGTGCTAATATCGGTAAGAATATCATGCCTGTATTATTCCATCAGCGTCTTGCTAAGTCTGACAATAGGCAACGCTCGGATTGCTGGCATGGATGTAGATCTTGGCATGAAGGGCTTTGACTACAACGTCATCCTATCCATGTTCTACGTCTCTTACATTATCTTTGAACTTCCTTCCAACATAGTCTGTAAGATCCTTGGACCAGGATGGTTTCTGCCCGCCCTCACGGTGCTGTTTGGCGCGTGCTCCATCGGCTCCGGCTTTGTCAAGACAGTCCCTCAGATGATGGGAGTGAGGTTTCTACTCGGCATATTCGAGGCTGGTATGCTTCCGGGAATTGCATATTACCTCTCTCGATGGTACCGTCGTTCTGAACTCACATTTCGGCTGGGACTGTACCTCGTTGCGGGACCCTTGGCGGGTGCCTTTGGGGCTCTCCTTGCCTCGGCCATTCTTCGACTCGACCACTTTGGCAGCGTTGACAGCTGGCGTATGATCTTTGTCATTGAAGGCATCATCACAGTTGGGCTCGGATTGATCGGCTTTGTCACCATGACAGACCGGCCAGGCACAGCACGATGGCTCACAGAGGCAGAGAAGCAACTCTCCGAGGATCGTGTCCGGTCGGAGCGTGTCGGACAGGCCAAAGTGCTCGATAAGATGGATAAGAAGAAGCTTATCCTAGGTATCTGGAACCCCGTTGTCATCAGCACGTCCTGGATCTTTCTCTTCTGCAACGTCACGGTGCAAGGGCTGGGCTTCTTCCTACCAACAATTGTGAGGACGATTTACACGGATTATACGGTCATCAAGCAACAGCTCTACACGGTACCGCCCTATGCAGTAGGGTCTGTTGTTACGCTGTTGCTGCCGTTGATAAGCTGGCGGTTTGATAGACGTCAGTTGATCATGATCCTCACAACGCCTCTGTGCATCGCTGGATACGTTATCTTCTTGTCAACGGCCAACCAGTCAGCACGTTACGGCGCAACCTTTTTGGTGGCATCATCCGTATTTTCCCTCGGGGCTCTCACCAATAGTCAAGTCTCGGCAAACGTCGTCTCGGACACGGCCCGGTCCTCTGCTATCGGCTTAAACGTGATGCTCGGCAACATTGGGGGTCTCATCTCGACGTGGTCCTTTTTGCCCTTTGACGGACCCAATTATCCCATCGGCAATGGTTTGAACTTGGCTACTCAGGTGGCAACTCTGATCTTGGCGACGCTGACGCTGCTGTGGATGAATCGGGATAATAAGAGGAGGGAAAGGGTTGAAAGTGAGGAGTTGGAGAGGGTGCAGGCCATGTCAGCGGAGGAGCAGGAGGACTTGGATTGGAAGCACCCGTCATTCCGATGGAGGCCCTAGATGTGAAAATATGCAATTCCTCTGTAGATACCTTGATATCGATGAATAGCATCCAATCCGACATTGCCCATCAGCCTCAGATGGGACAGCGAGTGAGGGATATCCAGACCAACCACTAGCGACCCCATGACCTTAAATCCTCTTAAGCTTGTGCGTCTATTGGACCAGACCTCAAACCCAATCTGGATATGCCTCGTCAAGGCAAAGGCCAGTCCGGGGCGTTCCCCCTTGCCTAGGTGCTGGATGCCGCGGAGAGGATTGCGTCGCCCTATGAGAGGCATTGGCCGATCACCACCAGCTGCGACCACCCCGCGTCAGACCCCGCTCGCTACGGCAACGCCGCTAATTTGTGCCTACGCGGGGCCGGGGGGACCTTTCTAATGGGGTCTCCCGTGGAAACTGGTTCTGCGGCACGTCATTAAGTTGTTTCCAGCTACGCTACGTCCATCCCAGCTTCAGCTTCTGCCACTGGACTTTTACTCCTGCATACTCTTGCTTCTTTTGCCCAGCGCATCTTGGCTTCACACTCACGACGATCTATACCATCACCGATATCTAAGCTGCATATACTGTAGCTCTCGTGACACTTGACTTGTCCCTCCACCAGCTTCACATCAACAAACTCTGTAAACATGGTAAGCACCAAGTCAACAGCACAGCCCTCGACCACCAGAGCACCAGAACATCTTATCATCAGATCACCACGTTTTAATTATGCTTGCCATGGATACCACCAGCTAACACACTCAGTCTGATACCGGTCTCCCCCCCAGCTGGGAGGTGCGAATCTCCAACTCCAAGAACCTCCCCTACTACTTCAACTCGACCGACAAGGTGTCCCGATGGGAGCCCCCCGCCGGCACCGACACCGAGAAGCTCAAGCACTACATGGCCACCCACCATAGCGCAGGCTCTCGACCCGCCGCCGCCCCTGGTATCCCCGAGGGCAAGATCCGCGCAGCCCATCTCCTGGTCAAGCACCGCGACAGCCGACGACCGAGCAGCTGGCGAGAGGTGCGCGCGAGTACACCACACTAAAGGACAAGGTGCTGACAAATATATCCAGGCTGAGATCACCCGCTCCAAGGAGGACGCCTACCAAATCATCCAGGCTCACGAGGACAAGATCAAGTCGGGCAGCATCACCCTCGGCGAGCTCGCCCTCACCGAGTCTGATTGCTCCTCGGCGCGCAAGCGAGGCGACCTTGGTTACTTTGGCAAGGGAGACATGCAGAAGGAGTTTGAAGATGCCGCCTTTGGCCTCCAGCCTGGCCAGATGAGCGGTATTGTGGAGACTGCCAGTGGTCTGCACTTGATTGAGCGGTAAGTCCATCTAGGATCCGAGAGAGAATCATTGACTGATTGCTTTGGCAGCCTGGAGTAATTAAAAAGTATATATCATGTCGAAAATTGACAAAGCACAGCGTGCCGTAAAAGTCGAGTGCACTAATAGTAGTGTCCTAAAGAATCCTGCATCCCTCACCTACATCGTTTCGTTCAAGTGCTCATAAGAAATTCAATTGCTGACCCAGAAACCGTACATCTCCTCTAACTACATTATCCTTCCCAAGGTCTGTTCTCAATGCTACAAAATTCAACCAAATGTGCTTCTATACCAGACATGCCCTCTTGGCCTTCCATCCTTCTCACGACCGAAAAGAACTCTAAACACCAGGCACAAAGCGCACAATACCGCCTCTACTCTATCACCCACGTCTTGTCTAGCTCGCCAGACTCAACACCACGTCTTTAAAGGGCTCGACCGTTGTGAAAACTACCGTCATGACTCCAGATACTGTCATGGCCAAGGCTGCATACGGCGCTGCTCGACTTTTAGTCTCGTACAGGTAGGATACGCCCATGGCTGCGCCGTTGATGCCGACGGTGATGCCTGCGGCGATTGTGATGGGGTCGTCACCGCTGGCTAGTTGTTGCTGTGTTGTGTTGAGGAGAGATTTGAGACTTCGGAACGAGCTTTTGCTCTCTGACGCAGGTAGACCTTCTCGAGAAGAGGTGTTGTCGTCTTCTCGCTTCACCCCTAGCTTGTCCAGCACGAACGGATAGCAAAGTTGGCCGAGAATACCGTTGCTCACCACGAGGGCAGCGTTCACGCCTGGATTGCCACCCAATGCTGTCATCGCCGGTTTCGCCAGAGCAAGGGTTGTGCTTCGTGCTGCAAATGCCAGTGCCTCGGGGCCATCTAGCCCGAGCGTTTTCCCAGCGAGAACCGACAAGAAGACGTTTCCTGCCGCTGCTGCCGTGGCCACCAAGATGGTGAGAAGACCAGCCACGCTAAAAAGCTGACGCTGGCACTCGTACAGCTTGAAGCCCCAGATTAAGATACCGCACTCGAGGATGGAGAGGGCAGCATCTCCAGCACCGAACCACGGAGAGTGGTTCCCAGGAAGGGGTGTGTTTGTCGCTATGGACGTCCAGAGAGCATAGAGTGGTGTGCCACTGCTGAAGATGCTCAACACTCGGGGCAAGCTGTCGGGACCGTAGGCGCCGGCTTTGCCACGCGTGTATGCCGTCATGAGCAAAGTCGTAAGCAAAACGGGATTCATGAGAGTGACGAGAGTGTTCTTCAATCTAGGTACGTTGTTGCAGTATCTTGATGTGTTGAACTGCCTCTGAAGCCAGAGCGTCAAGGCCCAGACGAACCAAAGGACGCAGCCGTCGAGGACCCGGTCTTCGTTAGCAGCGGCTGCAATAGGGGCGCCGACGACAAATATGCCGAAGAACGAAGCGAATAGATGGAAGTTGGAAGTCCAAAAGCGCCAAATCGAGGAGTTTTCAACACATTCGTCGATAGGCATGAGAACCGACGACCTTCGACTGGCTGCAAGAGACTGCCCTGTTTCATGCCCCGGCGTTGAGCAACCGATGTTCTTTTCATGATTGCTACCAGCGGGTCGGGATATCTGATCCAGGGTCGAGTCGGAGGAGAGCCAGCTGATTTCGACCCGAGGGGGAGTTGTCGTGAGAGGGCTGGGGATGCAAAAGTCGTCAGGGATGCGAGAAGTCGCCAACGACATGACGAGGAGCGAGACAGCAAAAACGGTGGTCCAAGAAACGAGGTTGGTAACAACTGGTACGGATATCAGCAGGACGAGATTCCCAGGGACCAAGGAACTCACCAAAGTTGCCAATGATGGAGGCAATGTCGTGGCCGCCGAGGATGTCGCTCTGGTTGAGCATCACCAGAGGGATCGGGAAACCCAAGCCCAAGTGGACATTTATGAAGTCTATCTGCGGCAGATGTCAGGCCAGTGCCTTTGGAGCTCTGGAGTGCTTCGTACCTTTGCTTTGATGTGCTTCTGGTATATCTCGTCGACGCACGGGGAGCAGAGGTAGGCCACGGCCATGAGCACAAAGGTCAAGGCCATACCAAAGATGGAGGAAAAGAACTCGAGATGCGCAGGAGCCAAAGCCCGACTGAGACCCCAGATGATGAGCTCGCTCGTGAGGTAGATGATAACGACCCATCCAAAGTCGAGAACGCTCGTCGCGATGACCGTCAACCGCCTCCTCCACAAGGTAGACATGTCTCGGGTGGGATGAAACAGCAGCAACATCTTCTTTGTCGAGTCCAAAAGAAGCGGACCGAAGGGTCCATTTGAGCGTCCGAGACAGCGGCGCAGAGGGCGGAGGATTTTAGAGACGTTGTCTCTGAAGGAGGCCATTGTGCAACAAGGCTTGGTGAGAAAAGGATGCCAACACAAAGTCCCCGGGGCAGAGCAAGTTTGAAGAGGGTGTTACACCATGGCAAAGCCTCGAAACTTGCGGAAGGGTGCGATGTTATTTTTTAAGAAAAAAAGATGGTTGTGGTGTTGGGCACTGCAGGAGTTGAGATGGGTGAAGCGAGCAGGCGTTGACAGTGACAAGGGGCCGGTGGCGGATAACATACCCCGGAGAGACTTGCAGTTTGAGATGGCAGTTTTTGGACATTGACAGCATAGCTGCATGAGATTTCAAGGTTCGGATGGCTCTTTTTGGTCGATGGTCATGTAGGAAGCCGAGCCATCAGTGCCAAAGTAGGTGTTTCGATCGGTCTACTTCCGACATGCCAACGACCCCGACATATCAGGCCAGGATATTATTGGCATACGAGTGTATCAAAATCAGGGCACAGAGAGGCTGAAGATATTATTGGTATATGGCGGTGTCGAAATCAGGAGTTTGCTCTTCAAAGATTGACCCCAGGCAGATATCCGTTTGGTCTTGTTTGTCCAATCCTACATCAGCCACTGGCAACTTGCCGCTCCCGTCTTGCCGTGTCGAGACCCTCCGTTTGAAGAACTTGCCCAGCGATCTTATACTTGTCCACAGCCAGGTACGAGGTCATCGTCTTGTAGTGTCCAACGGAGAAACGTCATCAAGACGGGACGTGGTGACAAACAAAGGACGGAAATAGTAGCCTTGTGGGATATGAAGAGGGCGAGACTCGAGGACACGGCATGGGAAAATAATCCCCGCGGGGAAGAGAGTTAAATTGGACTTGAAGATGCTTGGTAATTCAAAGAGGGGCCCCTGGGTCACGGCATGGAGGGCGATGCTGGGGGACGTGTGACGACTCTTCAAACGGAGAGGGGAGGGGGTTTTGTTCAGACGGCGAAACGCTGTTTTTTGTAACTTGAGATTATGGATACGAGGAGAATTAGACGAAGGCTTCGTCTGTGTAAAGGGATAACATCATAGGTTGGACGAATTGACTTTAAAAGGAGCCCTACATGGATGGATAGTTGTGCGGGTATGAGGCTATCGCCAGCTTGTGGCCTATGCACTCATGCACAACGCAGCCAGGGCAAACATACCTAGCTTGACAGATCTGACTAGTAAATGAAACGGCTTGACGTGCAGAGATTAATATCCTCAACTGTATACATCTACCAATGACCAAGCCCTGATGAAGCATCTCTTGAAGCAAATATCCGTTGGATGCAAGATGTGCTGTAGGTGTAACCGGTCAGCGGACCCACCCCACCTGGAACAGTTGGTCCCCTGGGCGGTAGGCCGCTGAAAAGGACCTACCGTGCAGGGGGCTCGTGCTGACCGCCCCTGGCCGTTGTCTCGGATCTTGGGCCGATGACGTCCAATATCTTTAATGTTTGTTTGGGCTTGAGGCGCATCAAGATTTATCAAAACGTCCGCCCATCAGCTTACGAGGGTTGTATCTGTAGATGGGATTGATGAATAGAAACCGCCTCTATCTTCAGATCTATCGGATCTTTGTCAGCAGCCTCGATCTTGACCTCAGCCTTGTGTCTATTCCCGTCGCGGCTTATCGGCGCCTCATCACCACAACGTTGATCCCACCTGGCGACACGTTCAAGACAAACGGCTCTTGGCCTCGGCTACACTTGACCCAACCTCTTACCGCCTCTCATCACCCGCTCAAGACTCTCCCCCCCAACAAACCCTGAAGCAAGCCAGCGACCGGTCTCGTGCAACATCACCAAGGTTACTTGAAAAACGCCACTTCGCTATTCCACAGGACCAGAATGGATCTCGCCCCCAGGGATCGCGCAGAGGCCCTGCTGCTCAAGGCCGCCCGCGCGTACGGCGTCCCCGCCGCGAAGGACGACGTGCGCGGCGCCCTGGACGATGCCGCTTTCGTCGAGTGGGCGAATCTACACCTCGCGCCCGATCACCTCTTGACGGGTGATGAGCTGGCATTGTGAGCTGTCATCATCCCTGCTTGTGTGCGCAATCTGTTTCGGCTGACTTTTTGATAGGTATACTGCCCTTGACAAGAGCGGACAGGTTGATCGGTTGGCTGATTTGTATGATTTGGGTGAGGTTCAGGCGGTCAATGAGGATGACATTAGGGCTGCTATTGATGAGTTGAATCGGTCTACCGCTACTATTTCCAAGCAGACTGAGGCTTTACGACAACAGCAAGATGCTCTCTCGCGTCTGGTAAAGAAGCGAGATGAAGCTGAAAGTCAACGCCGTGACTGGGAAGACTCCCGTCTAAACAAGACCAAGATGGCACTCAAGAAGCTAGCATTCGAGGTGACTACCCCTCCCCCTCAATATGCAGCTACCCCTGGAAAACGTCAGGCTAAGAGAAGGGTTATTAGATCGACGGCGAGGCGCAGAGTCTCGAGTATCGCGTTGCCGATCTAGAGCACCTCGCCAAGGACTCTCGCTCCAACCTCAAGCACACGGTTGACGACGCGCTGCAGTCCGACGACAGGCTGCTGTCGAGCCTGCAGAAGCTAGGTTGGGAGCTGGACCAGCAGGATCCGGAGGAGAAGCAGACTGTCGAGAAGCTGCGCGAGATCTGCATGCGGTATGCCGTGTCCGAGTGGGTATCATGTCATGGGCTGCTAACGGTCTTGTAGGTTGATCAAGACGACTGTTGAGACGCTTCGCACCAGGTTGGATAGGATTTATCTGGAAGCCATCCTTGCAGCGGAGAGATCGGGTGATGTCAAGTCGGCGACTAGTGGCGATGTCAAAGCTTTGGAGGAGGAGCTTGAGTCTCTCTACTCTGAGATCTTGCCTGTTGCTCAGATGTCAGCTGAGCAGCAGCATCTGGAGCCAGCGTTAAAGTCGACCGACTCTCACAGCGGACAGAGCCTACACCGTTCTGCCGTAGCGGTTTCTTACGTGAGTCTAGGTTGCACACCAGCTGTACAGTGTCGCTAACAGGTCCAGGTCGATGAATGTCTGGACCACCTACTGGACAGAATTTGTCTTCTTGCGGATCGTGTAGAGACGCTCAAGTCACACCACGCAGCAACATCCTCCATCATTGCAACCGCCAAATCAGAGGTTGCTGCCTCCCTCTCTCCAGAAAAGAAAGCTGCCAAGCCCGCTTTCCCTGCCTCACCTGTCCGCAACCGCAACCCCTCTCCAATTCGACGAATACGCGCAAACACTGGTTCTCGTCGCGGCAACCGTCGCCGTTCATCTGGAATCCTGGATGAGCCTGCTATTGAGGCCCTCCTCCGTAGCCTGGCACTCAACCTACCCCCAGCAGAAGACGCAACCGCCCAAGAGCGAACTTCAAGCTTAGCACAGGTCGTATCAGAGCGCTCTGTCAAAACAACAGACGTCACCCGCAACGCACAAGAAAGCTACGAAGCAATCACAACCGCACGACTCGACGACACCCGCCTCGCCATCCAGCTCCTCCGCGACAGCGTATTGGCCGAGAGCCCTTTCAACGAGGTCAAGCTCGCTGATCCCGAGATTGAAGGGTCGATTCATGTGCTGAGCCAAGAGGTGGAAAAGGTGAGGGAGAAGCTCGAGGGGACGGTAGCGAAGAAAGGGTTGTTGGCGAAGAGCGTTGCCAAGGACGAGTTTGTGCAACGATGGGCGCCGTGATCTTTTCTCATGATGCATCAGAGGCTATCATCTAGAAACCTAAGATTTCTCGTATCTCTACCATTTTCATGTTTCAACTGCAGTCCATCGTACTATCCGCACTGCCAAAATCCTTCAATACCAGCCAATTGCCCCCGGCCCACAAACATATGCAGGCTCATCCTCCAATCTGGGGTATTGAAACAGGGAGGACCCCGATAAACTTGATTGGTGTCTGCAACCGTGAGGCCCGAGACTCGCAACGGCGGCTAAGCAAGGGCAGGGAATGTGGTCGCATATGGGCGTCTAAACGCATGCCGGCATGTGTTGTCAGGGTCGAGGCCCAAAAATAGCGGTGTTTTTTTTTGTTGCAGGTTGGATTATGTTTCGTTTCTCTCAGAATAAAGGATGATTTCTCGCTCTTCGCGTTTCTCGATTTTATTTCTTTTGTTTCGTCGCTACTCAAGCTTGAGTGCGAGACAAGCCAAAACTCCAAATAATCATGGCTTCAACGGATCAGCCAGCCGATCACGGGTCTAGCGACACTGAGAAATACCCCGGGGACTGCAGTCGCAGGATAACATGTCGGCCTTCGGTTGTACCCAACTATAGCCTCACACTTCGCGCCTTGGCTGAAGCTAGTGAACCTCCCTCTCCCACTCCCTCTGGTTCACTGCCCTCTCCTCGCTCTTCCTCTAGTTCACCTCGCTCTCGTTCTCGCTCTCCCTCCAGCTCACATCACTCTCATTCTCATCCCGGTTCACCTGTCTCTCCTTCTGCCCCCAGCTCAACTCTCTCTCCCGCTACCTCTGGTTCACCTTTCTCCCAGCCTGGCTCGCCTCTTTCTTCCTCTCCGCCAGGCTCACCTCTATCCGATGGCACAACCCCTCGAAACTCGGTGCAAGAGTCCCGAGACATTTCATTCACGAAACCACCAGAATACGATACCGAGCATAATGTAAGAGCTCAGGACATCAAGGCCACTCACTGCTGGTGGTGGGAGGATATTGCGGTTGCCATGTTCAGCATCGTGTGTATGAGCATGGTGGCTGCGGTCTTGGTCTCTGCTCATGATACTTCGCTAGAGTCTTGGCCAGCTTCGATACAACCAAACTCCATCATCGCCACACTTACAACATTGAGCAAGGCGGCCATGCTCGTACCCATAACAAGCTGCTTGAGCCAGTTGAAGTGGAGGCACATGAGCACTCAATCACGACCGCTATCACATCTTCAAGTCTTTGACGACGCCAGTCGGGGTCCTTGGGGTTCGGCAGCAATGATGTGGAAGGTCCCATTGCAGTCAAGACTTGGATGGGCTCTTGCGCTCGTCACGGTTGTTGCGCTGGGGATAGAGCCAAGTGCGCAGCAGATCTTGGCCTTTCCAGTCCGGGAGAGGGTTTTGAAGAATGTGACGGCAGAGATTGGAAAGGCGGATATGTACTACTCCAAGAGCCTCTTTCAGCCCGGTGAGGGAGACGGTAAGTTATGACGAAGTTTCATACCTTGGTCAAATACGAGCTGTGCTGACATTCACGAAGGGCAAATCTTGGATCGCAGCATAGACCTTCCTCGCTTCCAAGCGTCTGTAATCAGCGCTCTAGCAGGAGATGTCTTTCAACCGTTCTTCAACTGCCCTTCACCAGCAACACGCTGCGAGTGGCCTGATTTTAGCAGCCTCGGAATCTGCAGTGCAGTGAGCAACGTCACTGAACAGACGAAGCGAAAGTGCGAGGAGGGAGACAAGGGTGTCAGCAATTGCACTTACACCATCCCTCTGACTCTAGAGTCACGCGAGGGAAGCAAAAACACGACAATCTCGATGAAGTACCATGAGGATACGGAACATGGCGATGGCAGCGAAAACTCTCATGTCCTGCGAACGAGCTTTGTTCCTGGGGACAAGGACGTGGTGGGCCAGTTTGTGATCGTGCGGCATCGGAACGATAGCTGGGGCGACGACTCATCGGAGCCAAAAAGCCCAGAAGTATTGGTGTCTGATTTGAGATGGTGCGAAAAGATGTATATGGAGGTCTCTGCCAGTCCCTCGGGATCCGACTCAGGGAGCGTTGACGACAAGCTCCTCCAGTTTGCGAGCAACGAATTCGAGGGTGGTCGCTGGTTTCTCAAGTTCACGACTCCCGATGGACAAGAGAACTATACGATCACACGAGACTTGGAAGAGTATCTGCCGATGTACTTGGGACAGGTACTCACTGTTGAGCTGGAGCAGCAGATGGCGCACGGCGTCGCATCACGGCTAGATCTGTCAAGAGCTCTCAAGACCCCAGGCTTCTTGTCTACCGAAACAGACGTGGAGAAGTTGATGAACAACCTCGCCGACACACTCACGAACCAACTCCGCACTGACGACAATGGCGACAACAGAAACGCTACCACAGTGAACGGCACCACCTTCCTCAACGAACCCGTCATCATGGTGCGTTGGGAATGGTTCATCCTCCCCCTCATGGAAGTATTCTTCACAGTCGTTTTACTCTTCTGGGTCATTGTCATCAACAAAGACGGGCCCCTGCTCAAGACTTCAATCATGGCGTATCTGATATATCCTCTGAGAGGATGGAGAGAAGATGAGATGAGCGTCGCTGGCCGGCAAACGAAGGAGAAGCTGGGTAGATTGGCGGAGGTAATGCGTGGAAGGATGGGTGAGAGCGGTGGAGGATACGCTATTTTCAAGCAGGACTAATACCTCCTTGCTCACTAATTTTCTTTTCTTCTGTTTAATGAATGGGCGGGCCATATTCGAATCAATAGTTTCGGACCAGGACGTCTCGAGACACGACAGGTTATTAAAATTCATGATCACGCTGGTCGTGAGTAGAATCACCCACACATAGATTAGAGAATGAAGCCAATTATTCATGATATTAAACATGTAACCAAGCATGATCGATAAAAATAGGCTGCGAGAATATACTATCAAGCGAAAACTGCTCCAACCCTTCCTCATAGAAGCCATCCGCACTCGGGAGCTGGGCGTCGGAGTGAAGCTCCCTTTGGGCCCTCTTGTCTCCCACGGGATGGACAAACGTCGTCTGCACGCTCACAGTTGTGTTTGAGACGTTTGACTGGCCGCCAGGTGTGTCGTCAGTCATGATCTGTGGTGCTACCGTGTCCATTATGTCCGAGTCGATGAGTTGCCAGATTTTTGCGGGCTGGAAGCTGATCATGTTGTTGTCTTGGGCTTGGCTGGACATTGTTTGTAGCTGATGGAGAAGCTCGAGCTATGAATATGTTAGCTGGGGGCACTCAAAGATGCGCATCATCGAGCTCACCTTTTGGGCGCCTCGTGGACTAGGATACGGCATCGATGAAAGAAAGTCGACACATTTCCGATAATTCTCCCTCGCTGTATCAGATACCTTGCTGTCTCTAGCATACTGAAACAACCAAGCAATAGTAGCCGTAGCTGCAACCATGTCGCAAATCAACGGGTCGTAAACCACAAACCCAATGTCCATACACGTCTGTGCCAATCGAGCAACCCAAGAAGAGTGAAACATGGCTTGATCAACAGTTCCCTGTAAAAATAGCCTCGGCTGAGAAGGTCGGTTCGCTTTTCTTAAGGTGACGAGATGAATGAATGGATGATTGAGAACTCCTTGTGTTGCGTGGGCTGCCATCTGAAAGACAAGCCAAGGCACCCAGTAGTCGTGATGTCTCTGTAACTCATCCAAAGTCCGCTCCGAGAATCCCACGTTACGTACAAAGTGCACATGGCCAAGTTTAGCTTCTAGGTCGTATAGTTTGTTGGTTAACCTGTAAAAGCTGGAATCCGTATTAGACGGGCTGTCGGCTTGCCCGACTCGGATAGAGTGGATGTACGAAACCACATCGCCCCAGAATGACACTCCCCGTAGAGCATGAGCTATAATACCAGGGTCTGGCTTACTGTCGTCCCGGATATTGGCCAGGTCCGGGGCAAAGTCCTCGTCTGCCTGGCAAGATGGGGGAGAAGGCTCACGCGTGCTTCTTGGATACTCTGGGGGCGCGAGACTCTGAGATAGAAGAGTGAACCGTGGTGCAAAGGCCTTTTCCAGGATAAAAACGCTCCAGTAGCATCTCAGACTAGCGTCGTCTTGGGGGCTGCTTTGCGGTGAGTTGACAAAGCTCATGCTGCGAACGAGTTCTAGTCTACTGGCGGCTCCTATAGCCATCAATGCCAACGCAGGTCTTCCCTCTAAAGCGCCAGATTAGCAAGGCCAATGGGAAGTTGAGTTCAGAAGCATACCGAGAATATCAGCCAAGGCTAGCAAGCAGAGAGCCTGTGAGATTTCGAGCTTGGCTGTTCCCCTCATAGCGAGCTCGAGGACAGTGTCGCGGGCAGACCTAGCCCTTAGATGAATGAGATCGGCCTCCTTGGCGCTATTCGAGTCATATGGTAGGTTGGATAGCGAAAGAGCGAGAAAGATCCATTGCAGAAACAGAGGAAAGCTCTCCACTCGATCTCTGAGACCCTCAGGTCTGAAGAGCGGGAGTGGTTGGAAGTAGAGCCGATTGCCATACACCTCAACAGCCTTGTCGAGGGATTCTGAAGACGGCAAGGTCTCATGGGGGTCGGAAGGCCTATGCAAGTCAGAGTGACACTACTAAAGTGGGAGATTGGAGCGTACCATGGCGTTGAGGGCTGGTCAGAGAGTGTTTGTCTAGTGATGGGTCTCTCAACTACTAATTCCGTCGCATGTCTTTGCTCAAGAAGTGATTCCGGGGTGAGAGAACTGCCACTACCACTCGCATGATTTTGAGAGTTACTTTATAAAATCCCGTCAGCATCATGTCCACTAGATACAAAGGATGGCATGCTCACCGGAGAATATCATAAATCTCCCCAACTTGCGCCTCCAAATTGCGCACGCGATCTCTTGGTATTGACGTTCTACCCAAGTTCATAAGCTCGGACCAAATCAACGACAAGGGGCATGCTCACGATTTAGAAGTAGTCCTCCTTTTGCGCCTTGTCGTTTCCCGATGTCGTGGAAGATACTCACACGGCTGCTCAAGGCGTTCACAGAACGAACAAATGGGTTTCTCTCCAGTGCATTTCGTCTTCTTTCGCCTAAATCTCACATTGAGCATCTCCTATTCCACATCAAAAAAACCCCTGGTCAAACTCACCTGCAACTCTCGCACGCACGACGGACAGTCAGCTCTGCGTTACCACTCATATTGAGTGTGGGGTTTTCGCCGCTCATGCCACCAAGAATCCGGGGGATGAAGCAGAAAGGGGATGAAGGTGGGATCGATGAGATCTCCGTGCCCACTTTAAGTTATATATACTCGGGGCTCGAACGAGGCAATGACAGTGACACGTGATGAAAACTTGGGGTAATCTGCTAATCTTCGTATCAAGCTGAACTGTTTCTCTGGGCTTCTAGGATATCTCGTCGGCGCGGGGAAGAGGCGATATTGAAACCCTGTCTTGAGCTGACTCTTTTCGAGATATGAGCGAGACTACGGAGTAGACTCGGCAAGTTACGTGTTAGTTCTCCGTACCCACATTGTTTATCTTTGCGTGAAATACCATTGGTCAATGGCGTCAACACGGTATTTTACAATACTTTTCCGGATGCCCGTCCTCGATTAATACTTTGTTCGTTTCTTTCGTCTTCAAGGTGATAACATGTCTTTTCAGTCGATTTCTTTCCCAAATCACTCCAGTTCTTTCTCCCAACGACCAACCAACCCCTAAATCATGACGTCCCGAAACCCCGTATCGAAAAACGAGCGCATCGTCATTGTAGGCGCAGGCGTCTTTGGCCTCTCAACAGCCCTCGAACTCAAGAAGAGAGGATATCAGAATGTCACCGTGATTGATCGTTATCTCCCACCAGTCGCGGACGGATCTAGCGTCGACATCTCCCGAGTCATTCGGGTAGAGTATGCTGACCCTCTCTATGGAAAGATGGCTCGCGAGGCTCATGAGGGTTGGGTCAAGGATTATCCTGATCACTATCATGAGTCCGGGTTTGTCATGGTCGCCAATGGGTCGGGGAACTCTTATATTGAGAAGAGCAAGGGTATCAACAAGTCACTTGGTGATACCCTCGAGGAATACGAAAATGCGCACGACATTCGCAAAAAGTTTCCAGAGATTCAGGCCAAGTTGGATGGTATGAAGGCCTACTACAACAAGACTGGTGGTTGGGCAGATGCTGAAGCAAGTATACGCCAACTCGCCCACCAGTGCAGTCTTGCAGGAGTCACCTTCATCACAGGCCCTCGAGGCCGAGTTGTCTCTCTGAAATATGAAGGATACAAGGTCGTCGCCATCAATGTCGCCGAGGGTGATCCAATCCCAGCTGCTCAAGTCATCTTGGCGACCGGCGCATGGACCAACAGACTCCTCCCGATAGGCTGGGCATCATCTGCCTCTGGTCAACCTGTTGGCTTTATCCGACTATCTCCAGAGGAATCAAAGAGACTGGCCAAGATGCCTGTCATCATCAACCTCAGCACAGGCGTCTTCATCTTCCCACCCACGCCAAACTCCAACATCCTCAAGATTGCCCGCCACGGCTACGGCTACGCCACAGATGTCCACGTTGAGGATCCTCTAGGCCAGTCCCGAGCAGTGTCGTCTCCTAAGCGGGATGGAAACAACGCCAACGGATCGTTTCTCCCTGAGGACGCAGAGCAGGCACTCCGAGAGGGTCTGCAGCAGCTTGTGCCAGAGTTTGCCAACCGAGAATGGCTCAGGAACCGACTCTGCTGGTATTCCGACACCCCTGAAGGCGACTTTATCGTGGATCACCACGAGGTCCGAGAAAACCTCTTCCTAGCTACCGGCGGTGCAGGACAGTAAGTACACAGTCCTAAACAGCAAGACCAAAGCTAACATCAACCAGCGCCTTCAAGTTCCTCCCAATTCTGGGTAAATATATCGTGGACTGCTACGAGAACAAAGCTCCCAAAGAGCTTCGACACAAGTGGAGGCTCCGTGCTCCGACTGGTAAGGAGCTTGTCAAGCAGGGAGATGGAAGCCGAGGTGGACCCCCTCTGAGGAGACTTTCACGGGCTGAGCAAGCCAAGCTATAGATACAGTCATGCGAAAATTAGATGTAATAAGCGTGACTGGCTTGTACATAGACTGCTGTAACCTGTAGAACCGGGCCTTGGAGCATTTGAACTAGACTAGACAATAAGAGTTCAATCCATTTTGATACCAACCTCATGCCTTCAACGGTAAACTGCCCCAACTGTATTTACTTGCATGTGGAAATCCTCTCCTTGGTTTGTGTAAGCCGTCACGTTTGGGTCTTTGGCGGGAGTAACAACATTTAGAGATAACCATCCGCTCCTTGGTATAGCCTCGGCTGCCACTCAGAGGTAGACGTGGACTATCTCCCCTACCTACCACTTCAAAGAGACTTCCGGAAACAAGTTTAAACCCTGTCTTTGCGTGATACCGTAGCCGCGCGGCAACGCCGACCAATAAGCTCTCTCTCTAACCACTAAGTTCCAGATAGCAGGCCCACAATCTTGTGCATAAATATTATTAATGGCCTCCTTGGTCAGCCAAATTCTTTGTCCTGTTGAAATTTTTACTGATCCTCTTATTCCTCTCTTCGGTTCAAGAATCCACAGAGTGGTGTCCACACCCTTTCCCAAATATTCTCTAGACGACCATCAAGATGGCAGAGCCAGTAGGCCTCGCTTCCGCTATCTTAGCACTCGGCACCTTTGCGTTAAAGGCTAGCGTCTCACTCTACGATGATGTCAACACTTTCCGCAACCATCCCAAACGAGTTCGGGATCTCCTTGAAGAACTGAATGCTCTGAGAGGGGTCTTGGAAATGCTCATGGAAACGGCTGGCGCTGCTACCGACGTGAATTTCTCGGCACTCCATATCCCTTTGCAGCGATGCGGTGAGGCCTGTAAGGAGTTTGGCCAAGAGTTGGCAAAGTGCTGCGCACGATCCAACGCGGATCGAACGAGTTTCCGCGACTGGGCTAAGATGAAGTACATGGGTAACGATATTGACGACTTCCGGCAGCAGCTGGCTAGCTATAAATCTACAATCAACATCGCTCTGATAGATGCAAGCCTGTGAGCTTTTGCGTATCTGCTTGGATATCTGGACGAATCTTCTAACGATTTATTAGTCGCGCGTCATCTATCACGGCGAAAACCCTTGATGGTCACAAGGAGCTAATCAGGAACGCTACTGATGATTTGGAGGCTCATCTCGAGAGCATCAATGAGAAACTCGAGGCAATGATCGATCGCACTGTGCCAGCTTCCGACACCGATGCAGCTGACTTATGTCGTATCCAGAACGAGCGGGCTAGCACGGAGAAGGGCCTTCAAATCTGTCGCCAACTCTCAGATCATATCAAGGAGATACAGCTCAACCATGCTGGGAGAGGCAAGGACTTGCCAAGGATTCTTGATTCCGGCCTTCTCCCCGATAGAATCGTCAGCGAATCCCTACAGCAGTGCACGGGAAGCCTCAGTGTCGCTACTGAACAATTAGAAAGACTCCAGCGGAAGCTGATGGACCAGTTGATGGCCAAGTCAAGATCGGCAATGGCTGAAGAGGACGGGGCGGACCTTGAAAGACTCCGAAGTGAGCTGGAAACCACTCGTCAGTCGATAATGATCTGCCACCAGGTGGATATGCGCCTGCAACAAAATGTCAGCGTGATCGAAAATTACGCCACCGGAGATCAGACCGTTCAATTCTTGGCCTCGACGAACGAAAAGACCATAAATGGGAAAAACAGCGGATTTGGGTGGGCACAGCGGCAGATCGGTGGGCATTTTGACAATGAGACTGTACGTCAGCTGTCTCAAGACGCCTTCAAACCGGTCACACGATACGGCAAGAGCGATGAATCTCAAAGTCAGGACCAAACTCCCTCACATCCAAGACCTATTCCTAATGATCAAGACGTATCCAAGTTCAGCGATCGATGGGGGGGAGGTCACAGGCTCATCTCCACCTCTTGCTCTGACCGTGCAGTACAGATTAGCCCTGTTCCAAACCAGGACCTGCCATCCGGTTCATCTACGGGTAAGCAGAAGTCGCCTAGTAGATAGTCGTATATAGTCGCCATGGGGACTCGGAGTCCTCGTTTATGTTCATTGACCTTTACTCCCATTGAAGCAAGGGCTACCTATGCGTCCTAGGGCAAGAAAGTGATTACAGCATAGTGGATATGAAACTAGCAAGATTGTGTGACACAAGAGAAAGCTCGAGGCAGGTACCGATTCAATGGTGACCAATATATCATCACCCTCTTCCATTCTCTAGTTCAGCCCCTCCCCCGAGTCTTCCCAGTCAACGATTTTGGCTCCCTATAATTAAGCCTCCAACTCCCACTCATCCTTCCGTCTGGCTCTTCTTTCACGTCAGCGTCAGAACGATATGCAGGCTCGCTTTATCGGCCTCTCGTTCAGCCAGTCACATGCAATTTTCGGGATTCAAGACAATACGTGGTTCAGGTAGTTGCTGGATATCTATGAGTTAGCCAATCGGCACTTACCAAAAGTGAGAAAGCGTAAGCGAAAATGGAACGATAGATCCACCGAGTCACAGCTGTCGCCCCAAACTCGCCGCAGGGGCAAGGAGCGGCCGCACCAACGGTGAGGGAGGCCAACCAAATCCTTATTCCCTCATGTCCTTAACACATAATAACAGGTGATGGCGGATCCGCCAAGTATCATTTCAGGGCTTCTGGCCATCATTACCGCCACCATCTAGTCTAGCAAGCTACTTTATTAGATAGTCTAGAGTTTCAGAGACCACCCCGGGCTATTTCGTAGCTAAGAGACGAGCTTAATGCTCTTGCCAGTATCCTATATTGCCTAGAAAGTTCTACCAGATATAAAATTTCTATTCTTATCCTGCTAAAGCTTTTACTTAAGTAATATACTAAAGCCTATATAGATTTCCGTAAGCAAATAGCTAAATATATTAAGTACTTTAGAGGGCAGGGAAATATTAGCTTTAGAGACTAGGCAAGGTGTAACGTGGCCCGTTACAAGGCGTAGCCCTTCGTACGAGCCAGCCTTATAGGTGATGTGAGGCAGAGCAACCGCAACGGGCAATTGCGGTTACTCGCGGATCTTTTTGGCGTAACGGTCAATTGGGTCTATTGCATGAAGTGGAATGCCTCCACCTTCTTACACAAGGCTTGGATATATAAATAATAATATTAATAGTTTTATAATAATATTAGCTAAGTATAAAGTTATTATTATTATTATTCTTACTAATATAAACCTATTAGATAATCCTTTTCCCATACTAGCTACTTAGCTAACTGAAATAATTAGGCATTTAAGTATAGTTACCCTCTAAGTCCTTAATAAATATAAAGACATAATTCAAAACACAAAATAAGACCTTAAGGGTTATCTTAAGGAAGTCACTATCAAATTGCTAGACTGACTTCTAAGCATTAAATCAACCCCGCACTCCCATGATAGACCAAGTGGTGACTCGGGTTCTCCCCCGCAAGCCGTGTCAACGTAAATCTCCGTGCCCACCCGGGGAGCCTATCTTGATATCTGGGGTAAAGCGCCGGCCTAACGTGATCACTCTACTAGACCAGGTGATCGGAGACTTATCTCGAGTGTGATCTATCGGTCTTCGTCTTCCCGTTGATGTCTGTTTAGCCAACCATGACTCACGCTGAGGCCTTGTCGGGAACAGTCCAAACCAAATATGGGCTTTCCAATGGTTCTCTCATCAAACTCCGCCGTTGAGACGTCTGCAAATTCTCGGGAATCGGTGTTTCGGTCAGGACTTGAGGCCAACGCATGCATGTGCGATTGTGTGGACGACGGTTGTATCTAGCCAACACTACGGAGTAGTAGGCCCTCAATCAAGACTCGGGCACTTCAAACATCGCCAAAGACAAGGGAATCAGCACTCAAAGATGCTTTCACTCCTGTCAACTAAGGAATGTTTAAACATATCAGCCCCAACATGTGTACCTTGGCTTCTACGCGACCATTGCTGTAGCGTCATACAAGACTATACAAGATACGGAGGAGAAGCCTTATTGAGCTTCATCCAGGCAAATCGATGCCACTTGTTGGTAATTGTGCTTAGTTGGATGTTCACCCAAAAGTATGCCTTCACAGCACAGTGGTTCAACGTCCTTGAACGAACGTCTACAGCGGAGCATAGCAAAGACTACTGCATGCCGCAACATATCACGTCTACGTTTAAAAGGGCCCCTACGGTGGTTTTGTGTGCTGTATTATCAGGGATACGGAGGCTGGTATGACATGGAGTATCCAATCAGGTCTACGACTGAGGACTCGGAGTGAGCCACAGTCATAGACGAACGTCCGTAGACAACTGGCATCGGGCTTGAACAAGCCCATGGCTTGGAAAGGAAAGGCTTAACCGAGAGGAGCACAGGTGAAGGGCTCCTTGACGGTTCCATGGTCGTACTGGTCAATCTGTAGAAGGGTTAGCAAGCTGTATTTCTCCGTATAGCTGGGTGTGCTCACAATATCAACAACAGCGGAGTAAGTTCCGGCAACGAAAAAGATCAGACCCATGATAAAGATGATGGTGTTGACAACAGTCAGCAGGATATTCTCCTTGCTAAAGCAGCTTCCTTTCCTCAACAACATGAACCACATCAATGCGGGCCAGTAGAGAGTGAAGCCCGAGTTCAACAAACTCGACGTAATAGCAATCAGGTCGCTAAAGAAGGGGATAGCCTCGGCGATGACGAATCCAATCCAGGTAAAGATTGAGATGATGATCAACCAGGTGATCCAACCCTTAGGGGTGTTGATGTACTTGACGATCGAGTTCTCGTAGATCCGGCCGTGGATGTATCGAACTGCGACGGTTGTGTTGATAGAACCACTGATGAAGATGACAGGCAGGGCCACGCCGAAGGCGACCTTGCTGATGAGGTGTCCTGCAGATAGCAGAGCTGGCGACTTGACATCGATACCCACGAAAGAGTAGATGAGGGCGCCAGTGAGGGTATAGATGACGATCTCGAGGCTTCCCAGCGTCCAGATGGCCTTCATATAGTCGGTGGGCGTGTGCATCTCATCCATGAAGCTGAACTGCGAGATGGAGAAGCTGTAGGCGAAGAAGATGTTGCAAATAGCAATAAACGCCTGCGCAAAGGTAATGTCCTCCTTGGGCCATGCAGACCAGTTGGCAGGCTCAGCTGCACCAGTCGACTTGACGCCCGTAGCAATGATGGTGATGCCAATGGCAGCAATGATGGAGGCAAAGTCGATGTAGCCCAGGATAGCCACCTCTGCGAAGCTAGGAGGCACAGCCAGCAGCAGCAGGATAATGGCAGAGATGACACCCCAGACGAGGCTGCACATGCTGCTCTCGGTCAAAGTGGAAAAGGCAATGGTCCCCGTCAAGCAATGCGAGGCCGTGAGAAGCAGAAGTTGAAGCGTCACCATGACACCAAAGACTTCTTGTCCCCAAGGCCCAAACATGAGACCTCCTGCGGCAGGGTAGTGCTCGACGTGCGGGTACTTGACCTTGACCTGGCCCACGATGTAGGACGTATAGATGGCGATGAGGCCAATGCCGACGGAGCAGATAACGCCGGCCACCATGCCCAGCGTGGCAAAGGCACCAGGAATGGAAAGGGAGCCGAGGGCCACGGCCTGGACGATGAGGACGATGGTGAGCCTCTTCCAGCCGAGACGGCTGAACTTGGCCTTTCCATCGAGGATCTTGCGCTTCTCAAACTCTGTGACCTCGCCAATCATCTTTTCGCTGGTCGAGTCGTCAGGGGCCGCAAACATGGGGTCCGAGGGGTGGCCGGCAGGCTTGTTGTCCTTGCCAGAGGGTTGAATGGCGGCGTCGGCCGCAGGAGTTGTCGTGGGGTTCATTTTGGGGATTGGACGTTGATTTAGTCTACCATGGTCACACAGACGGTTATGCTGGGTTGAACTTTTGAAAGTTCGGGAGATTTAAAGAAGGAGGGAGATGCGTGTGAAGGAAGAGGATGGGACATGAAGTTGAATCCGGAGGAGGGGACTGGGGAAGTTTTGTAGCAAAAAGCTGACTCCTCCCCCGATGGACCGACGCCGGAAGGGGTTCCAGTTTCTCGGGGAAGAGAGCTCAAGAGGCAAAACTCTGTCATTCGATGGGGTTGCACCAGTCATGCGTAGGGCCAGGGCCAGTTGTCGATCCATGAACAAGAGGGTCTGACGGTGGAGACACACACTTGAAGAGGGATTCTAGAAGACGAAAAAGCGTGTTCTTGAGGAGGTTGTTGTTGGTTCGGGTTATGGGTCAGGGGACTAAGCGAATGAACTGCGGGTCCATGACAAGTTGCAGCTATTCACACTTATAGCGACAATCATGTCCAACATACAACTTGGAGAAGGAAGAGAGAAAACACTGTGAAAATCACCAATTGATACACTTGTCCGAGCCCTTCACCGGTCAGGCGCTGAATCAAACTTTTGAATCGCCCCAGACCTTAGAAGCTTAGACTGTCACCAGTTGCGAGAAAAAAAATAAAAGTGGTGATGGTGTTTTTGTGGATTCCGTTACTCAAAAGTCGGTCCATTTTACATAATGTCCCCTGGGACAAAAGCGGAGGCCCCGAGTCAGAAGCCTCGCGAGACGAGAAGAAATAGGGTTATCGCCCCAGGTACAAGCTGTTAATGGACCTTTTGAAAGGAAGATGGCCGAGGCGAGATGGTGCGGGAGGCCAATCTGCGAGTCAATGCCATTGGTAATGGACCTGGGGATATTGGCTGGGAGGGCAATTAAGTTCCCGTTGGAAAGACGATGGAGTGCTAAATGGAGTGCATGTTGAATGCATCGTGACTTGCAGGAGAGAGGTTGATCATGCGAGATACTGAGCTCGAGATGATTCAACAAACAAGTCTCAGGCAGTTGTCTGTACTCTGCCCGCATCTGCAATATACATGAAACTGCAATAATACCAGGTTCCACAGCCTCTCAACACTCCCCTCTTTTCATTCAGCTTCTCACTTAAACACCTTCCATAATAAATTCATGACTGAGACAGAGTCCAGTAAGAGACCCTCGGGTGGCGGCTCCGGCTCGGCAACGCCGGTTGGGTCGCCCCATGTTTGCCTCCACTTTCTACGGGGAGCCGCACAACACCATGAGACAATCTCCATTCATGACCCGACGAAGCAATCTCTTTTCGCTTCCCCAAGTTTTTTACTCTGCTTCTCCAGAATGATCTAGCCGGTCCCCCGCGTCTCATAACTGTCAAGATTGGGAAAGTGAAAAGAGCTCATCACGTAAGAGATAGCTTCATAGCTGTTTGATGGGACAAGGATGTATTCCCGGGAAGCGGCAGAGGTCCCGGGACTAACGCCGGGTATAACGCAGCCGCCCGGCTTGGCTATGTTGGTGGCATGGGACTGGTGCGCCTGTTTGCATTCATCACCATGGAATCCCAGACTCGCGAGAGTTCTCTTCTCAAGCTACCTTCTGGGTTCACCAATGCGTTCAGAATCCCCCTCCTCTTGAAGTCAAGTCGTGACACGGAGCCACAGTCTCGGGCCATTACTATTAAGACCCGATGCCTTTGCAGGGAACCACAGTGCTAAGGCTCGCGATACCGGACCTGGACCGTACCTTTGAGGCCTTCTACCAAGGTGTTGGAGAGCAGCACGGACGTGAATCTTGACAACTCATGCTTCTACAGCGGCCTTGACATTGCCTTGGGCAGCATTGGCTACCTAGCACAAGGACCAGCTAGGGATCACCCAGTGGCGGCGCACCGAGAAGTGTCGCTTCGGCTACAAGCTACATGCCATCGTATACTTCAAGATGGATGACCAGAGCAGTTGCCCGCCCAAACGTGGGAACTTGACTGCGAGTATCGACACGGCTCTAGAGAAGCGTGGGGCCATAAACAGCTTATTGTCTTATTGTCTTCGCTATTAGCATGTGCTTCAAGAAATTGACGTTGAAAGGAATGGGAGGCATGGCCAGAGACCTCTCGCGACGCACATGCTTGAAGGTCAAGGCGGTTAAAACTGCAACAACATGTGAATCCGAGAGTAAGATAATCTGTCTACACGGTCTAGCTGTCGCGTGCCGAAGGGACAGTACTCCTCATATGTGCGTTGGCCGAGACCTGGTCAAAGCAATGAGACGACCGAGTACATGGTCGGCTCACATTTCAGGGCCGCATTGCCGTGCGTTGACCAGGATATCAGATAGTGTAACACGACGTAAGGTGACTATGGGCATAGTCCTTTGAAGTTGAGTCGATGTTAGGTGACCGGGGACAGTGACCCGCCACATCAACTCTTGAGGAAGGTCGGGCAGCGGATTATAGGCTTGTTTAGCCCATCCAATGTGACATAAGTTGGTCTTCCCGGGTAGCCAAAGGTAGTATCCTATTCCAGGATCGGTTGATAACAAGCCATACTTGTATCAAGACCACCCCTTCAATGCCCATCTGGCGCCATGGTTTTGCCACAGGGGCCGTGGAACGCTTCTAGTAGCTAAGGCTGAGGGGCTTTCCAAGTCAGAAGTCAACATCGGTGCGCCATCGGAAAGATCCAACGCCTTTGCGGTCGCCAGTGGCTCAGCATGGCGTAGGGGGAGAGTGCTTCGAGACCAACTTGGACATGGCCAAACGTCCCTGATGTATAAGACTAATAAAGTAGTTCACAGGTTTTAAGCGGCTCTATGTTCTCTTGTTTATCCCTCATCCCTCTTTAGGTAGTCCCTCATGAAAAGAGGCGGAATCATCCCTGGGTTCGTGCTCCTCTCGTACGGATCCAGGTCTTCAGCTACGACGTCGAGATATTTCAGCTTACAAGTTTGTGCGCCCCAAACTTTGGCGCAAATCAGACTTTGCAAAGAATTTTCAGGGTAGCAATTGTCGCCCTGCCAGCAAGCTGATCGACAGGGCAATGCGACGGCACAGATGCCAACCTGAACGCCATCGCCTCAACATTCTGAAAGCCACGTTGTTATCGGTCAGAATAGACCAATTGACGACCTTTAACACTAGCTTTGTTATCTCGGCAACTAAAGAAGTCTCCTCGGTTGGTCCTCAGCCGTGTTTGAGGCGTCGTCAACGGTATGCGGATATCACCTCTTAATCTAACCTCCCATCGCACCAACAACTACGACGCCACCTCCTCTGGCGAAAATGAAGGCGTAACGCCTTTCAGGTACTCACTCAAAAGGGTACGAAGAAATTCAGCCTCAAATTCACATGGTGATATTTCCGAGTGAAGATTTTACCCAGTTACATACGTGAGACAAACGCCCGCTCAAAGACAATCATCTCGTCGCAATCATACGTGAAACAGAAGCGCCCGCGTTCCTCCAGCAACAAATCATATCTAGATTCCTCCAGACCCTGTCGTTAATCATGTCATCAGACATCCCGTCGTGTACCTTGCCAAAACGCCGTCCAATACACCGAATCAAAACTTGGGTGTCTTTCTCTTTGTCTTTGACGACGGTGTACCGTTGAGGAGAAAGTAAACCGGTAGGAATATCAGTGATGCCACAACGCATAGCCATGTGCTGTATAGTTGCCATAGAGTCCAAAGGAAGGGGCCAAGGCCTGGAAGGATGAATTGAATGCAGTCGTTGACAGGATACAGGTCCTCTTGGCTTGCGATGAAGTACTTGGGCTTCTGCCGGCGTGGCTTGACGCTCCCAGGCTTGCCATTGCGCTTGGTGGTTGGCTGCTTTTCAGGGATGTCTTCCTCTGAGGAGTCGGGCGACAGTTGGGTGAGTTGGAGGACCGACACCAGTCGTACAGGTGCTTTGTAGAGCGGTATGAACCAGACCGCAAATGTTTGGCGAAGGGAGACGTAGAGAAGACCGCTTTTTTGGTCAAAGACTAGACATGTTAGCAGGTGCAGCTATGAGCGACAGTGTCTACTTACCAGCTGAATCAACCTTGATGTCAATATGCGGACTTAGAGTGCGATACCACCGGTAGATACCAAGTATCAACCAAATAGAATCAAGACCACCAGCCAAAGGGATCGTGCCCTTTGAGATGGACGGCACATGACAGTACGGATGGGAGAAGGAGGCATTGGGCAAAAAGTACTCTCTAAGCGCCGACTCTTGCACTTCAGGACTTCCCTGAGTGAGAGCCTTTATCACGCCGGCGATTTCTCTGACTGTGGCCAACTGTGAGCTTTCTTATCCCTCGAGTGAGGTCATCGGGGAAACTTCTTACCTGGATGCTCCATTATTTTTGCCTGTAGCGCGTTTGATGTGTCAATTGGTGAGAGTAAAGATGGTGTGGAGATTGATGAATGGTAAAACACGTTGCAAAGATGGGGTTTATGAGGAAGTTGAAAAGTCAGAGTATCGAGGACGAGTAAACAAATAGAATCCTGGAATGGTCGAGATTACTTGCTATGACGGCCCGTTTCAGCCATGTCTGTGTGGTTGTCCGTGAGCTTCCCGGGCAGCAGAACAATAGAAACTCAACTCGTCATGGCGGGGCCACTTTCAACATGTGAATATTGACGTCATGCGAGTCTCAGAGTTACAATTTCACATGATAGCTTGAACTCTTTAATCAACGAGATATTTATTAGGCCGAGAAAGCCAATTGATTTTTTCTGGCTGTTTGAACTTACAGACAATTGTTCATCATGGCTTCAGACTCGGGGCTGGTCAATCCGCTCTTTCATCCTTTCATCTTTCTCTATCAGATTCTTCAATGGCTTACGGATAAGCTTCTTTCGCCGAAGCCTCCGGGTCAAAACGCGAGAGAGGGTCGGCCCAAGGTTGCCGTCATTGGTGCTGGGATCACGGGTGTTACGGCTGCGGCTCATTGTATCGGTCATGGCTTTGAGGTGGTCATCTTTGAAGCTGGTTCCAAGGATCAAGTGGGAGGTATTTGGAGCGTAAACTACACCTTTGACAATGCTGCCACTTTTACTGACGATTTTTGCAGAGAGTCAATGAGACGTCTGGTCTACAAATCCACTCGTTAATGTACCGCTTCCATCCATCCGTCCAATGGAACCGAGGGTATCCCGACCGCCAGCAAATCCTCAGTCAAGTCCGACAGCTCTGGGAGCGCTACGGCCTCAAGGAAAGAACCAGATTCAATACCAAGATTGATCAAGTCTATCAGGACGATCACGGCAGATGGATTGTCAACGATCCTTCTCTTGGGCGCTTTGGGGGCGTCATCACCGCTGTCGGAACTTGTGGTGCTCCCAAGATGCCCAAGATAACTGGGATGGACGAGTTTCACGGGCCAATCTATCACTCGAGCGAATTGACTGGGTATGTTTATCAATACCTTATGCTATACACAAACTAACTCTTCCTAGCAAGGACGTCAAAGACAAGAAGATCGCCATCATTGGCGGCGGCGCCTCGGCTGTCGAAGCTCTCGAATTCGCCTTTGCCGAAGAAGCCGCCAAGGTCAGCATCCTCTCCCGCTCCGACAAATGGATTATCCCACGAAACATGGTCGTCGACGCTCTTCTGAGCTTCAACATCTTTGGCCAAGAGACATTCCTCTCCTTCATCCCCGAGTTCTTCCTCCGCAAGTTCTTCTATCGAGATCTCGAGGAGCTTGCACCTGCCAAGGGCAATGGGCTGTTTATGGATACGCCCATGGTCAACTCGGAAATTATGGATAAGCTCCGTGAGGGCAAGGCTGATTGGATCCGTTGCGATATCGAAGAGCTTGTTGATCGTGGAGTCATGGTCAACAGACGTGCTCAAGGCGTTCCCAAGGGTGGTCCTGGTCATCAAGAGCTCGTCGAGGCGGACATCATCGTCATGGCCACCGGTTTCAAGCGTCCTTCTCTTTCTTTTCTCCCCGATGATTGCTTCCAAGAGCCGTATGGTCCACCAAACTGGTATCTCCAGACCTTCCCACCCACACACCCTTCCATCTCAGCCATCAACTGCACATACCTCAATGCCATCGGCACAGTGGGCAACTGGCACATCGGCATTTACACCCGCATTCTCCTCATGTTCCTCATGGATCCGTTTGCCCGACCAAGTCCGTTCTGGATGAAACGCTGGATCGACATGACCAAGGCCCTCAAGATCAGCAGCCCGACCGGCGCTTTCGATTTTTTTACTTATCTGGAGCTTGTCTGGTGGTTTGTCTTTTGCGTGGCTATTAACCCGTTCCGGTGGAAGTGGGCAATCTTTGTCTTCTTCGGTGTTGGCTTTGGACTTCCCAAGGCTGTTGTTGACAGGGAGGAGAGGTTTACCAACGGTAATGGATATCAAGCACGAGACGAAGGGACAAGCTTCTGATCAACACTCACTACTTTCTCGTTATCATTGTCAAAAGAGACACTACAGCAAGTGTCGAGACCAAATTGAACACTTTCATATTCAGGGGAAAGGATGGTATAGAAGTCATGATCTTGTGATTTGAATAGAATTACTATATACAGCCCAATCCTAAAGGGTATCTCAATGGGGTTCCACCCCGTTTCTATCTAAGTTCTAACATGAAAGAAGCCTTGTGGTCTTACAAACGGCGCTACCATTCCTCTTTCTCTCTCCCGAGAAAGGGGGCAGCTGTCCCTGTTTTTGTTGGCGCTGCCATCGGCTTGAATAGCTAGCGCCTTTATCCTCCCATTCGAGGCCTGTGAAGGCTTCTTTGGTTTTCTGTTTCTCCTCCGTGGTCGTCTCGAGTCGGGACGATGCCGACATTACTATCCTCGGGGCTGTGAAAATGCTCTAATTGAGCGGCGCGTCGCTTAGAGAGTATCCATCGATGCTCGAAATTTGTGGTTTTGTTGATTTTGTCGTTTTTTTCTGTGTTGTTTGTTTATGAGGGACCGTAGGTGATGACGGTCTCCTTGGTGACTTGGATGCCACCAACGTTCTGGCTTCGCTTGGTAGTGAAGCCAACTAGAGCAGGCTCAGGCTTGGCAGGAGGGTCGGGCAGCTGCACAGGCAGTTGCTCAGTCAAGGTCTCCATGCTGTCCGAGTCCTGCTTGGTGTCGACAGACTCGAGAGCGTTGTTCTTCTCTCCCATCATGGTCCAGAGACGCGCCTCCTCGTCCTGGCTAGGGTTGCTGCCGTTTCCAAACTCCTCGCGGCTGGGGAGCTCGTACGAGTTGCTGTAGGGATGGCGGCTTTTGCGCTTCTCCTGGCTGTGGGAATATCTGTTCTTGGAAGACTTTTCCTGGGAGCGGAGGCGGGAGTGGATGAGGAAGGGAATGTAGCGCATGCAGAAGGGCTTGAGGGCTGGGACAGAGGCGCAGATGAGACCGGCGTTGACCTCGATGAAGCTCCAGATGAGTTGCTGGGGGAGGTGCCAGGTGTAGTCGACAGTATGCAAAAGAGGGTAGGTGACGACGGTTCGCTTGATGGAAGCGATGCAGACACTAGATATTGTAAGTAAGAGAAATGACATAGGATAGGACGTTGACTCACAATCCACCAGTCGCAAAGAGAAGAGCGAGAGAAACCTTTTGGGGCGTGGGGATCTGAAGAGGAATGACGATGCGGATAGGAAGACAAAGAACGCAGATGTCGATGAGGATGTTGGCAACAGCGAGAGTGAGAACGGGAATCTCCTTGTCGATGCAGTCACCCTTGACTGAGAGGTCCCAGTTGGCAGATATAGGTCGGCAGCGGAAGATGTTGAGAAGGATGAAGCAGAAGGTGTAGATGCAGACAAGGCAGATAAGAATGTGGACGGCCCTACGGATGACTCTGTCGGGGGAGATGCGAAGGTAGAAAGCCAGGACCGAGAGCTTGGCCAGGGCAATGCAGAATCCGTAAACGAGGGTGCTTCCGAGGGTTGTGAGCCAGAACTTGGGGCTATACTCGGCCATGGAGATGTCCCAGAGGTGGTTGCCAGCGCCGAGGTTAAGGACTAAAGAAGTGTTAGAGATGAGTGTATAGATGGATGACATGTACACATACGAGTCAAGGTGACACCCAGGAACACAAAGGAGAAGGCGAGACCAGTAAGGCACAGGTCTAGCAGTAAAGTCAGTCTCCCTCTTGCTCATTTCAGACCGGATAGTACCAACAGTCATCAGCACCCAACACACTCTTGACGACAAACTTCCTGGTAAAGATGCGCAGCGACACAGCGATGAGGGCGATGATGGTTGTGGCGACGCCCGCGGGGACAACCTCGCCCGCGCTGCTGGGGAGGTTGGTCAAGCTTCGAACCTGGCCCTCGGGGGGGTCCATGACATAGGTGATGGCCGCCATTGTGAAGGATTGTTAGATATTGCAACGGTTTGAAGTTGAAGAGTCACGGCCACTCGAGGAAAGCAAGGAATGGACGTGAACCAGAAACCAAGACTCCGTAGCAAAGTGAGCATGGCGGACACTCAGAGAGTTATATCCATCTCATTCCGGGTCCCGCCCATTGTTGGAGTGCTTTCAGGGTCCTTCATCGAGGGGGATCCATTCTCGCAGGACACGACCGTTGTCGTCCGGGGGTCCATCCCAAGGCTGAAGGAGGAGAATGGTTCGACTTTTGATTCTCAAAAGTGATCACTCACTCTCAAACCAGCATTGAGAAAAAGAAACTCTAGAGCGAGTCCCTAAGAGTATCCATTCTTGAGCGTCTGGGCCCCTGGCAGGTTAGCTGCCAGGAACCCGGGCCCTTCCATGACCCGCACTTTGTTACATGTGGAGAGAGAGAAGTCTTCAACGGTGTCTGCTTACAACGGCTAAGGTAGCTACCCCGGTCCATGCCTCCGCTCCTCGCCGTAGGCCGGGCTCCGCCGGGGATTGGACGGAGGTGACGGGGACGGAGTTGCACCTCTCACATGGACGGCTTCATGGCTTTGTGTGAGTGTGCAAAAAGAAAAGAAGAGACCCCATGGAAGAAGAAAAAAATTCATGGCCTCATCGCCCCTCTTGCTGTGAGGACGTTGCAGAGTCGACGGCTGAGGCGTTTTCCCGTCTTGCCTTGACCCTGTAGAAAACGAAAAGCCCGCTTCAAAGTTGTGCAAGAGTTGAGCATAACTTGCAAGAGTTGAGAGGTCAGTGTAAGTGACGGCATTCGTCTACGATGAGAAACACATCGTGAGGTCCATCCAGAGGGTTACACCTCCGATCATTTGGAGCCCATCATGTCAAACCCCATGTAAGAACCAGGGGAAGAGACGAAAAGCACAGACGATTACATTCCCAGAACCTGTTTTCCGATCAATCACACCCAGACTAAATCTACCGTAACATCAGACTTTGTTTGACTCTCAAAAGCCGAGGCAGTGTGGAGGATCGACCAAGGTTACACTTTCAAGAAAAACGCCCATCGAACCACCAAGAGTGTTCATCGCACTGCCAAAATAGGAAATTCCTGTGTTGTAGAGGTTGTCTAATTTACACCTTATTGATCCAATGACTCGACAATCGGACTCGACATTTTCCTTTTTCTACGCGTGGTTTTGTGCTCCTCATTTCCTTTCTTTTCTCGTGTCTGCTTGTCTTCTCACACCGATAGATCTCGTGTGGAGATGGATGAGCATGGCTTCCAGGGGGGCTAGAAAGAAGAAAGTCAATTGAAAATGGGGTGACTTGCCGTTTTGACAGTTCTTCTCTAAAGAAACGGAAGGGATTTTGAAGCCGAGAACGGAATCCGGGGTGAGCCGGGACGAAAGGAGAACAACCGAGAATGAGTCTTGCGGAGCCGCAAGGTAAAACGACTCCCAACTAACAATCATCAACCATGATTACGGTGTCTTTATTTACATGTAAAGTGACAGCTCAACACTCACAACCAACAACTTCCTCTTCGGATATGAATTGTAATCGCTGATGAATCCGTTTAAGCGACGTGCAATAGTTGTGTCAATGGCGCGGCAAATTAGAACCAGAGAAGTTGATGGTTGCTTTTTCCTCTTTTCTTTTTTTGGCAGACTTTTTTTTTTTTCTTCACCACGCTTTCAATATGGAGACGAATACATCCCTGTCTTGCTCTCAAGGCATTGACACACACCTGGTCTAGACTTGTGAAGAAAATCCCATGTTTTCCTCTGAGACATTGCTCTCACACATGCGCGACATCACGGCCTACAGCCACGAGGTCGCCTCTTTCTGCAGTGTCTCGGTCATCGAATGGCTGTGGCTTGTGCCTTGTTCCTGGATCATTCTCCACACTTCGAAGCGGGCATTGTCTAGGAATAAACTAATTTTGTCTTGTCCAGCTGAATGGTTTTTGGTACTTGCAGGTAAATCTAGTCAGATGCTCATCTGGGAGGCAAAATATCGTGCCTGAGAAGCTGAGGAGAGGAGTCATTGTTTGCCGCTTCATAAGTGAAACCAACCAACACCACGCTTATCACCACTAACACCGAGACATTTCAACTTCTAGCCCTATAACCATTCTCCACCAAAGCTAGTTACCCGTTTCTACCGAGTACGGATCCGACCGGGTCAAAGTTCCCTCTTGTCTCGAGGATGTAAAAACGGAGCCCCAAAACGGAGGCCAGCGTAGAATCAGGCCATCAAGAAGCGAGGCAGCCACAAAGCGTGATGAAAAAGCAAGCATGCCTACTGGTCTCTCTCGGAGGACGCCTAGCCGCAGTTATGCAGGTACCATCTAGGGGAGGCACAGTTTGCATCGCCTCCTCTTCTTTCTCTTGCAAGGGGAAAATATTACATATTATATCCTTTACTTCTTTCTTACCCTCGTTGCATGCTTCTTACGTCTCTCCACCATCAAGGAAAAGTTCAAGTTTGCAGTGAGAATGCATCTGGGGAATGTTATGCAAATCTTACAGATCTTGGTCCACAGAGGGCTTGTTCAATCCACATTACACGAGTCCATCTCGGAAGTCTTTTTTTCGTCTGAACACGGAGCGGAACGAGTGCCGATCAAACAACGGCCCGTCATCGCTTCTTAGCGAAAAAAAGACCTTGCCTTGTAAAAACCGGTCAAAGATTCCGATAACTTGAACAATTCCGTCATTGATGACAACGTCCGTGTGTTTAAGACAAGCAGGGGTTCTAGGGCCGCGTTTACGTACGCTCGGCCAGAGTTCATGTAGAAACCTGGCTTGAGCCGCTTGGTCCGAGTGCAAAACGCGGAAACGAATTATCATGAGTGGCTTTGATGCGAGATAACACACTCTTGGCTAGTAGACTCAACCAACAGACTTGATAGCACAGCCTTCATCAACTCGAGACAGTCACCCTTTCTGCCTTGGCAACTGCCGACCTGCTGACAGCATTCATTAAAAGCAAAGCCGTCATCAAGAATCCACTCTCAGATAGCCGCCTCTCCCCAGGGACACCCTTGTCCTCCACACTACGAATCTACCATCCATTCTGTAGAAACCGCATCTCATTGCACCGTCACATATCTCTTGCCTTTGCCAGAAACACCGGCCACGTCGCACCATGCCATGTAACGCTGAAAGCGCCGTTGCCCTGGATTTCAGCCCCAACAGCTTGGATGATTGTAACGTGTCGGGCATTCCTCACGATTGGAAATCACACCTCGATTGGATTTTTAATGTCGTAGTGCAAAAGCAAGAAGCATCAATGCCTTGGATGAGGATTTTGAGATCCAGTTGAGTGCAGTATCTCGACAAAGCAATCCCGTGAGCCACCATAGCAAGAGGATGTCACTGTTGGTGAAAGAGAGGCTGGGCGCCTCATGTAGATGACACTGGTGCATCTAATGGATTTCCGCCGTTGCCGACCTTGAATGCCGGGAAGAATGAGTATTTTCTTCTTGGAATAGGGTAAGGAAGTGACGGTGTGCTTACTTTGTTGCTTGACGCTCCTGATGATGCATTCGGTGAGCTATGGATGATACAGATCCATTGTACATAATTCGGATCGCCAATCTCGCCTAAAACCAGAAAAAACAGGATTCAGAGTACATCGAGTAATCGTGTCTCCAGCCACTCTCATGACCTATCACTACCTAGTCTTGAATGTACATCAAACGTTTCTCTTCCAAAGTTGGCTTCACTCCAGGGTAGCTCACGAGAACCATGCAGACCCATGGACAGCGTCCACTCCACTTTCAGCGCAACATCTTCTTGAACAATCTCTTTACAACAATACCGATTCCCTAGAAATCCCCCGTATTAATATTACACACTCCAACCCATAGTATACATTCCTCTCCGAAAAGTCTACCCAGACACGCTCCCCTCTCTCGCAAGAATCTCTCGCAGGTGTATAGTCGTTCGTGATACATCACCCTCCGGTAGGCCTTTCATTATTTACCGACTCTTTGCCTTTTGTCATTTGCCGGCCGTCTCATTGATCGCATAACATAGCCCGTCAACCACTCGTCTATTCCCCGTGACACCTGAATGCAAAAAAAGACTGGCTATCTCATCTTAAACCTCCTCGGTGCCCACCGCCTCGTAGCCACCACGCTCTCGTCGGCCCGTCAACTGCATCAAAGTAGGACTCTCGTACATGGCAGTATAGTCGATCTTTTCGCCGCCGAGAACAGCAGTTCCCGTTTCCCTTTGTCCAAAGACGGGGGCGGGGTCGCACCAAAAGTCCTTACAGTTGGTGATGCAGCCTCTGCTGTAAGGGTTCTTCTTCTTGCGCTTGTTCTTCGTCGATACTGCTCCTCGGCCAGTGATGGTCTCGATGAAGGGATCAACTCCCAGGATACGGCTCCACTGCTTGAGCATACCGCCCTTGTGCTTGTGAGAGTGAGCCGCAGGAGTTGATGTGGACAGAGATGGGTGGTTGGGGTCGAGAGGCGCGCCGGTCGAGGTGAGGGCCGTAATGGCAGTGCCATCCTGAACACCAAACATGTTCTCGTAAGTCGTCATGGCTCGCGAGACCTGGAAGAACTGGGTGAAGAGAAGCATCGTGACCCAGAGGAGCTGAAGGCTGATCCAAACAGCCAGGAGCGCAGTGTAAGAATCAGCGTTGATGAACTTGCACAGTCCAGGGCTAAGGACATTGCAAGAGTCCGAAGCCTTTGTGCTGATAATCTCGAAATCTGCACATTGTAAGCGATTGACGATACACCTCAAGACAGTAACTTACAATAATACAGCAGCCAGTCGTAGGAAAGGATGCCAAGAGACAGCGAGATGAGGTAGAAGAAGAAATGCCGGTGGTTGTTAACACCAACGCAGTTATAAACCCAAGGGCAATGGCTAAATCAGTCAGTATTGTACTGCGAATGTCTCACAAGACAGTAACTTACTGGTCGTGCTTGGCAACGCATCGCTGGCATCTGCGGCAGTGCTTACTTCGCAGAGGTGTTCGAATCATGCACGTAACACAAAAGTTGGATTCGTCGTACTTCCACTGCGCGAGCAGCTCGTCAATGACAGCCTTTTGCTCCGCAATGCCGTTCATCTTGGGCACGAAGCCAGGGTCGTATCGCATGCTGGCGACGTAGAAATACGCCGTGAGGCCATAGGAGATGGCAAAGATGATGTTAAGAAACAGATGGCTGTGACCCTCGGTTGCTCGCAGAGTTGTCGCAAAAAGAACTGTCGTCAACCAGTTGACTCCGACCAAGAACAGAGATGCAGCAAAGATGCCGGTAAGCCAGGGCTATTGATGATTAGATACGAATCACAAGGCAAGTCAAAGTAACATACCGTCTTGTGAAAGTGTCGCATGTCGGGAGGTGCATACTCCAAGACCTGCTGCGCAACCCATTGAATACCATACACGACAGCCAGGCCAAGGGGCAGACCGATGTACACCGGCGCATGTGCTACAGCCATGAGCATGCCCCAGACAAGCACAAAAGGCCAGAGGAACAGGAACCTGGTGACAAACGCCCTCTTGTCCTTCAAGAAATAGCTCGCGCCAGGCCACGGCGGCACCGCGGGATGGCCGTCCTCGTTGAATCCACATTCCCGGAGCGCTCGGTGCCAGGCGCCCTCCGTATTGAGCTCGCTGGCTGTCACGGCAGGAGTCTTGCCAGTCTGGGTCTTTGCGAATCGATCGGCGCCATACTCGATGAGCTTAAGGATACATCCCGGATTTCCCTTTACCAAGGCCCAGTGCAGAGCGGTAAAGCCTTGCTCGTCGGTCGCGTGAACACTGGCGCCCCAGCGGAGAAAGAGGTCAACACATTGCGGAAATCCCTTATAAGCCGACCACATCAGCGCCGTGTGACCGAAAGTGTCCAGGACATCGACGGGAATGCCCTGGTGGAGAAGAAGCACGAGGAGGAGGACGTTTCCGTTAAAAGTCGAAATGTGAAGGGTGTTGTAACCCTGGGCGTCGGTGATGAGAGGGTCTGCGCCGTGCTGCAGGAGCAGGTTGACAGTGTAATAGTGGCATCGCTGAGCAGCCCATTGAAGAGGTGTCGCTACCGACTCGCCTCCTTTCCTGTTGATCTCGGCGTCGTGTTCGATCAGGAATTTGCACATCGCATACTGGTTGTTAATTGCGGCCCACTGGATTCGAGGTCAGCCATCATCGTCATCGCCAACTGCAGCAGACGACTCACGTGTAGGGGTGTGATTCCCTCGTCATCGCTGTAAGTGGCATCGTATTCGCCCGACTCAAACAACTTCTCCATGGCCGGAACGTCTCCTATCCTGGCCAGCTGCATAATGTCATCCGCCTGGTTCTGGCTGTCGTCACCGGGAAGGGTGCCCATCTCGACTTCGCTATTGAGCTTGGGCGTGGCGACATTCGACTTGGAAGACATCTGAATGGGCGCAGTTGGCGCACTAGAAGTGCTGCTGCTGCTACTCATGACGAAGGATGATGATGATAGCCAGGGGGACTGTAGATTCGAGGCGCGCGACTGAGGGGGAGCAACGGATGCTCGGGACTCGACAAAAGATCAAACAGAGACAATGGACAGAAGAGGATACTCGATTATTCGTACAGCATAAACATCATCAGACTTCCCACGCGCAACCAGGGAAAATAATGAAGAGGGAGAGGAAGAAAAAAGTGCCAATGCTGACCCGAACGAACTGACCAATTTTGGACAGCGGCGCGTGGAGAAGGACTACGTATTACTGAAGCCGTGATGCCGAGCGCGGCTGAGCATTGGCCTTGCCCAAAGGGGCTTAGCGGCACGCCTCAAACTTGCCGGTGACGGGGTGCCGTGATTGCAAGGGTCTTGTGGCTGATTGCTCCATTTCCCCCTATCCGCTTTCGGGGATGTGGCTCGTGCTGTGGCTGTAGGGTTTGTGTGAGTGGCTGTATCGTATTGTGGCGTCCGGTGTAGGAGCTCGCCGGTGGGTGAGGTGGGTTGGCCAGATTATCGTTCGCACAGCTTCACATCCTGGCTGTTGAACAATTGCATGCGCAGACGTCGGCTTTGACGCTGTGGATGTATTTCGGATACCTTTGAGTTATCCGCCTACTCTTCAACTACACAACAATCGAAATCACCGCAGGCGCCCGTCTGGTGCCGCATCACTCATTCACAATGCCCACCTTCACCGAGGTGGTCGAGGCCATCATGACGCCTTCGGCCCCAACAATCATCATCGGCGCACTCATCATCATCCTCGCCCCGATCATCCTCCACGTTATTCTGTCCTCCTCAAAGACCTACACCGTCGCCCCGACCGTTCTCCTCATCGGCCCCTCCAACGCCGGCAAGACCTCTCTCTTGACCCTCTTCGAGCGCGGCTCGTCAAGCACCGAGACGCACACCTCACAAGTCCCGCAGTCGGTCGAGCTCAACGCCTCTACCGACTCTGCTACCAAGCACTCGTTCCGCAACCACGAAGCCACCGATGGCACTTATACCAAGTTCCTCCTCGTCGACACCCCCGGCCATGGCAAGCTGCGCCTTGTCGCCATGGAGAAGCTGACCCGTTCCGAAAAGTTGAAGGCCGTTGTCTTCATGGTGGACGCTGCTGCCATTGGCGAGCAGGATGTCCTGGCACCCACTGCGGCGTACCTCTACGATGTGCTTCTGACCCTCCAGAAGCGCGCTACTTCAAACTCCAAGACGAAGGTGTCTATCCCCGTTCTGATTGCGGCCAACAAGATGGATCTCTTCACCGCTCTGCCATCGACACTCGTCATGACGAACCTGGAGGCCGAGTTGACCAGAATCCGCGCCTCGCGAAGTAAGGGACTGTTGGACTCTGGAGTTGGAACCGACGACATTGGCTCCGAGGAGCAGGATTCTTGGCTGGGCGAGTACGGTTCTTCCAAATTCACCTTTAGCCAGCTTCAAGAGTTCGACATTGATGTCGAGGTCCTTCCCGGCAATGTCTCTGGCGATGGCCCTGGCGCCGACAAGTGGTGGTGGTGGATCGCCCAAAGGGTGTAAATCTTTGGGAAGCCAAACCAATCATGAAAAAGACCGTGTTGGGATATCAGTTGTATTAATGACTTTGTCTTTTAATTCACGCAGCTGGTCCCATCACATGATGCCATCCATTGTAGATGTTGAGTCTACCGTCCCAAGATCCATGCCCAGTTCTAAAAACCGAAATCGCCTGCCTTTAAAGATTTCCTACGCTTCTCTATCCCGGAACGCCAGACGTGAATGTCGTTGAAAACATGAGTACTCGTTCCGGCCTCTCGCGAGGCTCACACTCCTTCTCCTCTTACAACTTCTTGTTGACCATCCATGTGAGGAGGTCCACCTTTGTCACCACCGCAATGGGCTTGGACAGGGACTTGGAGTCGTCGGCCTTTTCGGTCACGACGGCTGCGCTGTTCCACTCAAAGAATTTGCTGAGGGTGCTCAGAGGGGTGTCCTTGGTGATCTCGACAAACTGCCTCCGCTTTCCGGGGTTGATGGGCGAGGCGAACTCGCGTGGGTCGGTGACGATCTCGTCGAGACGGGCAAAGTCGAACATGACGTCCTTAACCTGGCTCTGAGCAGTGGCGCGACCTCGAGAGATGTAGCTCAGGAGGTTACCCAGGGTCACGAGACCAACTAGCTTGTTTCCAGAGGCTGAGAGGACAGGAAGCTGGTCGAAGCCCTTGTCGCGCATAGTCTCGATGGCCTCGGAGCACAGAGACGTAGCACCAACTGATGTAACGGGCTTGAGGCGGAGAGAGGCGATAGTCTCGCCCTCGTAGGGGTCCGAAGACTTTTGGGTGCCAGCAGCAAGGGACTCGACTCCGTTGACGGGCAGCAGGTTGTTGGCTGCCAACCAGTCGTCGTCGGCAAACTTAGAGAGGTAGCTTCGGATACTATCAGGGAGGACGACAACCACGACATCACCCTTCTTGAAACCGAACTCCTTGACCGCGAGGAGCATGGCAGCCATAGCAGAACCGGAGCTACCACCAACGAGAAGACCCTCCTCGGAAATGAGTCTACGGGCAAGGTAGAAAGATTGCTGATCGTCGGTCTTGTACCACTTATCAACAATCTCGCGGTCGAGAACGTCGGGAATAAAGTCATAGCCGATACCCTCCACCTTGTAAGACTCGTTGGCGTGCTCCTCGTTCAGAAGCTCGGGCAGAGCAAGAATACTGCCCTGAGGATCCGCCGCAATAACCTTGATGTCCTTGTTATGCTTCTTGAGACCCCGCGCAAGACCGGTAATAGTACCACCAGTACCGGCGCCAGCAACAATGGCGTTGATCTTGCCGGCGGTCTGCTCCCAGATCTCCTCGGCGGTGCCAAACTCGTGGGCGAGCGGGTTATCCTTGTTGCTGTACTGATCCAAAATGTGGGCGTTGGGGATCTCCTTCTCGAGGCGCTTGGCAACGCCGATGTGAGACTCGGGGGCGTCCCAAGCAGCCTGCGTAGGGGTACGGATGATGGTGGCGCCGAGGGCACGGAGGACCGAGACCTTTTCGGCCGACATCTTCTCGGGGAGGGTAATGATGGTCTTGTAGCCCTTGATGGCACCGACGAGGGCGAGGCCAATACCACTGCAATGGTTAGTTACTGCGAAGATATGGTTGTAAGCATGGGAAATCTTACGTGTTTCCACTGGTAGGCTCGATCAGAGTGTCGCCGGGCTTGATACGGCCACTCTTCTCGGCCTCCTCAATCATCCTCAAGGCGATTCTGTCCTTGACGCTGCCGCCAGCGCTAAACAGCTCAGGCTTGACGTAGACATCGCACTCGATACCCAGAGACTGGGGAATCTTGTTCAGTCGTACGAGAGGCGTGTTACCGATGAGCTCGGTGGCCGACTGGACGGTGGCAGCGCGAGGAGGAACGTGGGGGACCTGAGACGCCATGTTCGCAGGAGTTCTTGGTAGATGTTTAAGCTGTAGAGTATAGCTCTGAAGAATAAAAAGAAGAGAAGGAAAGCTTTCAAAGCTCTTCTCTCATACGAGAAGACGAGCACGCCACGGCGGAGTCTTGCACGATCCACCACGATCAAATCAGAGACATTCGAAGTGGCGGGACACGGCACAATTAGCAAAACTCTACCCCGCCAATGCCGAGACTATCCGTGAATGGATTAGTCAATACCGAGACCCCGAGCCGAAAGGAGTAGGCGGTGAAGAAGCATGGGAAAGATGATTGTCATGATGCTCAGCTCATGGTTGTTTATGATAGATTGTGAATGATTTGGGAATTGTTTGATGGGAAACTCATATAAACGCGAGTTATGGCTGAGGAATGACTTTGATCTTTGCCATTTCTGCCAGATGAAGCTTGGATGTCGCCATTCTTGAATCCGGTGACCTTTCTCTAAACCGAGAGTCCACTCTAATCCGAGCAGTCATTTCTAAACCGACAAGTAAATTCTAATCCGAAAAGATTCGTCTAATCCGGTGACCGTTCAATGCTCTAATCTAATCCGATACGTATCGATCATATCGATAAGCTTAGCCTAAGCTGACGTAGTTTTTCAAGCTTTGAAAACGGTCTGCGGGCGGTCAGCCATATTTCTGTAGGTTAAGGTCATAGTACCTACTGATGAAGGCGTTGACATCTATGGAATGGATGGATATCGTCCCTAAAGCATAACTAGAGCGTCTAGGAAGATCAAAAGGACCAGATGTATTTCACCGAGGCATCTTTTTTCATCATGGGTGCATGTTCTTAAATCCAACATTATTGTCAGTAGATGCCTTCAAAGAAGAGTCAGAGCTAAGCTTCACTTAACCCCGGTGGTGTTCGCATGACCATCATGCTGCCAGCGGCCGCCGCCACGTTCAGTTAATCCTCCAATTGAGATAGACTGCTTAGAGCTCCAACGAAGGCACTATACTCCGTACATCGCAAAAGATGCCATCAATTCGAATACACTCTATCATGACAACTTTTCACAGACTTTCCTGCCTTAATCTTGTTCTCTGCCCTCATCCCCAATTGATGACCACTATCTCTCAGCAAACAGTCATCACCCCAACCTCTCCTCCCATGATACAATGCATCTCGTATGTTGAACCACAACATTCATCTCATGACGATAAGCCCTTCAAAAGTGCCTTCTCCCTCTAACAAAGTTCCCTCGCCTTCCCCACTCGCCTCCCCCGGAGCTCATCCCTCCTATCACCATCACCGCTCCCCTTGATATCGCAGCGCCGCACACAAACGATTACCATCTCGGGGAGCTCCTCTGCGCACCGCCCCGCGTCTCTCTGTCGCACCCTGCAATTGTCTAGCGAATCAGGGGCTCGTGCTCTCGCGCCACGACATGGGGGGAGCGGCGCCAACCCGTTGCCAAGACCCTTGGTCATTGCGACCTGCCATTTCTGCTGCTGATGCCGATAGGCCAAGGGCTACATGGAGTTTCCTGTCTGGGAATGATCCGCTCTATCTGGCACGGCGATCATGGCGCTGTGTAAGTTGAAATGTCTTGAGCTATGGTCTGAGGTTAATTACAAGGTTATTTGAGCTGTCGGTGTCTTGAGCTATAAAAGGGTCCTGCAGTCGCGTTGCATTGAAGCTGCACCAGAGACTGCAAGGCGATCTCTGCTGAGGACGACTTGAGATTCGACATCAATTGTCATCATGAAGCTTCTCACGGGTCTGCTCTACGGAGCTCTGCTTCTCAGCGATGTTGCTGCCAAGAAGCTGACTGCCAGCCAAGTCGAGGGTGACATCAAGGAGCAAAAGTAAGCTACACAAGCCAATGCGAAAAGACATTGTTCCTAACCATGCTAGGCTTCGAAAGACGCTTCAGGACCTTGACAAGATCGGCACCAAGAACGGCGGCAACAGAGCTTTCGGTCTTCCCGGCTACAAGGCTTCTCTCGACTACATCCTCGACCAGGTCCAGGGCAAGTACGGAAAGTACCTCGACACTTTTGTGCAGCCCTTCAACCACACCTTTGAGCAGACACGAGATATCTGGGTGCGGGGACCTGACGGCGAGGATGTCTATGTCATCACCTTGATGTACAACACGGCCACTCCTACCCCCGATGGAGTGACTGCTCCTCTTGTTCTCGTTCCTATTGATGATGAGCGTGGTTCTGGATGCTTTGAGGATCAGTGGGAGGGCATTGATGCCACCAACAAGCTTGCACTCGTCAAGCGTGGCACCTGTGCTATTTCCGACAAACTCAAGCTGGCAAAGAAGGCCGGTGCCCGTGGTGTCATTCTCGTCAATCAGCTCCCAGGCGAGAACATCAGCAGTGCTACTCTCAGCGCCGAGAACCTCGGTCTGATTGTCCCCGTCGGTGTTATCCCTCTGGAGATCGGTACCGCCTGGCGTGAGCGTATTGAGGGTGGTGAGACGCTGGAGGTTACTCTTTTGGTGGACTCTATTGCTGAGACTCGAGAGTCGTGGAACATCATCTCTGAGACCAAGCAGGGTGACCCCAACAACGTTGTCATGCTGGGTGCTCATCTCGACAGCGTGCAAGCAGGTCCCGGTATCAACGACGATGGTAGCGGAACTGCTGCTGTCCTTGAGATTGCCAAGTCCTTCACCAAGTATAAGGGCTACAAGAACAAGGTCCGATTCGCTTGGTGGGGTGCCGAAGAGTGAGTTTAATCTTCCTTGTACCTTGCGATAATGCTAACACCTTGACAGGAGCGGTCTCGTTGGATCTCTCTACTACGGACAGCAACTCTCTGAGGCCGATGCCGACAAGATCCGATTCTACTTCAACTACGATATGATTGGTTCTCCCAACCCCAGGTACTGGGTTCAGTCCACCACCGATGCCGACAGGGTTGGTGGAGATATCCTGGCCAACTGGCTGCGCAAGAAGGGCAAGAAGCCAGAGTGGGAGTGAGTATCTCCTCATTTTGACTATAGAATACCACTGACACTTAATAGGGAGTTTGATACCTCTTCCGACTACGTCGCTTTCATCGAGCTCGGCATCCCATCCTCCGGCCTCTTCACCGGCGCCGACGCAGAGACCGACCCCTGCTACCATCTCGCATGTGACACCATCAAGAACATCCACTGGGGTGCCCTCACCCTCAACGCCAAGACTGCCGGCAGGGCAGCTGCTCAGTTCGCCCTCAGCCTGGACGGCGTCCCCCCTCGATCCAAGACCAGCACCAACCCCACCAGCAAGAGGGAGGTTGCTGCCAAGTTTGCCAAGTGGGAGGAGAAGAAGAGGATCGCAGGAAAGTCTCATAGCTGCGCGCACAAGGAAAAGATTGTTGTTTAAGACTTCATGAGTGATGTGTTCATGTAGTGGGGTTTGGAGTTGAGGTTGGTAAGGGGGTAGTTAACGTGTATACAAGATTTATGTGTATATGAAAATTATACTATCTGATCATGTCTCATTATCTCATTCTGAATCTTGGCATCATTAATCATTAAGCATGCTCACTCGTATAACCGGTATGTTGTGGGTGATCTATTGGATGGCCTCAAAAAATGCAGGCAAAGGCCATCCAATAAACCGGATCGCGTCTTTTATCTCCCCAAAACAAACCCTGTTAGACTCCCATGCCATGCGTATTCTGAAACGCTCACAATAATACAATCTGAACCCATCCTGGTGTTGTTGCTAAAGCCTGAAAGGCCGTGCCCTCGATCAAACAACCCGTGGAGGATTCTGGGGCTTGTTTGGATTGGCAATAGGAATCGCCCTGTAGGTCGGAATCTTGGGACCTCCTGGGACTTGTTCCCTGTCTATAACCGGTGGCGGGAACTGTAGGTTGGTGGTGGGCACGGGGATGGTCCTCACCCAGCGGCCTTCTCCTTGTACCGGCTGACTCTTCCGCTTCTTGGGTGTCTTGCCTGCGTGAGACTTGGGAGGAGGTGGTGGGTAGTAGTACTCTTGCTGTCCCTGCTGGGGCCAGTATCCCTGAGTTGGTTGAGTCCAGTATGTTTGAGGCATGGGTTGAGTCCATTGTTGTGGTGGAGGTTGACCTCGTGGTGTTTTGCCTCGTCGGATTTCACCCATGGCTTCCGAGTAGCCATCCTCCATGTATGAGCTCCCGTAGCTGCATCTTTTGCTATGAGGCATCCTTCGACCTGGCGGCACGAAATGAATATCGTTTACCCGTCCTGAACGGAGACAGCAGCGTATGCCGATCATGAGGAGGATAAAGACGCCGACCACGGTGCCGACAATGATGCCAATCTCAGTATCCGTGAGACCATTTGGGTTTGAGTGATGGGATGTGACCACGGGACGGTCCGTAGCGTCCACACCTAGCGTGACATAGGTTGTATAGGTGGTGGACGGGAGGACGACAGTCTGCGTAATGACCTGGGCCTCCTGTCGGATGGCCCTGAAGTGGGGGAGCGCCGTTGTCGTGGCCATATCTGAGACGCGATCTGAAGTAGAAGAGAAACAAAAAGTGAGGTTATTCACAATGAAATGTGCAAGGAAATGTCGCAGAACTCAGGCAAAGACGACGTGTCGGCCTTTTGAGGAAACCCATCTTGCTTTTCCAACCTCGTCCCACACACGCATTTCGCCCGCCCCCCCCTCCTTGATACACACACCAGTCATCTGAACATGTTTCCGCGCCGCTTCTCATTAGAAAAAAAGAACGGCCCCCAACAAAGGGAAGACCTGCACCGATTTCCTAGTCGGGCATGCCTTGAGTGGCCCTACCCCGATGCAACCGTATCTCGAAAAAAACTGTAAGAGGGTCACTTGGACCTGGGCGCTGGCCAATAGTAGAGAATCGTGTGAGTGAGGGGGTTGCGTGATGCAGCCTGGAAACTAGGCTGCCAGCGTTGGCTGCGTGTGCTGAAAGAGAAAACAACAAGAGGGTGAAAGAAAAGATGACTGCATTATGCCTTGCTGCGGTGTTTTTGGGATGCTTTGTTTGGTTCGTGATAGCTTCGCTGTGGGGGTCGGGGCATGATCGTGATGATATCTGGTACTTAGCCGAGCTGCTTGTCCAAGCTGGGTTCCCGTTTGTAAAGACGGCATGTCTCTTGGCATATACATGTGCATTGTTCATCTCTTTGTCTCCGCATGAGTCAGCCCTGCCGTCTTTGTTTACTTTAGATGCAGGCTGAGCCTCTTCGCGCCCCGTCCCTGATTTGCCTGTCAAGACGCGTCTTTGTCTTTGAGGTTCCGACGATATGTATCACAATGCCTCCTCTTCTCTAGGCCATATCTATAGTCACTGGGAATGCTTCTAGGTCTGTATCGTTGGTATCACTGCCATGAACCATGCATGATCGTTGAGTCTTGTGATGAGATTCCCCGAGGTAGAGCTGGACAGCGTCTTGTGGAGCTGCTTGAGCCTCTCCTGTGTTCTAGCACGAAATGATTATATGGACAGTGTGGTAAAGCTTGTACGCGACGAGGAAAGAGAGATGATGCTGGCGAGTGACGTATGAACTGACTTGTAACCTCGTACGATATCACCAACTGCAGGACCGGGCAAACTGCAAGACGGCTCGCAAGACAAGAAAGGCATAGTTATATACCAGCCTGTTAATCACGTTTGTCCCGAAATGTAGAACCGGTGTCTCATTGTGCGTCTTAGACTTGTTTATTCGTTGGCAGTCCTGCGCGAACCTTGCACTCCGGTTGGTGACGCAGACTTGCAGGAGTTGTGGCTGCTGTCGGACGCGTTCTCCTCTACTGAATGAGTGTTTTTTTCTGCTTCAAATGAGGACAGCGTAGGTACGATAGGAATTTCGATACTGATTCTCTGTAGAATCTCTGCGAGATGTGTATGACATTCTAGAAACTATAGGGGAGAGTAGGAGAGGGGCTCTACTTGAGCTGGTGCTTCTACCACTCAAGCGCTTAGAACCACGACTAATTCAATCTTCGCAATGTCAAGATTCTATCTAATCATGTCGTAAATGCCGTATAGGAGCTTCTCCTTCACTCACTGCCACGCGTAGGTTGGGATGTCCATCTGCCGCGATGACCTTGGCCAGATCCTCGGTAGGTTGACGATCATACCCGGGCAGAGCATGGTAGTACAAAACCAGCGACTCCAAAGATGGCGGCAGCTTTCCGCTTAGGGAGACCGGGTTGCCAAGATCGCGAGGTGTCAACTTCAGGCATCGTAGTGAGCCGAGTTCATGCAGGAACTCGATTTCTCCCGGGATCTCGTTTGTATCTCTGTACCTGGCGGTATTTAAACCCAACTCGATGAGGTCTTTCGCAAGCTCCCTTAGCATCTGGCTAAATAGAGTCAAGTCGAGCGTCTCTAATATCCTGTATTCGGTTGGCTGGCGTGAGCGCCGGCTTATGAGATGATCCTGCCAGAGTTCAAGCTGACTAGGCTCACCACCGAGATGGATCGCCAACCGGCGGATGTTGCTACAGCGGGCGAGTATGCTCCTCATTCCCGTCGAATCGAGGAAGCATTCCCTGAGCTCAAGAGTTTCCAGCTTCGAGACGCGGTCGGGCCACTTTAACTCTGAGACGTGGCGCGCCCTGCACTCGAATTTACAGACTCTCAGTATCTTCAGGGTCGGGTGGAGGAGTAACGGCTCGAGCTCAACCAGGTCGAAGTTCTCGGGGCGATAGCGGTCCCTCGTCAGCCGTACCTCTGTCAAAAGTGGTAGGCAACACCTTGAGAGTCCGTGTCTCACGGGCTCGTCTTCTTGGCCACCTAATATCCATGGCAAAGGCGAGGATCCGTTATTGGGGACCGTAGATGGCACAGTGACATCAACTAACCGAACCCGAGGTGTGAGGGCCAGGATGAGGGTATCCAGCCCCATAGAAGATGGCATTGGGTTGAGTGCCGCGTCAAGTCGGCCGCCTACCGCAGGGGGCAAGTCCAAGAGCGTGCGTGCCTCCTTCAACAAGTCCATGAGCCAACGCCCGTACACTAAATCCAAGTACGTTTGCAGTGGCCGCGGTACAAGATTCCAGTTGTACATGGAGATGGCGCCAGTGGCCTGCCTGAGCTGTGAACGGGCGAGGAGTGATTGGATAATTAATCCGCAAACATATTACCCATGGCTAGAAGAACGAAGATGAAAGGTACGATGTAGCATGGGTTGAGCCAGATCTCGAAGACGACGAGAAACGAGGCAGAGAGAGTAGGACCTCTACATTGGCGCGATGAGGCCTGGCAGGCTCGCAGGACTGCCATCTCTCAACGGGAATGTCGACTTCAAACAGACAGAGTATGAGATACCAGACATGATCTGGGAGTGAGGACATGATAACAAGATGATCAAGCTTTGTAAGATGGGTATTTATTTGGTGGTACAAGCTTGAAACGGTCGTTGGATGGCAGGCCACGTCGACAGGCCGACCTGATTGGCCATTCAATGCAAGGGAGAACCAACAACATTGGCTGACGCCAATACTTGCCCGACTAACAACATCTTGAATATCATCAACAGCCCCATGAAACCAAGACAAAAAAAGAAGTTGCTATGAGGAGCAAAAACATACAACAGCGGGGATTCGCTGGTCGTCACCGACCCAACTACTAATCCGCCCCTCACCGGCTTATCTATGGGAGAGCGGACGGGATCCCGAGTTCTCCGGTGGGTATGGTCGTATGTACCAGTCTGCCGGATAAGTCTGTTGATAGCCACGGTCCTTTCAGCGCGCTTTCGATGTTCCATGTCGAACTGGAGGAGTATTTGCAACTCCTAAATCTTGGGCGCCATTGATATACCCAGGCATTGAAACAATATGTACTAGGTCTGTCGCCATGCTTGTCCTTTGGAGGGGCTTGGTGGTTACTGTCTGGCCTAATGGATCTCGACCGTCACTTGAGTCTTGATCTTCCCTTCCATCTACTCAGGCTTCGATGCTCCTTAATACATTAACCAGCCACGTCAACAGGTCGACCTGATTGGTAGCTCAATGCAACGTCCCAGTCAACAGCTGGAGCAGCCAGGACGGTTGATGACTCTCATCAGCTCAGGAAATACTGTTGGAGACTCTTGGTCCCTCCGTTATATCACGGAGATATTACGGATGGTGAGGTTGGCGTCAATTTAGGAGTCCAGCCAGCTTGCGCCCAATGTGCAGACTAGGCGTGTTTGATTCGTCCCTAGCACAACTTGACCGGGGCGATACTTTCCATCCAGCCCATCACCCGCGATGTCCTGCCTCGGCGGCTGAAAGTCTCACATTACAAAGTATTAGCTAGCTGTCCAGAACCATGTTGGAGTCCACGCACAACTGACGACAACCTCCTCTCTTCATGAGAAACCCATGCCCCGAACGCCTAACACGGTCAGACAGGTAATCATGTGTAGTAAGTCAACAAGGACTTCAAAAGGCGAATCATGACTCAAACGGCAAGACTTCTCTGCGTCGGTAGGACTGCCAACTCCATCTTGGCTAAGGTGTACTATCTGACAAACTACTAGATGGCGGCGGGATCCGGGGCATATCAAGCCTCTTGATCTTGGAAAAGGTCATGCATGAGATAGCCAAGGCTGAAGGGCTGGACAACGACCCAAAACCATCTCAGTACTTTGATCTCATCGGTGGAACGAGCACTGGAGGGTGAGCATCTAATCCGAGTTCAACTGGCAAAAGTACAATATCCAACGGAGATACTCCAGGATCATCGCGACCATGTTAGGGCGCCTGGACATGAGTGTCAGAGATGCTATCACGGCCTACAGGATGGTTGCGCAGGAGGCTTTCAGACCAAAACACCGCATCTCGATTCCGGCTCCGCCTACTGGCATGTTCTCTGCCACCTCTCTCGAGGGCGCGATTAAGGCTGTGATAAGAACATATTGCCAAGACCCCGACTGTGCGCTTGAGCGAGCCGTATACCAGTCCAGTGCAGCGTCTTGCTCCCACCAAGAAAAGCTGTTCCGGGATGACACGTGCCGCAAGACGTAAGCTGATTGACCTACGAGTCTATACCCTCGTATCTAACCAAGACAGAGCCGTCTTAGCCATAACAAAGGACAATGTTGACGCACCAGCAACTCTGTTCAAGACATATGACAAGTCCACGAGCTTCAAGAACTGCACGATCTGGGAGGTTGTCCGAGCCACATCAGCAGCCACGACGTTCTTCAAGTCCATCAAGTGTGGGATGGACGAGATCGAGTTCATTGATGCTGGGTTTGGATACAACAACCCGTGTGATGTGCTCGTCGGCGAGGCGAAGCAGATATTCCCTGACGCTCAACAGGTCCTAGTCGTCAGCATTGGAACCGGCATGGGCAATGTTGTGGACATTAGGAACACGAGACGGTCGATACTTAGGGCGCTCCAGAGTATGGCTAGCAATTCCAGCAGAGTCGCCCGTGAGATGGCTGTGCGGTACCGCGGCAGCAATGACTACTTCCGCTTCAACGTGGAGCAGGGCCTTCAAGATGTCACCTTGTCAGACTGGGAGCAAACAAGCCGGATCTCGGCGCATACCCATAACTATATACTTGAAAATGAGGCGAGACTGGAACAATGCGCGCTTCGGCTGGTCCAACTGCAGTCCGGCGCCAGGGCAGCAGTGCAAGAGGTAGTAGCTCCTGGCGCTGGAGGAGTTGGCACTATCCCCGAGATGCCAGCCGCGGAGACTTCTCAAGAGTTACCGTAAGACAACGGATGGAAGAAGGACGACAAGAAACTTGCTGAGACATATTATTGCTAGGCAACAGCCGGAGAATGAATCGAGTTCAAGAATGGCAGAGCCCACTGCCTCGCAATCGACTCGTGAGATATTTGTCGTCCCTCTGGACTCGAACAAGAACTATGTCCACCGGGAGGCCCTTGAGAGTTCACTCGCCTCCATTCTTACTCCAAAAGACACAGAGGAGCGTCAGTGCAAGAGAGCGGCTCTCTGTGGTCTAGGAGGATCTGGCAAGACACAGATAGCGGCTCGGTTCGCCCAAGATTATCGATCATTCTACTCTGCCGTGCTCTGGGTGAGTGGTTTGGATGAAGCCAGCCTGGTTGATGGCTTTTGCTATCTTGCGCGGAAAGTTGGGGTAGGAACCGGTCAGATCTCTGAAGGAAATGTGGACATGGCCACGGACTGGCTGGTTACCAACATCGGGTGGCTCCTCATCATTGACAACGTCGACTCAGAAGAGGCTCTTCGCGTATTGCATCGCAAGTTCCTCAAGGCCGGCATGCGAGGCTCCATCCTGATCACGAGCCGGAACGAGTCGGTCAAGCTCAGGTGGACTACCATCGACGTCGGCAACATGAGCGAGGGGGAGGGCAGACAGCTTTTGGCCAATATCACCGAAGCTGAAGATGCAGCTGAGGGCCCAGTATCAGATCTACTCCAGTCTCTAGGATGCTTGCCATTAGCCATTGACCAGGCTGCCTCTTACATCCGAGAAGCCGAAGTTTCCGTGGCAGAGTACCTCGATTTGTACCACCAGGAGAAGTCGGAGTATCTAAGTCAGAGTCCGTCGACGCAATACAATTTACAGGGCCGTGAAACCGTCATCACAACTTGGACCATCTCGTTCGACGCCGTCAAGAAAGATTCACCAGGAGCAGCGCTGCTGCTACAAATGCTTGCCCTTCTGGACGCCGAAGAGATCCCCCTGACCATCTTGGAAAGCTGCTTGTCAGGGCAATTCTACTGGTCTCCTCGTGGCGAGTTTGAAGCAGCGCCAGAAGAAGAGCAATGGGTGCCACAGCTGTTGAAGGAGGTTCTTCTGAGTCGCAGAGGATACATCGATGCCAAGAAGATGCTGAGAAGATTCTCTTTCATCAAGAGAGGGTCGGTTTCGTCCATGATCTACATCCACCCTCTTGTCCACTACTGGGCGGCCGGCAGCTTGGAAGATGATGAGATGAAAAACGATTTAACGCTTTGTCTCATCGGTATGGTCACCTCCGCGTTTGAGAAACAAGATAGGCTACCTCCATGTCTTCCCAGAACCTATGGTGCTAGGGGCATCGAAGAAGGTAAGCTGGGGATATGGCCCTGGAGGCAGTATCTTCAGTTGGCAAGCCATGCAAGACGATGCTTGATCCTCGCCCAGAGCATCCCATACAAGCCAATCCTTGCTGTTATTGGACTGCCTCTCTTACAAGTTCTCGAGTACTCGACGTTTGGGAGCCTTGAAAAGGACAACGAAATAGCCAATACTCTTCTAAGCAGGATGTACCAGGAAGACCCGGCTAGCTACGCGGCGTTCGCTATGCAAGTCTGGCGTCTGCGCCGCTCAGATCTCTGTCCTTGTCGGAAAGGGCTAGTTGAGGATTATCATGGTTTCGGATTCTACCTGATGTCTTTATGCCGCAGATGTCGCGAAGCTCGATTATACATCGATAACAGGCTGCACAAAGACGTCAGTCCATCAGAAAGAACCCAAAGCCTGACTGACCTTGTTTCATTTCGTGTCGCGCCTTATGACCGCCTCAAGCCCAGTCTCTCATCCGCCGATCTCAACATAACTCGTCCAATGGTTTCATGGATGGGGAGATACTGCGTCGTTCTGATGCGATATCTCAAGTTAAAATCTGCCTGCGAGCAGGCCACATACGACGAAGCGAAGCGAGAGGGAGTCGAGATATGGCAGGAAATGAGAGACCTTTGTGGAGAACAGTCGGAGGAGTGCCGCCGTGCGGCATTCTATGCCTCCAGCAGGGCTGGGGACAAGTCCCTACCTATTCTCAAAGAACAAGTAGATCAGACTATCCGTTGCCCGGTTCAATCATGGTCCCATGAACGATGCATCATCCGGTATCTCGAAAAGTTGTTGGAACGTCAGATGCGACCTGAGGCCGAAGATTGCCTCAGAAGGGTCAGGATTGCATACAGGAAAGCGGGGATCCCACTGAAGGTAGCTGAGCAAGCCTTGGACCTGTTAGATTCCGCAAAGGTCAGTGTCCTATTTGCGAACTCGGCCTCTTGAATCATAAGTTACTAATGTCTTCTTCACAAAGGACTCCAATATCTTCACCAGAGATATCCAGATCTTTGTCACGACTATGTGGGGTCCGACGGTGACGCTCAACACGAGACCTTCTGCCACGGTGGGGAGTTTGTATGATGAAATTCAGTCGAGGAGCGGGCTCGCCGCCAGTGAGGTGCGACTGATATATGGCGGCAAAGCTTTGGAAAAGGACCGGATGCTCTATGAGTATGGAATCTCGGGAAATGAAACTTTGGACTCGGTCATGAGATTGCTCGGAGGGCATACAACCATCGGGATTGCTGAGACGTATAACTTTGGGTGACAATTGTCCTCAATTGGGGCTTGGCCTTTGGGGCTTGGGTGGTGTTGAGCTATAGCGCGTTCTGATCGGTCAGAGCAGCCCAACTGAGGAGGCCGTGCTCCGTTATATCACCAAATGAGGCGATGCCCTCATTTTCACAAAACAAGGCTCTTTCAACCACTGTTTTTCATGCTTCAAGGTGACCGCAGGCGCCCTGTACGGCACGACCAACACATCACCCACGCTCCAGGTGCCCATCGCTTAGCGAATGACCGAACGTAAGTGCACGCCATAGCCTCGTTAGGCATATCCAGTGGTGCCTAATAAGAGATCCCACTCTTTCCTTAAATACTTTCGTCTTAGACTTTATATCAATTTAAAAACTCGACTCTATCAAAGGCACTGCTCAACCGTTAGAATATCATCACCTGCCATGGCCTCAGCGCTAGGCATCCCCCCTGGCGTCAGCGCTATTTTTAGCCTCTTCATCACGAGGGCCCTCGCGGAGGCCAGGGAGACCACGAAGACCTGGCTGCCCGATGACGATAAATTCAATAGTTGGCTCGGCTTCTCCCCGTCGAAGGGAGAATTTTGGCTCACGGGCACGCTAGGAAGAGGAAAATCGACGAGACTCCGTACTGGAGCTCGGTCACGATCTCAACGAGAGACAGACCAAAGGCACTTAGCCAAGCTCGGCGTCACATTAGCCCCCCAACTGGCCGTGAGCGCCCCAGTACTTTCACCTCAAGTCAAGGATGCGATCGATGCCGACTCCGCCAACTCTTATACCTGGGGTCGAATAGGCGAATATAACACTGTCCCCAGGGATCTGAAAGATTATTCGGTCAAGGCGAAGGTTGGGAAACACCACGTAGACGCCCTGCCAGATACTGGCGCCCAGTGCAACTTGATCTCATTACAACTGGCTGAAAAGGCCGGCCTCGTACCCAGGAAAGGAACTGAACAAGCAATTCGCTTACCGACCGGCAAACAAGTGTCATCACCAGGAGCTGTTCGGATCCCCTTTTCCTTCTTGGGAGAAGCCAAGGAATACATGCTGAAATGCTGGATTATTCCAGGGTGCAACAGGGACCTCATCCTCTCAAGGGAGTTTCTCGATGCCACCAAGACACTCACGAAGTTTATTCATCGCATCACCTCAAAAATTAGGAAAGTAACAAGGAGACACCGGCTCAACCTTCTCGGGGATGAGAGACAGCGGATTTGGGGGGGCGTCAATAACTCGCTCGCCCTTGCTCTCCCAGACACTGGGTCAGATGTCATGCTTGTGTCGGCTGAGTACACAAGGCGGAATAACCTTGATGTCGAGCGAGGGCCGGAGCATCAGCTCGAGCTTGGATTCGGCGACGGATCAACCGCTTTTACCACAGGTGTGGTCCGCAACGCTGAGTGGGCTTTTGGCGACTCGGGACAGAAGGTCCTCTGCGACCTTTACGTCCTGGACGACCTGTCGGTGGATGTGGTGCTCAGTGGCGACTTTGTCTTTGAGTTCGGAGTGTTTGACAGGTTCAGTCGCTTCCTTGTGCACCTCGACTCGTTGCCTGACTTGTCGGAACTATATAACATTAGGTTGATCGGCAAGTACAGCCCAGAGCTGCAGAGGCTCGAAACACTCTGCTACAATGACTGTGAGCTCCCCGCCCCCTTTATTTACGACTGAGTTTCTCTGACCTTGTCTTGGCAGTAAATTCTCCCCATGCCTTCAGCCCCAGGGCGGTCAAAGCTGAGCGAGTTCGACGCGACCAGATCAGGGACGCGATCAATGCACTCCCCTCGGCAGAACAAGCGGAGTCCTGGGTTGCTGAACATAGGAGACAGGAGCTCTGGGAAGGGTTTAGAGCCAAGCACCGGCCAAAACAAGGTGCGATGACTACTTCGTCAGTGCCATCCTTACGGACATTGCCCGGACAATGTCAAAAGGTCCGTTGGTGGGAACGGATCGTAGGCCATAGGAAGACCTCATGATGAAGTCTCCGTGGACCCTTCTCTGTATTTTTTATTTGGTTTTAGCGAGTGAGCGAGCGAGCGACGGCGTTTGGATAGATAAAAGCATAATTCTTTAGGTAATAAAACTGGTTTAGACTTGGGTAGAACTTATATCTAAGCATGGGCTTTTCTTTTCAGCGCGAGTTGGGTTGTAGAGCAATGAAACCGAAGAACCGTACGCATCAGTAATCGATGTCTCATACCTTCATTAAGAGGTATCCTGAATTTGAACCCTCGCAATAGCTTCGTGGCCTGCTGAGCATTCTGTATGATCTCCATCCAAATATTGAGGCTATGGTCACCTTGCACACTGGGGATTTGCTAGATTACCACCGGGCAGGGCAGTCATTATTTTGACACCGGGGCTGAGTTTTTGGATCGCCAGGCAGCTGAGTGACACGTCACAGTGGTTTTGAGGCTTTGAGGCTGTGGGTTGCACAGGTTGCACAGCCTGACGATGAATGAGGGCGACTGAGCTGGTTCTATTGCCATCTACTAACGGCTCCAGAACCGTCAGCAAAACAGAACCTTGCATGCCGAAAAGAAAAAGAAAAAACACTCTAGCTGGTAATCATGTCTCGAACCCCTGACATAGAGAGAGGCGTGGACCAAGGTCTTCGACATGACCTCCTCGGCTTCGCAGCCTTGTCGTCATGGATGGCCTCGGATGAAGACCGAGAGCTCCTTGTATTCCGAAGGTTTAACGAGATAAGCGCCCGGAACCTTCTATACTTGCAATGCGAGCTGCTAGCACTTGAAGGAGAACTAAGCAGATGGGACAAAATGGTCTCCAGCAGCGGTAACACGGCACTAGAACAGGCTGCGGAGACGTGGGAAATAATGGTTGAGCAGGCTAACAAGGACACACAAGACGCAAAGAAGATGGTTGACCTAGTCGCAAAGCTAAGGGTGAAGATGAAGGAGTACCGTAAGAAAGTCTTGGGGGATTGGAAGAACTCTGCTAACGCAGGAGACAGACGAAGCTTTGGATCTCCAGAGCAGGGTAGCCCGGTTGCAACACCCCAATAGACGAGCTTTAGAGGTAGCTCGGAATGAGCTCCATGGAGGGCCTCTAGGAGAGGACGGCAGCAAGCCAAACCCAATCTTAGGCGGGGAGGCTAAGAACTATCTGGATGATGAGGGGGATTTGGTCTCCCTTGGAGCACCGGTGGAGACAGATATGCTCTTCAAGACGCTCCGAGCCTACTGGCCGGGAAAGGTGGGCAGTATTCTTCATGTAGTCCGTTAAAATACTAATTCAGGCCTATTAGGAAGAAGTCTCAAGGGATGGCATCCGTCGGATCAGCCGCTTCGAGGAGCGATCCATCACGATAGCGGTAGCGCTCATCAACATCGTCATTGCAATAATCCTACTGGTAGGATCGATAACGAGTCTCTACTTTGTGAGCTCGCCGGCGGCGATACTGGGTATGATCAGCGCCTTTACGATTGCATTTGCGCTCAGCGTGGGGTTGATGACCAATGCGAAGAGGGCAGAGATCTTTGCAGGGAGCGCAGCGTGAGTCTTTCTTTGCGTATTTGGGCAATTGGATTTAAAATGGCTAACATTTGTAGATTTGCTGCTGTGCTCGTCGTGTTTGTGAGCAGCGGTGACTTGTCCGGGAATTGCTGTCAGGAGAAGTGAAGAGGAAGCAGAGCCCCTGCCAGTCTATATAAACCCAAGTTGACCCGTAAGCGAGACCCTCCAACACTCAACTCGGCCGCTTGATAACTGTCTGGTATCTTAGAGCTTATTGTCAAGCTTGCCGCCCGACCCGCAGAACTTGTCGACGAGCTGCGCGCTGCGACCAATGTCCAGTTCCGACTTCGTCATGTTGTCGAAATCAGTCCAGATGAGCTTGAAGGATTCTGTGTTCTTGATTCTCTGGATGAGGTAGTTAGGCCGTACCTAGCTCCGGACTAGGTTTGACGCTTTGAAAGAGAGAACACGAATCTGCTGATGGGCACTGGGATTGTTTGGTTACCCCCCTTTTCTTTCTCTAAGGGGTTGCAAGGGTAGCACTTGCTTCTTTCTGGACACGCCCATGGCTATTAGCCTCACAATGATGTTCTCGGTGTTCATAAAGGCAATTCTATCATGATTTTGGAATGAATTTTCTTAGTCCCTCTGTCACGTTCTGGAAGGTGGTGGCGATAGGACATCAGATGAACCCGCTAATAATCACGACCTGCTCAATGTCCTTTCAAGAGTATGACAGCATTGAGATATTCCAAGTCCAGTTCGGAGAGTGCTAGCTATTCTTCAATATTGGGCGCCAAAGGCGAGCCCGGGCATTAAAGTATCCTATCCTGCACTTGCCAAGTTGCAGGTTCACCCCCTCCCCCTCTTGGGAGCTGGAGAGCTTGGCGGCTATTGCATAGCCTAGCATCACTGTGAGCAACACATGAGTCTTGATAGTCTGTTTCACGTGCCTAAGTTTCGATGGCTGGTGGCTTCTTTCTGGACGAAGCAGCTGAATGTGGCCTTGGTTGGGGCAATGGTCGAGAAGGAGACGCGAATCAAGTTCTCGGAGTTCTCATGGACACTCTCGCGGAACAACTCTGAAGCACCACAGGGGTTAAATAATAGTAGCCGAGGCAGAACAGCATATGTATTTGACCCAGGACAAGCATTTCAAGGCAATTATCATGGACCATTTCTACCATCGATGTTCTTCGCTGGTATGAGTGCTACCTAGATACGTGCAGGCATGCGAGCTTGGGGTCCTTCCTTCGCTTCTCCATGATCACACGTATTGTCTCGAATGGCCGCTTCGCTCCTTACTGAAAATTACAGTTGAATGCATGATGAGTCATGTCGAGGCTGCATGACCCTTGGAGCAAACTTTGACGGGGTTAAAGTCTCCTGATGAATCTTATCTACGTAGGTCCCATTCAACCGCCATTCGCATTCAACACACACCGCAAGAGAATATGATGTTTAAAGAAGGCATCAGCAATTCTCCTCTGACCCTAAAGCCCGATTCCATCTATCGCACAAGTCCGGAAGATGACAAGACCAACCCCCAAGATCTCTTCACCAAAGCCACCCGTTACTTGGACACCTTGCGGAACCTGAACGATTCGGCAGAGCAAGAAAAGCTTTTCAAGAAAGAGCTCAACGAGATTCTAATACACTACATCTATGGGAGTAACCGAATAGAGCATGCCGGGCTTGGCCAAGAGGCGACATTTTACCTCTGCCGAAGGATGCTCAACCAGGATCCAGTGCCGGCTTTTGATGGAAGGGCCGACGACGGAGATGGCATCTAGAAATTGCTTGCGATGGACGAATTGCTACGAAAACTACCAGAGAAAAAGCTCCTGCGCCAAGGCCGAGAAGTCGTTCAGCACCTACAAGCTTTTGAGTACCTCGATCGTCACTTTGGAGTCGACGGCCAAGACCTCACCGAAGACCTCATAAAACAGGCCCACGCAATCCTCTGTAACGGGGTGCCAATCATTGATGAAGAGCTGCCAGAGGTTCCCTCAGAGCAGTACGCGGGCCGATACCGCAACGTCGCTGTGGGCGCCGGCTCAACCATGTTCGTCATGCCCAAGTACGTCCCACAGCGGATGAAAGAGCTCTACAATGACCTCAAAGAAGAGATAAAAAGCATAGATGCCCATGGCTGCCTCGACCCTTTCTCCCTTGCTGCGAAATACTCACTGCGGTTCGTGGATATCCATCCCTTTCAGGATGGCAACGGGCGGATGTGCAGAATTATCCTCAACGTGATACTGCGTCGCTATCTTGGCATTGTCGTGGCAATTGGAGAGACCGATGAAGATGTCAGAGAGTACATTGGGATCAAGAAGAGAGCTTCAATGGAAATGGAAGGGCATGGGGAGTATGCGACGTTTGTGTTGAGGAGGGGGACAAAGACGATACAGAAGCTGAAGCAAAAGGTGCATGGGAAGAAGGCTTAACGGAGTGGACCATGCTATTGAGTAGTATAGATCGCTAAGGAGCTGCGACTAGAAATCATGTCTCTCCAATCGGGCCATTGAGATGACTCTCCCTCGCTCCCTTTTGGAGATGAAGTCTGGCATCTATTGCTCACCCTTTGTGGCGAACAGTACACGGCAAGACTCAAGCGAGACGGCAAGAAAAACCAGAAATGAAGTAATAAAACATTTAATTGTTCGTAACAAAGAGATATCTAATGTCCAACAATGACAAAAGGCCAGAAACGCAGAATGGCGCACAGCACCCTCAGAAACTTTACCTCCCCTCAATCTCAATGCTCAAACCATCAGACTCGGGTGGTCCCTTGTACACATTCTTTGCGTGGACAAAGTACCACACAGCCGATATCGTCATGAAGCCAAAGAAGACGACGACGGCATAGTTCATGGTGACGGGTGTGACGGGGATGGCTGGGGGCATCGAGAATAGGACCATCTCAAAGCCGATCCACAGAACCGCAACAACGTTGATGACCCATCCAAACCTCTTGCCAAAGGTCCAAGGTGCCGTGTTGACTCCGGCTCGTCCAGTGAGCATTGATAGAACGATAGGAATGCAATACGAGATGGCCAGACCAATGACGCCAACCGCAATAAAGGCGTTAAAGGCTGAACTGGAGCCGAGGTAGATCAGACCCAAAAGCATTTGGATAATAGTGGTGAGGATCAGAGCGTAGATTGGCGTGCCGTGTCGCTTGTCGACCTTGGACCACACCTTGGAAAGGGGAATGGCGTCGTCTCGTGCAAAAGCCCATGTTGTTCGAGAGGCGGCGACCGTGATGGAGATGGAACAGAAGAGGGTGATGATCAGGACCAAGGCCGTGAGAGCGATTCCGCCGGCTTTGGTGCCTGTGACTCGGTAGAAGATATATGGGAGGACTTGGCCGAGGGGCGCTTCGAGGAGTTCTGCCAGGGGTGGGAGGGTGGCGCACATGGGGATGATCTGGATAAGAGTTAGCCGAGAAGTTGTAGATATGGATGGTAGGCACTTACAAAGAACAGACCAAAAACGAAACCGACGGGGACGCAGAGCGAGATGGCTCGAGGGAGCTTGACAGTCGCATCGCCGCATTCCTCAGCCATGGCTGTGATCATGCCCAAGGCGGAGAATCTATGCCTATTAGTCAAGAACGTCTTTGAAGCGGCATGTCGACTTACGTATAAGCTGGGGGAAGAGCTCCGATCCAGAATGAAAAGTCTCCCCACCCACTCAAAGTACTGTCATAATGGCCCTGGGCATGTCAACAATAAAATCCTTCTCGAGTGTAGGATTTCCAACTTACCAGAGTGTAACTGGGGGAATGGCGGCCATCAGCTGCCTTTGTAGAAAGGAATACGCAAGCAATGAAGATGGTGATGGCCGTAAATGCGGCGCAGAAGGTATCCACGGTAGGCAGGAACTTGTTTCCAAACGCCACGATGAAAAAGGTGACGAGGCAGAGACCGTAGAAGATAAGGAGAAGCTTCCAGGGCTGCCAGTCGTAGTCGGGATAGTAAATACCGACGGCGGCAGCAAGAAGAGAGGCGAAGCCAAAGTTGACGGACAGAGTGATGGTCCAATTACCGACGAGCCATGTCCAGCCGGTTATAAAGGAGAGAACGGTTCGGTACTTCGGGGAGGCGATCTGAAAACTCCAGTAGTAAGGGCCTGCGGATGTTGGCCATCTGGCAGCGAGCTCTCCTAGAGAAATTGCAATGCATTCGTCAAGGATACAGACGACGATCCAGCCCAGGAACATGGCAAGCTGGCCGCCGCCGTAGATTGAATTGATCATTGGTGCACCGAAGCCATAAGGGATCTATCAAAAGTTAGGAAAAGCATCAAAATGATGATGAGAAGCTTACAGCAGCGATGGCTAGAGATTGGAATAGCAGTGTGAACATGGAGCGATTGCGTCGCAGTTCGGGCTTGTAGCCCAGGGCACTGAGGTCGGCGGCATCACCAACGGGGGCACTCTCAAATGTCTTTCCCTGTTGATCAAAGGACTTGACCTGCCGGTCACTATCGCTACCCTTCTCGGACACCATGATGGAAAAAAGGTATAATGGGAATCGATAGTGAGGATAAAGAAGTGCTGAGTCGCCTCGGAAATGTGTTGTCCGTGACACAAAAACCCACGTCAAAAACAGCAGCGATCGCGTTGAATATAAACCCCGTCTCCCATAACATTTGACGGCTCCCTCGGCGGTGACATGTCCAGCCACATGTCTGATAGTCCCCTCCCCCCCTTGTCTACGACAAGCTTTCAGGGATGATAAGCCGCGCCGTAGAGAAACCCTGTTTCCCCGGATTTTGGGACAGGGACTTTTTTGCCTAGAAGGTGTTAGTCTGACTCGCGCGGATGCGACCCCTCTTTGTTCCGCGGTTGGTGACCCAGCAAGGATGGACGGGAACTCGAGCCTGAAGCGGAAAAGCGGAGGGGGGAAATAGGTTTGCCGCTAGGACTTTTGAATGCTGGGACAGGGGTTTGAGATAAGAATGTCAATCTGGTTTCCGCTTGTGTCTTGGGATGGTACCGTGTGTGACAGGGACTTTTATGCCAGAGTCGGCAGTTTTATGGCCCAGGAGCTGAGTTTTGGGGTAATGGGCGTAAACGATGCCCGCTATTCACATACGATTAAACAGAGTCAGGCTCATTGATGAGTCTATTGGATTTTGGGTATCTGGTCGAATCATTTCCCCCACGTCAACCAAAGACAGTCTCATACTTGAGATCAGCCATGACGTCGAGCCAGTGCACCGATCCCGGCACCGTCTCACTGTCGTACCATGACCAGACGGCCTGTAAAAGTTCCCGAAGTATGACAATAGGGCCTACAGCTGGGCCCTGACCGAAACCTCTCAGCCTGTCCATGATGAACTCGCGGGCTAGACCTACGTCAGAGAAATGCCTCTGCTTTGGAGACTTAGAGTCTCCGATGACTGGGTAAGACATGTCTGACCAGCTTGTATCTGACAACTCTAGCTTTGGGGGTGCTTCCTCCGTGGATACTGTTATACACCGGAGTCCGGAGCCTACACCTAGGCATAGTAGGGGCTGAAGGCATCGAATTGACTCTGCCGGGATCTCAGAGAGTATCCCGGTTATGTATAGAGCGAGCGATGTCGGCCATGTCGTTTTGGTAACGCTCCCTGAATCTATCCTATCCGGGAGCCGCCTGGAGACGAGATCAGGAAATGTCTGGTAGAGCTGAAGAAGCGAGGATAGACGAAACACCTCGGCAGCACGGTGCAAGTCCATATCCAGACCATCTTCCTTGCGAATTTCGCCCGCATCCTCGATCAAAGCTGGGACCTCAACCGATAAGAGTGTCTCCTCGAGGGCCTGAGCTTCATTGATATCTAGCATCGCCTGCCACATCACCTCATATGTGGGCGCGATACTGCCTCGCCACGTATCACGAGACCTGCGACACAAGGACATGGCCTTTCCAAAGAGCGCGATTATCTTGGGCGGAACGCCGGTCCAGGGGTGTAGGACAAAGTCGTACGGTGGGTAGGTTGCGGGCGTCCATTCCATGAGGGTGCTGATGTCTTCTTTGTAGCTCGTCACGATACTTCTGACGGATTCTTCGTAGATTAAACACTCTTTGAAGAATTCAACGAGCTTTTGGTCTTCTTTTGTAAGATGCTTCGACCGCATCTCTAGCAGAGACAGTATCACCCGGACATGACGGAGGTACTGTAGCCCAAGTTGCTTGTGATCCATCCAGCAGAGTGACGAACTCAAGCAAAAGAGAGATATTATCAGGGCGTGGGGTATAGTCGTGACGGTATTCGGCGCTTCAAACAGTTTCCTGAGTTCGTGGATAATTGCTTCGGTCGCAATTCGTGGAGCTGACGCAGCAATCTCTTGGATCTCGGGCTGGCGTTTGACCAAGGAAGCAGCTGCCATGCTCTGTAGAGAATAAAAGAGAGGTCGTGATGAGCCCCATAGGGAAGAACCAAGGCGTCGGAATGGATTCGTTGGAGAGTCGTAGGCTGCCCAGGCGCCGCATACGGACTTGAACCAAAGCTCAATCAGGAATGTCGATGGTTCGGAGATGGCCTGTGCTGGGGAGCTGACGGGTATATAACCTGAGGAGCAGCCCTTGGAGACGACAATTTGCTTCTCTTCAGCATCTTCGGAGTTGCTCGGGTTTTGTCGTAGTGGCTTGAGCTCAAGCTGTGTGCTTGGTGAAGTCGTCAAAGCATGATCAGCTTCAATAGGGGCTGGCCTGAGACGTCGTTGGCTGATGGTCGACGGTTGAGAACAACTTGTGGCGACATTGAGACCTTTCGCCTGCTTCTCCGAGGACGATGATGGTTGTGCAGAAGGGAGACTTGAAGTGGCGCCGGATGATCGATCATGACTCTGCGTGTCTGAAACATGATGCTCTTGAAATGACACGGAAGCGGCAAAGATGAGTTGATCGAGATTTGGGGGGTCATTGGTATTGCGCCTGCTGCGCCGCTCATGTTTGGTCGACCACTTGAGCGTCTGCTGATAGCCCGGGCAGACAACATTTCTGTCCTTACAATTTTGACAGCTCGGCTTGCTCTCATCACACTTGAGCTATAGAGAGCAAGGGTCAAGTCAGCCTCGAGAGCGATAAGGATGATGGGATGGGTCGGTACCCTTTTCGCCTTGCACACCTGGCAACCCGACCGGGATTTCGTCTGCCCCTTCATATCAGCTGTTTCGATAGATTGATGAGTTTGAAAAGAGGAGAAGTTGTTGCATGGCTCGGCCGAAGAAACTCTGGGCGTTTCCACTTTCCCCAGATTCTCTCCTCGAGCCTCAAAGCTGGGCACGCTAAGGATGAAGCCAATGGGATGTTACCGGAGATCAACAAGGGGGAAAGAGGCTATTCCCAATCAGGGAAAAAAGTCCCGTCGGTATCTTGGTGCGGGGTTGATTTATCTTGTGCAGATGCGCTCATGACCACAGAGTTTGTTCATGAATTGGTTTGTGGATGTGATTGATCATGGGGACAAGAGGTGAATGCGTGACCCTGACGTGTTTGTTCGTATTGTCTGTTGGTAATAATGTTGTTGGAGGGTATCTTGGAGCAGGGGTTCTTGACACCATGGACTTGGCTACCCTGAATGGTAACCATTTCCCTCCGGCGCTGCGCCAATATTTAACTAATCGCGTGATGATGCATTAAATCGTCTAAGCTTATAATCTAAAAGCTAGGACAGTTTCTTGCTGCTCTAGGAAAGGATGTCCATGAAGGATCGTGCCCTTAGCCGAATGCTACTGCGCATTGCCGACTGGAGACGCGCCTGTGGCCGCATAGAGAAAGAATCTTGTCAACAATCATCATGGCAATTAAAAGGCCCTCTCTTCACACTCTGAAAGAGCCCTGATCATCTCGATCACTTTGATATGTAATCTGCAACGACATGTCCCCCGTGTATCAAAGTCGAAAGAGGCTAGACCTCCGAACAGGGGGAATAGTATCTCGGCATCTAATTGCCGATCGAGATATGGGGATGCCGAGTATCCATGATTTCGGTGTTATCTTATCCGTGAATCCATGTAGAAACCAATCACTCGGACTCTCGTTATCTTTATCATAGCACGCCTTATCCTCCAGATTCAAATCGCGTGTTTCTACTCATCATGAGACTAGAGGCGATTGTTCTCGACAGCATCACCCTGTAGATGGGTTACATACGAAGCGAGACAGCCTTGCTCTAACTATGCTTCAAGCACTCAAAATCTAAGAGACTCATAATCTTTTCATGTATCCAGGAAGAATTTTCTCTATTTCCAAAAGCCAAGTTGCACGACCAAGCCGATTATCAACATTATACCATGCCAAACTATGCGTATACTCAGGCCCAGTTACCATCCTCTAAACAATTTATCAACAAGCACACGCCGTATAATTAACAAAGACTAGACATTTATCTCATGCAACACTTCAACATGTACTTCATCAGTGCGTGCCTCGACCGCCGACGTCGTCGCCGTCCTTTTCGTTAGCATCGCGAATGACTTCGCGAGTCTTGCCCCATTTGAAGTCGTCAGAATATATAAGGGAATAAACCAGGATAATAATGTTCATGAAGGGAGAAGTAAAGAGATGAAGAACGAAGCCTGCAAAGTACTGGACTCGCTCAAGATTATTGCGTGGGAGCCAGAAACCAATACAGAATGAATAGAGCTGTTGATATTAGCATGATGTGTAAATAGATGTGAAATGACTTGAACTTACGTAGCGGAAGAATAAAACGCAGATGAGGCCCAAAAAGACAGGATCTTGCATCACTTCTCTACCCCTCTTGGCAAATACCATGAGGAGCTCGACGAACGCAGCGATGATGAAGGGAGTGATGGCCCAAGTCACAACAGCAATGACACTTTGCAGTCGCTCAATGGGGATAATGCCCGGTCTGAAGATCATGACAAACTCATTCGAGATGCTTCCGAGAGCCCAGCGCTTGCGCTGGGAGAGAAACACCTTCCAGGTCTGAGGGACAATAGTCATGGCTTTGGCACGGAGAGCTTGCGCTGTCTGCTTGCCAGGGAAGAGACTGAAGATGATGGAAGCATGAATACTATCCTCTGAGTAGTTACCCATGATGTGTTGTGTCATGATATCGTTGGGCTTGGGGCAGTATCCAAATCGTTCTCTGAGGACAGCATCCCCAAACGTGGCCTCGTCGACGCGGATGAGCTGACAACAGCCAGGAAGACAGTTGACTTTTCCCGTGATGCGGGACTGAAACATGCGACGAAGACCTTGTGTCTGAGAGTACTCGACAGATTGATAGAGAGACCAAAGGCCCCAGTTGTGACCATCAAAGTCAACACAGACATGGCCGCAAACGCCGACAACCTTGGGGTTCTTGCGGATCTCTCTGATCATCTCCCAGATACAGAACTCGTCAAAGACGGTATCAGCATCCATGCCGCAGAGGTAGGTAACATCATCGAGACCAGCTTGGACAAAGTTGTTGCCAATGTACTCAAAGAGATCATTGTTAAACATGGTGACAATATTCTCGGACCGCTGCTTGAAGTGGTAGAGGAGCGATCGGGCAAAGCAGAGACTGTCTCGCTTTCCCTGGTTGTACCGCTTGCCGACAAAGACGTATGGAATACCCCTGTAGAATCCAGTTTGTGTCTTGACTGGCATAAAGAGGCCGTCCCGAGCACGATAGCCGTTCTCAAAGTCGCGAGATGGGCCCGGCTCTAGGATGTCCTCGAGAAGATAGCCCTGGGTGGTCTTTGTCATGCCAGGACCGCGTACGTTTCCGTCAACGACGATAAAGATAACACGCGGATGGTTATCAATGTTCTTTTGCGTGATCAGAGAGTCCAGGGACCGTGTCAACTCTTCGTACGTCTCGTTGTAGCAGGGTAGCAAAAGGACCATCTTCTCTGGCTCATCCGGAACATTCTCCTTTGGTTTCCACCAAAAGCAGAGAATATGAGTGCAGAACCAATGAAGCATTATGCAAAAGCACATGAAAGTCTGCAGAATTGTGTTCGAGCTGAGGAGGACAAGGAGGAAGTAGTACACCTGGTAGTACCTCCATCCAATGTAGATGAGCGCGGCGTTGAGTCCAACAAGGCCGATGATGAGGCCCCATTTTTGGAGCATGAGCATCGACTTGGACATTTTCTTGAGTTCTTCGTCCGAGTCCCAGCGTAGTTTGGCTTCTTCTTGTTGAATGGAAGAGGTGAAGGAAAGGCTCGAGTCGTTTCCGCTGTGGGTGAGCCATGAGGCTTGAGTTACGCCTGATCGAGGGGTTTGAACACCGGGGTGAAAGTCGCCGTTGATGCCTCGAATTACAGACTTGACAAAGTTGAGCGACTATTCACGTTTGTAGCAGTGGCATTCAAGTACTCACCGAGTCCCGGGAGCCAGTCCCGCCAGGTCTGAGTTGATACTGAGACACTTGGCTGTAGGAGACGGGCGGATGAGATCCCTGAGGGGTCATACTGTTGAGCCCCTGAGAGGTCATACTGTTGAAGCGCTCAGCCGAGGAAGACGACTCCCCGTTGGGAGGCGGGATTCCCAGGAAGCTCATGGCGACAGCTTCTTAGTCCCCCTGATCGAGCGACGTGCGGCCGAGACTCAACTGCAGCAGGGGCAAGGGATAGAGTAAACGAAAGCGTGAAATGATTTGATAGTGAATGACTGGGATGAAAACGAGTGAAGCGGGTAGTTGCTTGCAAGAGACGCAACAACAGGGAAAATGGAGACAATGAGGATGAACGATAGGCAGAGTCTTGTTCCAGACTCAAAGAAGTACCTTTCAAGAGGGCACGCGCAGAAATGACAAGCCCAAGCGAGTGACGGGCAGGGTGAAGAACAAGGGCAGACAGCCAGAAGACGCCGGGGAGCTGTGGAAGCTATAGCAACATTACTTCCTCTCTCGATTTCTCGCCACTATCCTGCAAATTCCGTCGAGCATCAAGTGCCGGACGCCTCACCGGGAACTCATCACACCAGCCGGCATCACCGCCTTCAATCACGGTCCCAGAGGAGATCCCCGATGCCATGGCACAGCAGCAGATAGCTCTTGTTCTGATACGAATTCTCAGCTTTGAGGGGCGTGAGACGGTGACTGTGGTCTTCAACCAACCAAGCCAAGAAGATGTATGCCTTGATCGAGAATAGAAAAGTGCAAAGGGAGACATGCTTGAAGAACCTCGTACACGCCCCCTTGTTCAGCCGCTGTTTGACCACCATCTACCGGCAACCTCCAAGCAGGAACAGGGATAAGCATAAACATGAGCCTGCCAGCAGATGACATTGAGTTTATTCAGTGGCCCAATGCGAGTGTCTTGGAAGAAGCATGGCGTAGAATATTGCTTTGATGCTGTCTGTAAACGTTCAACAACTGCCAACCGTTCCAGCAACGTGGACAGCATACGAGTCAGGTTATTTTTAAACGGACTTTAGAAGTTTATTTACTACTCTTCAAACCAATACATGTAGTCTCCAACACCGCAGAAGCTCGACAGAAAGAGCCAAGGAGGATGCAGTCACGACAGTGTGAAGGACCCCCACCATTCCGTTGTGCGACAAACATGAGAATCACATCCGGTTAGTAAGGACAGGTCCTTTTCAATTTCGGGCCCCTTCGTGAAAAAAAAAGGAACAGGCACGGGTCGGGACCGAGGAATCGAGATCAGCTTTGCTGTTGAGAGCATCCCGTGTTCGTTCCTGCAAGGCCTCTACTCCTTTGATCCCGAAGTCTCAAGCCATCTCAACAACGGTAGACCAAGTGGCAAATGTCTCATTCAACGGCCAAATGGCGAAATCACCATGATCTTGGCCTTTGACTCAGAGTGAATGCTTGTATATGGTCTTCCCACGACAATATGGGACCGTGGGGGGTGTTTTCGTGCCGCCGGGTCGATTTTCGCTCACAAATAGGACAGCATCAAATAGCTCCAAGCACAAGACATCTTCACAGTCACGACACCGAGTCAGCGCAGGCGGGGAGTCTTGCCCGGGATGCCGTGATATGAAGCCATTGCAAAGGCAAAGTAACCAAGAAGTCGTGTTTGCATCGCAGCCCCCGAGCCCATGATCCCAGGGCCTGCAGGAGTCTACGCAGGGGGTTTCGTGCTGTCGATGTACTGATACTTCCACCCTCTTTGGCAGCAGTCGTGAACTGCGGAGGTTATCCCCGGAGACGGGAAGTCGACCCGGGGTCTGAGAGAAACGCTTCGAGTCAAGATCAACACAGAAGAGGACTATCCCCCACCCACGAAACGAGCAACCCGTTGCCTGTCTGAAGCCACAGTTACACAGAGTCGTAACCCATGTCCTGGCCTCAAGACGCACAGCATCACTGACATCATAGTCCGGTTATCCTCCCGAAAATACACATTGCAAATGCTGCGTAACGCTCGGAATTCGGAGCACATCCAGCTTGCATAGTAACTCACTCGGATCCCACTTCAGACGCCGTATCCGATGATCTGAGTGCTAGGCCTGGTAATTGGTTCTTGGAGTCTTGATTCCATCCAGTGAGCTTCAACTATGAGGCTGCATATTCGTGGGGTGGACAGGACAACCACAGCGAGGCTATTCTGGCAGGTATACACCCTCTTCTTCTCTCGCACTCTCTGCAAGCACTGCCTATTTGGGACTCTGCGACGCATGTGGGAATACGGCGGCACACATGCATTTTCCATACGAGGGGCCAAGGGTGGCACGCATTTATGGCGCGTTTTAACCTTAAGCCCAATCTGCAAGAGATTGATGTGCCTAGATATGCGTTGTTGGGGTGTTTGCCTTCACTTAGCATTCATCCTAGGTTACGTGATGAATATTGAGCATCAAGTGACTCTGTGGGATAAGATTGATGAATAGAATGGTTGCCAGAGATGTACAGAGCTGAACAGGGAATTGGGAACATAAATTAAGCGTATATAGTAGATGAATAAAGTTGAAGAATAGAATATTAAGCACAGAGATCAACTACCGATACAGCCCAGAGATGATGGGCTGAGTCAGCCCCAAATGGCTTGAAAGGGGTTCAAGGAAACACAAATAAACAATATCCCAAAAGAATGCCCTTCAGAAATGACGAAATAGATCCGAATTACACAGGCGCGGGTGCGCTTAGCTCCCACTCAGTAACACTTCCCAAAGCCCTCCTGGCAGCCCTTGCCGCAGTGCTCGTCACTGCTACCACTAGCATCCAGGTCAGCCTATTGTTGTCCCGAAAAGAGAGAACGCCTTACCAGAATCCGTGGGGAGAACAACACTTCTTAGAGCCGTAATTAGCGCAGGTTGCCTTGAACTTGGATCCGCAGAGGCCGTTGGTGGTGTCGTGGATTTCACCACTAGGAGGCTTGCACGACCCAAAGTCGGCGTCGCAGCCAGTTCCGCAGTACGGGTCGCTCGAGCCGCTTACAAACCATAACGTTAGCAACGAGGAAATTTGTAAAGACATACTATACAGCTATTCAGGAGTGCGGCTGAATCCGTGCTTCACCAAAGTGAAGAGAAGTCAACTTACCAGTAACCATACCAGGAGCAACAGTTACCGAATCGAGATCCTTGGCAAGTGTATCCCGTATTGCCACCACAAGTCTGGTTGGGTGAAATCTTGAGGCCACCCGTCGGCTCAACTGTGTAGGTGGGTTGCGAGGCCTTGGTAGAGGACGGCTTGTGAGTAGGCACAGCTGTGTAGTCGCGGCCTCGGGGCGCGGTTCGATACCAGTTCTCCTTGGGATCTCCAAGGCACTCTCCGACTGTCACTAGTCTGTACCCACGATCCTGCGCTGTCTCGATCATGTAGGCAGTCAACTCAGTGACAGTCAGCTCGTGGACATCATGGGCAAGCACAATGTACCCATTGTTGTCCGAATCAGAGGACACCCCGTCAGAGTACCTGTCCTTGGCAAGCTGGATCAGATCTGGACTGTCACACTGATAGTCCTTGGTGTCGATATTGTTGTTGACGACGTGGTAGCCAAGCTCTTCCATCAGATCGAGGCACCCAGATCTAGAGATACACTCTAGGTAAGGGGGCCGCATGTACGTAGGGATCCACCCAAAGATGTTGCGCAAGGCCATCTCATTGTAAATCATCTCCGTTCGTCTGATGGTGCTGTTGACTTCGTTGAGGTTGCGATGAGTCCAGGTATGGCTAGCGATGTGATGACCTGCTGAATACATGCGTCTCAGCATGGCAGCCCAGGGGTTAGACGGGTCGTCGATGTGGCCCTTTCCTCTGTTGTTTCCAGCAACAAAGAAGGTTGCCTTGACATCGTATTCGTCCAACACGTCCAAGATCTCGTTGGTGTAGGTGTACGGGCCATCATCAAACGTCAGAGCAATCACGCCAGGGGTCGTGCAAGTTCTGATGATACTGCCTGTCATGATCTTGTCAGTATTGCGCCATGAGGTGCATCACAGCATCGGAGCAACAAGTGTGCATACCGTAGGGCACGTTCCCGAGGTTTGGTCGAGGGATGTCTTCCGTGCTGCTCCCATCTGGTCCAAAGCTGAGTCGACAGTTAGCCATCATTCATGCAACCATACTCCATGAACCTCCGCATTGCCACATCTGGATAACTTCCTCTCGTTTATCTGCAATCAGCTCTTTGTGGCGAAACTTACAAAGTATCACAGGAGTCGCTGTATTCGAGCTGGCAGCTTGAACCACCGCAAAACTCTTCGGTTGTGCCGCAGAAGCCACTCTCTGAACAGCAGGATCCATCGTCACACGATCCAATCCCAGGACCACACTCTGCACGCTTTCGAAGCATAGCATATCTTGGTGACAGAACTTGATCCGCAGCTACAGCCGGCCCAGCCAGGGTAGTCCCGGCATTGAACAGCAAGGAAACGAGGATGGTAGAAAGGACAGACTTCATCCTGACGCTACGCTCTGTGAGCTTCAACAGACAGGGAAACAGTAGGAGAAAGAAACGAGTGACAACATGAACGAGTGATGGGTAGAAGCACAAGCGTCTTTCAGGAGCGGAACCACGACTTATTTACCCGACCAAGCTTACATGCAGCTCGCTCAAAATCGGGCAGAACCACATCAGGGGAGATCGTATATTGGAACGCGGAAACCCGCTGCATCCATAAACACGAGAAATATCGTCCAGGTAAGTCCAATATGTTGAGCCCGCAGGGCGGGTATGCCCACCAAGGCGCCCTGATGGGTCATCAGGATCCGCGAGGTGGCCGCAATTTCAGCCATCTCAAGCAATATTCCAGCCCATCGTCGGATGTGGCCCTCGCCGGTAATTTTAATCTTTTCTTGGAACCGTCTCCATGCCTCTTAACTCTGCTTTTCGGGCCTGCCCCTGACTGGTGACCCAGCGCCACTGCCAAGACGGGGACTGGTGCAGCTCCCAGTAGAATATTAATCGCTGCAAAGGGGTAGATGTATCCGGATATCTTGCATGAGGCAACGCACCGGAGACTCCCAGGTCTTGGCTAAAGGCGTGCTCGAGGTGGGATCGCGAGGGGCGACCTGGCGGCCGTTTGGCCCCCTCAACGGCAACAAGAGGCTTATGCCGGAGCCAACGCATACCGGGAGACGGTTTCCGGGCCTTTTCTTCTCCACAATAGGACTCAAGACCGTCCAGATGCCAATACGATGCATTTTGGTGCAGGCGAGGTTGCTGATGGCCAGGATTCGTGTTCAGCTCACCTATATTCTTGCCACCCCCGTCTTGCAGGAAAAGAAGGTTGAGTTAGCCTCAATGCGTGTTCCTGTAGGTTCAACAACATTCATTCGCAATCAAGACTTTGTGTATCAACTTGGCAGCCCGTGGCTTTACTTTCCGACCAGTCATATGAATAAGAGCAGCAGAAAGCTTCCTCGTTTCGACTCAAGACTCAGGTCGGGAAAAGCGACGACGCGTCTTATCGAGCTGGCATCACACCACTGAGGATGACGACGCAATGAATGCTATGTGTAACCGTCTCTTGCATATCAGACGGGCCAACCAATTTCTTCTCCGATGAGCGGCCTGCCCTGGATCTGGTGTTCTTTGTGTGGCTTGAGCCCGTTCCGGGACGGCTGATGGTCTTCCACACAGGTGGACGCCAGGTGGACGCCACCGAGCCAAAAACGCCCGCTTGACGAGCTGTTCCTGAGTCTTTCGTCTGATTGTCGCACAAAGGCCAGACTGGGTTCTCCACGTGCAGTCTGTGAGCTGGGTGATAATTGCGGATATGGGTGTGGTTGAAAGTACCGATACGACGGTCATGTTGCCCGGATGTGTGACATTGTTCGGCTAGGTTTGGTGCTCCAAAATCTTGTTCAATCCAGTAACTATCCTGGATGTTTGCTCAAAGACCCCTGTCATAGGAAAATAGGCTCAACTGCAGTCGAGTTCGCACAGATTTTGATTAGGAGAGCACTTTTGCCAAGATAGCCATCGTATTCTCTTCACAAACGTAGTCCAAGAAGTAAGCAGCAGAGGTTCCATTCCCTGTGTAGTGTACGTAAGCTTCTCGCTTTCAGCTCGAGGTTCCAGGCGTCGTGATGAGAATGAGGCATACTTCGGCCTCTAATTCAGGCCATGATGTGCAACACCGCCGAGTTGTGAAACGATCTGTCTGGTCAAATGCAATAGCGATGCAGGACCGCTCAATTAAAGCCAGCTGCTGTGTCTCTGGCCTCGAATCATCCTGTCCGGGATACACGACAGACGAAGGCACCAAAGGAGAAAATAGAGTCAGCTATAGCGTCGACAGGCAGAAGAAGTACGAGGTGGCGGTTCCAAGCTGAGCTCTCGATAGGATACCCCTGACCAGTTGCTGAAACCGGGACAAAACTCGTTTCTGCGCAGGCCGATGCACTTTGGAGGATGACGTCGATGAGGGAATGCTCTCGGACCGCACGCCCTAACGGTCTTAGCAGATGCTGACTGAAGGCTTTGAAGAGATCAGGGACGAAGATGCTAGTTTTGCTTGTTGAACACTACTCGGTGAGAGCCTGACGTGGTGGCTGATGAGTACGTGTCGTATTGCCCATCTTCGGGGTATATTGCGATCGTTGAACGAAATCACTCGATCTCCGTCGGCAGCCAGAATTTGCCTACTTGTTCATCTCCGCATATCTGAGCTGGAGTCCCCGTAGCTTTCCGGTGCATGTTCCGGCTCTTTAGTCTATTCATTCGTTAGCAGACCTTTTCCGATCGTTACCAGTATGGCCCAATTGCTTTCACATAGCCTCCTAGCTCAGGGGCTTCCCTTGATCGCACATGAGCAAGACTCCAAACCATGGAACCTCTCCAACCGCAAATACTACGACATCACTCCCCCAAGCGAAGTCTCAGAGACAGAAGGGGGTATTCAGCCTACCGAGACGGAGCCAATCGACCTGACGACGGAGCCTCTCGTCGCTGTCATTGGAGTTGGCTATGTTGGAGAGCACCTTGTTGGGGTCTTTTCCAAGAACTTTGATGTGCTTGGGTACGACGTCTCTGAAGCTCGAACGCAGCAACTGGCTCAGAATCAAACGGCCGAGAGCAGAGTGAGGTTCACCTCCAAGGCATGTGATCTTACAGATGCCACCCACTTTCTCATCTCGGTGCCAACCCTATTGCTTCCTGACAAGACCATCGACTCTTCGTATCTCAGAAGCGCCCTTTCAGCGGTTGGTCTCTATGCCCGTCGAGGCGCGGTCGTGGTCGTCGAGAGTTCTGTGGCTGTCGGAATGACACGCGAGCTCCTTGGCCCTCTTGCCAAAGAAAGGGGGTTCTTTGCCGGCATGTCTCCAGAACGCGTCGATCCTGGTCGTGTAGAGCCGCCGGCTCACTCCATACCAAAGATCGTTTCGGGACTTGACGATGTGGTGCCAGGCTCGCTTGATGCCATCCTGCGGCTCTATTCGCAAAGCTTCGATCAAGTTGTCTCAGTCTCGCGTCCAGAGGTTGCCGAAATGATGAAGCTGTATGAAAATTGCCAGCGTATGGTCTGCATCGCCTATGCCAACGAGATGGCAGATGCCTGCCTCGGGCACGGTATTGATCCCTACGAGGTGTGTCGGGCCGCTTCAACCAAGCCCTTTGGCTACCAGCCCTTCTCTCCCGGGCTTGGCGTTGGAGGACACTGTATTCCTGTCAACCCGTGGTATCTACTTTCCAACAGTAGTTTCCCTCTTCTTAGAACCGCGGCTGAGAAGATGCATGCCCGTCCAGCGGAAATTGCGCGTCGCGCGGTCGAGCGTCTCTACAGCGAAAGCCGTGAAGAGATGCGGCCGCGAGTCCTGGTCGTCGGTATCGGCTTCAAAAGAGGACAGTCCCATCTTGCCAACTCTCCTGGCCTCGAACTTGCAAAGAGCCTTGTTTTGACGGGAAAGGTTGATGTCACCTGGGCGGATCCATTGGTGTCACAGGACGCGATTCCTCAGATCGCGCGCTTATCCGAGAGCGACTGGACAGTCGAGGCGTTGGGGCATCTCTTTGACATGATTATTGTTTCCTTCCGTCAAGATGGCATTGATTTCGACGTGTTGGATCATGTCCAAGGTGTCCATGTTGAGAAGTGGTGTGTTTGATGTTGATGGCAAAAGCGACAGCGCCTTGAGGTCCTGCTTTCAGAGGCGAAAATGTAACTTGGGTGTTGGAATAAGAAGGTGCACCGAGGCACCATCAACAGACACTCAGCACCTTACTTTCCTTTGTTCTTTCCTTTGTAATTTTCTTAGTATTTTCTTTTATATCATCGATAAAATACGAAGAGATAGGTAGATGCAAGAGTTTTGAGTGATCGAATTGAAGAGCATAGCCACGCTACCCTCAGAATTCCAGAGCAAGGTCTAGGGTGGCAGCCAACCACTTGGGGAACCTGCACTCTTCTCGCAACACAGTCTGTAGTAACACCTTCTTTTTAACATGATATTAAATAAAGTGATAATTAAATTTTCTATAGTACATACGAGGTAAGTTGGTTAAAGAATACAGACTCCCAAACGAAGCATCCACGGTACATCCCAGATCTCGTTGCGACTCCGGGCCTACTCTACATACAATACCCCCTTCACACATCCAAACCCATGAATGGATCTTTGAAATCTTCTTATTTTACCTCTAACATCTATATCATCCGTTAGAAACTTTCAGCAGCTCATCGCAATAGTCAACAAACTTGACTACTAGGGTATTGTGCGTCTCTCCGTCAACCTCCCGAAGCTGCGACCCAGCAACCCTCTCGGCAATCCACTTGCCCATGTGAACCGTGGTATTGACATCCTTAGCTCCATACCACATGATTAACGGTCTCTTGCCCTCTGAGGCGAACGTGATGTCTTGCAGCTTAAAGTCCCACCCCTGCGCAAACAATTTCGATTCGTACAAGTGAGCATCGACTCCCTGAATTGTTGCTTCGACAAAGGTTGTGGTGAGATGGTGCACAACCCCTGGCTCGCTCATGACCTCTTTCTCTCGGCCTTTCATAGTGTTGACGAAAGCTTGCTGAGTCTTTTCCGCTTCGGCTAACATTGATGGATCAACGGTCCATTCTTCTAGAGGGCCTGTGAAGTTGCCTTTTCGGCTCGGAATCGGGAGGCGGAGGAAGAATCCAAGGAGCCCAGGCGCCCACTTGGCCATTTTGAGGCTGAAAGAGGTAGCCCAGTGGGCTCCTTCGAATTCGGACTCGAATGGCGACAAACCCCCGAGGACCGCCACGGCTCTTAGACCATCTTCTGGACGGATATACCTAGCACATGCTAAGGCATACGGACCACCGCCGCTTTGGCCCATAACTGCGTACCCCGAAAGATTGAGCTGCTTTGCAAGTGCCCGGACATCGCTGGCATATCCCCCAATTGTTCTTCCGGGCTGGACCTCAGACCGGCCGAAACCCGGCCTGTCTGGGGCGATCAGTCGGATATTGCGATCATGGAGCTCCTGATGAAATCCGGCGCACTCGAGGCGAGAAGAAGGGGTTCCGTGCAGGTAGATTATGGGACGTCCATTTGGTGAGCCGAACTCAGCCCATGAAATGAGTCGTTTGGTGGAAGGAAGGCGAAAGATTAACAGAGTCCGAGGGCTTGCGCCCATCTTTCCTACTTGTGACTGAGGTCCTTTTTGAGATGAGGTTGAGGTTGAATTGAACGACAGTATGATGTTTTACCAATCTTTGAAGAATTAGGACTGAGAGGAGCTGAAAAGAGGAAGGGATGACCGGTTTATGATTAACTAAGGGATCATGGAGGCATGTACTCTTTATACCTTGCCGGCTTCTATCGCTTTCTAGGTGACTTGTGAGGTCATCGTATCGCGTATTTGACACCCGTAGGATGAACCCCACTGAAGGATGCTAAAATGTTACGCGTCTTATTGGTCTGTGGCTTACATCCGGGGTTAGCTAGGCAATGATATCGGGGCTGTGGACTATAAGGGGATTCTCAAGCATTTCTCATTACAAGGGGCTGGGATGATAGGGCGGCCAGGTAGTATACCTACCAAAGAACTAAAAGGTACTTGACCTCTTACCAACAGTCAAAAGATCTCTTGGCCCCCCCGTTGGTTCGGAATAACAACATCCGGCCGGCAGCGATCATTTCTTCAGGCCCCACTCGGGTCCGTGTGGGGGCCCCGCAGCGGGATCGGGCGGATCGTTATGTCCCTTTTTTTCCGGGCGGCGCCAATTGTCGAAAGTCACCACTGAGCCAAAAAGCATAGCGCGCGCCACTTTAGTTAGTGGTGCTTCCCTTTATACTGCCTATAGCCAATTCAACACCAATCCCCATCTGGCCCGGGTTTGATGGCGGGTCCGGACATGTTGACAAGAGGAGTGGTTAATGCCGTCGACGAAATTTCGCCTTAGCCGTTAAGCTTAAGATAAGTACTATATCTCGGATCTAAATCCATCCGCCAGCAATTTATATGTCTTGCCTGTTTACAATAACCAGTGTTCTAGGTCAAGATTTTGGGTCACTCCGAAAGCTGGATATGTGCCAAACTCATCGAACTTTATGATGCAGCAGGTTGACAGCTGGAAGGTGTGTCCGAATTAGGTACGTTGTAGACTAATTCTGCGTAACGGCTTGGGTATTTGCAGCAGGATGAAAGGGCCATGCCGGATGCGCGAATGTCACAATGACGTGGATGACGTCGTTCTCACAGGCAACAAATGTAACATCAAAGCAAGCAAAAATGTGTTGAGTAATAAACGTTGAGGATTGAATCATGAATTGAATGCCTGATAGTGTGTTGTTTGATGAACTTCTCTCGCATCAGTGTGCTAACAGTAATTAACCATCCAGGCGGGAGGTGTTGGTTTTGAAACGCCGGCTTCTCGAAGCATCATGGAACCCCGGTATCAAACAAGGCCCTTTGAGGATCGTGGATTCCAGCCTTCATATCAACCCAGATTCCACACCAAGATCCATTACAAACTGGCGCCAGCTAATTCGCTGACCCTGGACGACGACAGCGCTGATCTTGACCACCGCCCGGAGCATTTCTCCGCGACTTACACACAACATCTGAGATCGGTGTAGCTGGACCAATAGCAATCGCATCAATATCTTGAAAATTCCCTGTCACAAGTGATAGGTTCCTTACGGCCCAATGGCTGCCGTTCAATTCCTGACCCATGATGACGACTTGGCTACTTCAACCACCTTCGTGGCCAAACTCCCTTTTGGTGGCATTTCCCCGCTCACGATTGAGGGAGGAACGCAGTTGTGACGTAAAGTGAACGTTTCTTAAAGACATTCCCGGCGATGCTTAGATCTATAAGATAGGTGGTATTCGTAATGCCCTGAATCGGAGAATTGTCTTCACGCATCCTATACCCTGAGTCGATATCGCGAAATGTCCGAGAAAATAATTGGGAGTATCAAACACGCAGTCATGGGTTCCAAGAGCGACAAGATTGATCAGCTCAAGACCACCACGGTCGAGCCTGACGAAAATTCGAGAATTACTTCCGACTTTGGTACCAAACAGAGCAACACGGATAACTGGCTGCGGGTGAATAGGGAGGATCAGACGGGACCTATGCTCTTGGAGGACACATTTGGCCGCGAGAAGGTATGATTCCAACGATGTTGAGATACTACTTGGACAAATGTTTACCAGGAAGTGCTAGATCCACCGCTTTGATCATGAACGTATCCCCGAGCGGGTCGTCCACGCCCGTGGGGCCGGCGCTTTCGGAACCTTTAGACTCCACGAGTCGGCCGAGGACGTAACCCACGCCGGCATCCTCACCGACACCTCTCGCGAGACGCCCCTCTTTGTCCGCTTCTCCACCGTCCTCGGCAGTCGAGGCTCTGCAGACACAGTCCGCGATGTCCGTGGCTTTGCGGTCAAGTTCTACACCCCCGAGGGAAACTGGGATATCGTGGGTAACAATATCCCCGTCTTCTTCATACAAGATGCTATCAAGTTCCCCGACTTGATCCACGCTGGAAAACCTGAGCCGCATAATGAAGTACCCCAAGGACAGTCAGCACACAACAACTTTTGGGACTTTGTATACATGCACTCCGAGGCAACACACATGTACTTCTGGACCATGTCCGACCGAGCCATCCCGCGTTCCTTTCGCATGATGCAAGGTTTTGGCGTCAATACCTACACTCTCATCAACGCAAAGGGAGAGAAGCACTTTGTTAAGTTTCATTTTACTCCAGAGCTGGGCGTCCACTCTCTCGTCTGGGATGAGGCCCTGAAGCTCGCTGGCCAAGATCCTGATTTCCACCGCAAGGATCTCTGGGAGGCCATTGAGAATGGGGCGTATCCTAAGTGGAAGTTTGGTATCCAGACCATCCCCGAGTCCAAGGAGCACGACTTTGACTTTGATGTTCTCGATGCCACTAAAGTCTGGCCCGAGGACCTCATCCCCGTCCGTTACATCGGCGAACTGGAGCTCAACCGGAACGTCGACGAGTACTTTACCCAGACTGAGCAGGTCGCCTTTTGCACCAGTCATGTGGTTCCTGGCATTGGGTTCTCCGATGACCCTCTTCTTCAAGGCCGGAACTTTTCCTACTCGGATACTCAACTCAGCAGACTTGGCATCAATTGGCAGGAGTTGCCCATCAACAGACCAGTATGCCCTGTCATGAACTTTAACCGCGACGGTGCTATGCGACATACAATTGCCAAGGGCAAGGTCAATTATTGGCCAAACAGATATGGTTATCAGCCAGCGGCAACTAAGGAAGAAGGTGGATATATCGACTATCCTCAAAAAGTTCAAGGGATCAAAGAGCGAGCTTTGAGTGCTAAGTTCAAGGACCACACCTCACAAGCCCAGCTGTTTTACAACTCGCTCTCCGAGCCGGAGAGAGCACATCTTCGAGCAGCTTTTTCGTTCGAGCTGGACCATTGTGATGAGGCAATTGTGTACGAACGACTAACTCAGCGATTATCAGAGGTAGATGGCGTACTTGCAGGGCTTGTCGCAGACATGGTCGGGGGCGAGAAGCCACAAGGCGGTAAGCAAAACCCCGGAAAGACGGCCAAGAATCTCAGTCAGATGGACTTTCTCCCCGGGACTCCTACTATTGCAACTCGGCGTGTTGGTATCATCATCGCAGACGGTTACGATCCCATCGCCTTCAACGCAGTCTACGGAGCCATCAAGGCTCAAAACGCCATTCCTCTTGTTCTTGCACCGCGTCGTTCAGCTATTTTCTCAGCAGATGAGAACCCAGACACTTCCAAAGGCATCGTTCCTGACCACCACCTCGAAGGCCAACGGAGCACCATGTTTGACGCCCTATTCATCCCGGGGGGTGAAAGGTCTATACAGACGCTTGCCAAGATCGGCCGTGCCCGGCACTACATTCGCGAAGCCTTTGGCCACCTCAAGGCAATTGGTGGTACCGGGGAAGGTGTTCAGTTGATTGAGAATGCGATCCAGCTCCCCGAGGTTTCCCTCTCAGAGGCCGATAACGGTAATGTGGTGGAGAGCTACGGAGTTGTGACGCTCAGGAACGCGCGGCCCGAGAGTTTGAAGGAGATTGTTAGTGTTGCAAAGAACGCAAAGGGCTTTTTGGAGCAGTTTGTGTATGCTATTAGCCAGCATCGTTGCTGGCAGCGAGAGTTGGACGGGCTGAATGCCATGGTGGCATATTAAAGGGACACTGGGAATGGATGGCCGACCGCAATGGGGTAAACCTGAGCCTATGTATATATCGAATTATGCGCAAAAATATTGAGTAAAGCTGTCGAGAGAACCTCGTATATCTTCACTCTTGCTGTGTGCTAAATGATTGTGAGTTGAGATGCACCCCTTTTCTTTAGGTCAGCTCACGCATCTGAACAAACGACCACGTACTTTTATCCATCTTCTGGCGCGTTCACGGACACCAACTTATCCTCACTTATGGTAACGAAACTGACCACTGAGAGAAATAGGGATCTCTAAAATACAAACGGCAAGCCACTCTACTTGGAGCTTCAGTTCTGGTATATCCATTCATATTTCTCACCGTACACCGTCCTGCCGGGCAATAGACTCGTCCGAGTACCTCCCATCCTCCCCTCTTCCACCATCTTCTTCATCTATACCCTCTTGAACATCAGCCAGATACCTATCAAACTTGTCCGCAACAGTAATCGCTCTTTTCAGATGTGCAGACGTCATCTTCCTTCCCTTGTACTTTGCCAGCTGCCGCGCCGTGGTGATCGAGTTGCGAATCTGCCGACCATTCATCTCGTACCGTGACAGGTCGTCCAGATTCAGCTCAATATCGTCGAAATCGATCTTGTCCTCCTCACCGATCTCCTCCAGCCTCTTCATAAAGTTTCTCCAGATCTTCTTCCGCTGGTAGCCTTGAAGCTTCTCATAGCGCAAGGCCAGCTGGATACGTGATTTGAATGCCTCGTCAAAGGTACCAACGCGGTTCGTGGTCAGGATAAGGATACCTTCGTAGTATTCAAGAGCGCGCAAAAACACAGACACCAGGGCGTTGCGCTTGAGATCATGAAGTGTCCGTTGCTCGAGAAAAACCTCTGCTTCATCTAGAAGCACAACGCAGTCCCAGATCTTGCCCAGATGAAAGACGGACTGAAGATACTTCTCCACCTGTTCAGGCTCAGTACCAATATCACCACAAGTCACTGGGTAAAGAGGCTTCCTCGCAATCTCGGCGACTGACTCGGCCGTGAAAGTCTTTCCAGTGCCAGGTGAGCCGTGGAGCAACATGATGAGGCCGTTCCCCTTGTTGTCGATGAGATCTGTTCCCTTTTCTATCTCAAGCTGGTTGGTTACCAACGCGAGGATCAGTTCCTTCATGTCCTCATCGGCCACAAGACTGCTGAAGGCCCTGTCATTCCACACGACGTCTCGAATTTGGTCCACTTGGAGGTCAACTATTCAAGACATTAGCGAAAATGGTACAGTTCTGTTAGTTTACAGCAAACTTGCCCCATTTCTTGCGTCTTAGGTCAAAACCGGGAACCATTGTTGGAAACAAATACATCTCGGGAGCTTGCGGGTCTTGGCCATCTTTTGGCGCGTATTTTTCCGCTTTGGAAGAGGGGTATTCAACGGTGGAGTATGTGCTATATGGATGGAGTTCTTTGTACGTGTTGAAATCGATCATGAATCTTTGCCCCTGATACAAATTAGTCACGTTTGAATTCTCTTGGATCTATATTTCCACTTACTGCCTGCGTTCCGGTTGTATCACTCCCATCGTACGAGACAAGTCGCTTGCCGCGCAGTTTCCACCACGTCTTGGCTCGCTGCGTCAACTTCTCTTGTACGCTATGGGCTGCATATTTTACTGGCATGACGCGCAGTGTTTCTATGTCGACTTCACCATCCTGTAGTTCGGTTTCGAGAACTACCCTGACTTCTTTCTTGACCAGATAGAATTCTTCAGAATACTCAAGTGAGCGACATTGAATGACCCATGAGACTGGCTTCTTTGATGCGTCTTGTCGGCCGCGCTTCTCGTCTCTCCCCATGCCACCGTCAAGCCGGGCAGGGGTTAAGATGACATGGCCCCTGGGAATAGCATCTTGGGTCGACACCAAAGCTTCTCCAGGACGGAAGAGAAACGGCATGGAAAAGCGAGACACGCGACGTCTGCGCAGCTGATCATCGATCGCATTGAATAGTGGCGCGTAGCTGGCCTCGATCTGGTCCATCAGCGCCATCACGAGCCGCGCCTGGCGCTCCGGCAAGCTCTGGATGTTGTGTGACTTCCGGCGGTAGTACCACCAGATATAGGGAGGAGTAATGGGGCTTGTCTCGGCTAGTTTCGGAGCGTCTGCGCAAGATGGTGTCTGAGCAAAAAATGCCTTCATAGCCTCGACCATCTCTTTTGATATCGGGATGATTGTTTGTTTGCAAGGCTTTGGCTTTCCTAGTGCCATTTTGCCCTCCACGGCTTCTTTTATGGATGCTTCCTGTTCTAGAGAGTCATAGTACTTGTAAATCACGAATGACATGTTATGATGTTGGGAATATCCGACCGGATCTGGGACAGGAAATTGTCCCCTCAGAACGACATGCTCACCATGCTGCTCCCAGTCGGGCTCGGACAAGTAGGCTGTCGTCCCGGGGCCTTGACTTAGTAACCAGTGAAATGTCTGGATTCTGATAGAATCGGGGTCGACCGGCTTTGAGCGAAGCCGGCTATTCTCTACTTCTAGTCGCCGTATTCGTTCGTTCAATTCGTATACCACTTTGCCCATTTCTGAGTTCCCGAACCGGGTCGAGCCCTCTGGGATAGCTTCCTTCAGGGTTGCTTGTAAGCCAATAACCAAAAAGGCATTGATCTCTTTTCTGCCCTCGGTAGGCAGCGTACTCACCGACTTTCCCGACCAAATCCACTCGGTTGTTGCTTCGGATGCCGACAGAAAGCCTTAAGATATTTAGGATGGTAAGCTCTCAGGTTCTGGATCGTGCAACACTCTAAAAGGAGAAGGCATGCCTTCTAGCTCAAATCGATTGCTTTCTAAGGCAATAAGCTTGCTCCTTTCACTTGTTGCCACAGCATCGTCGGAGATGGTGTTTGGTACCCGAGATGACTCTTTGTTCGGAAAATACCTTCGTATGGGACGGACTTTGGGATAAACAACCGTCAAATCAGCCTCACTATCGGATTCGGACAGATCTTTGGTCGATAACTCGTTCTTCGGTTCCGTGGAGGTCGTCGAATCGAACTGGGATGTGCCCAAAGGATCCCCTCGACTTGGCGACGGCAATAATTCAGATGGGATGTTGACTCGCGATCTGGGTAGATTTAGTTAGTTGTTATCTTGATCATGAGGAACGCGTCTTGACAGCCTTGGGTGGTTTGACAGCTTACTCTCCTGGCATCTTTAGTCTCGGCTACCGATAGACCGGTGCGCTCAGATAGGAGGATTGTCGAATTCTTCCTTCCTCTTGTATCTTGGTTGATTGTTGTAGTTCTGTGTGTGCGGAAAACTCCCTGCGGCTGATCAGGCTGTCCAGGCTGGGCACGAAATGCATCCGGGTTTCCCCTCATGCGCTCGCCGAGGATTCACGCCGTGATTGGCCCAGAATAGAGCGCTTTGTGATTGTACATTCATCTTGCTCAGCCGCTCAGCCTAATTATCGCCCTTCTCACTTACATAGCGGAGCAGACCCCACACCTAACAAGTGGTGCCTGGCGATGCATCACGCGTTATGGATCCGCTAAGCTCATCCATCTAATCACCCATGGATTCGAGATCTCTTTTCGCCAACTGGCATCAAGGAGATGGCCATGGTGAGAGTCATTTGAAAAAGCAGGTGAACATGATCTGACTGTGTCTACAGATGGGGCAGGCATCGCCAAGGCAGCTTTTGAACAGGCCAAGAAAGACTTTGAGCGCCGCAATAGTCTAACAGACCAAGATAGAGCTCTTCTCCAGGGTGTATCGTCTCTCGAAGATGTTCAAAAAGCCGTCAACGAAGCAATGGCCAAGTACGAGGCCAAAGCCGAATCATCGAACACAAAGAAATGGCTCCAGCGGTTCTCTGAGACCGTCTGCCATTATAGTCAAGTCCTCGATGTCTTTGTGCAGCATCATCCCGAGTACGTTGCCTTGGCCTGGGGGGCCATGAAACTAGTGTTCATAGTACGTTAATGGGTCGACTGCACAATTCCACAAACTGATATCATTTGCTAGAGTGCCGTGAACCATTCGGAAACCCTAGAGCTCCTATCAACATCCCTTCTTGAAGTCGCGCAGCGTCTTCCACGCGCCAAGGTTCTCTCAATGCTATATCCGACTAAGGAAATCTGCGTCGCCGTTGAGAGGCTCTATGCCGCGATTCTAGAGTTCCTTCTGATGACTCACTCGTGGTTAAATGAGTCCAAGTTCCGCCACATATACCACAGCTTCACACGACCACATGAGCTTAGGTATAAGAAACTACTTGAGAGAATGGCAGATTGCACCAATGAGATCAACGAGTGGGCGGATGTAGGGGTTCGCACTGAAGTCCGGGTCATGCACACGGATTTCATCAGTCAGCTTGAAAAGGCCATCATTGTTGTACAGAATTCTACGAGCGCTTCAAACAATCGAATAGATGACCTAACTCGTGCGGTGTCGAGCTTGAGGGACGAGGTCAGGCAGCAACACAAGCTGCTCATGCATAGTGTAGAAGGATCAAGGAAAGGGACTGGGACTGATCAAATTATAGCAAGGATCGAAGGTAAGCATCGATAAATTCGTCAAATTTCATGCTAACCAAGATGAAGCCCTCCATTCCATTACAACCAGTGGTCAGCTGGATACCAACCAGAAACTGTCGGAGCTGCAACTGTCCCAAGCACTCAACAGCTTGTCTCAGCAATTTGAGGACCCTGATCAGTGCTTCAAGCAGAATCTGTTTTTCCGAAATCGGAGAGCTTCCGGCCGGGGCTATGCCATCTCAACCAACGAATTCTGGCTGTCACCGAAGCTTGCAAGGTGGTCTTCGGGCAACGACTCATCCCTGGCAATCATTAAGGGTACCTTCACACTACGATCGGCCATTCAAGATTTCGGCGTCAATATAATAGAGTCTCTCTCAATATGTACTGTCCCAACGCTCTGGGCATTGACCAGCTCTCGGAGGTCACGGTCAAGCCCGACACTGACAACGACGGACTTGGTCAAGTATCTTACTTACCAGGCACTGAAGGTTCCCGGGGTTGTTCAGACTGAGAAGCAGATGTCATGGCGCTTTTCACAGCTTCAAACCGCAAGGATGCTGAGAGAATGGCTTACTCTGTTCAAGCACATCATCGGCGGCTTGGGAGGACAGGTGTACATGGTTGTTGACCTAGCCATCGTAGGCTCACTCCTTGAGTCTGCAGAAGGCCTCAATTTCATTCAAGAGTTAAGCCAGGCTCTAGGCGACGTGTCTGAACGGGAGAAGGAAACCAAGGTTAAGACGGTGCTCCTAGCCTACGAAGCGGAGTGGCTTAGACTCATACCGAGGGAGCTTTCAGATAGAGTTATCCCAGTGAGGCCAATGAAAACAGGAAGGCAACGAGGAAAGGAGATGAAAAGCTCGATCAATAGGCAATTAATTTCTTCTCGTGGCACAAGACGGACTCTGCGAGTTTAGATAGCCCCTAGGAAGCAGTAGGGGGACACGGTACATTCTCATCCCTCAACTTCATACTAACACACTTTATTGTGGCAGCAAGCTTTTATTTCTTTAATGTACCATTAAAATGCATTACTTGGCACGTTATTGAACTAGTACCACTGGAGCAGACAACAGCCAACTCGGACTCATTCCTCTCTACCTACTCAAAGCATTGTAGGCCTTTTACACCCAAGTTTAGTTATCTTACGTCATGATCCCCTTAACCGATCTTGCCAAAGTGTCAAGATGTCTATGCATGGATTGGGTTCCGAGCTGCAGGTCCCAGCCCCAGCTCGCCGTGCAGGAACTTTAAGCACTATTCGCACCGGAAGGATCCCCTCTCCTCCTGGAAGCAAGATGGCCTCTCCTCTTCAAATCACCCCAGATCAAAAGGCCCTGGGCAGCACCATCTCCTTCCAAGATCATGTTGACCTTCTTCTAGGTGACTGAGCTGTCCATCTGTATCTTGGACGAAACTGATACTCAAGTAGGGAACACTCAAACCAAGCACATAACAACGAGACACCATCACCGAAAAGATGCGGCTCAAAGACGGTGGTCCAAATCCCCTCTTTCTCGCCATCGGCACCCGGGGCTACTACGTCCAATCGCGAATCCTACGAGTTCCGCAACGATTCGGCGTATTCTCTCCCGGCCCTCCCCTTCTCCAGGTCCACCAAGCTTCCTTCCTCACCTTTCTGGTCATCCTCTTCGCCGTCGAATTCTTCCTATCGAGCACATTTGTCTTGACGCTATACCGTCTTAATGGGCCGTGGTTGATGGCCCTGCTGGGTCTATCAGGGGTTAGGGTTGGATTGTTTGCCCTACTTTGGTCTCTGATGTGTGGGCTTTTGTTTGTCAAATGATATGTTGTCAAATGGCATTCCGGATCTGTTGTGCGAAGGAGATAATTGCAATAAGAGGGGATATATGGCTTTGTTCGGTATTGGATGTGGTATAATGCCTGTATCATGCCGACTGCCGCGCTTCTCTTATCGCGCTGCTTTAAACCACATTCGACAGGCCGGGCAAGACAAGAGATCGATAGTTTGGTGAATGGCCGATATGGGGCAGGAGTTAATACACGTACTTTGAAACGAAAAGCCAACATGATTCTTTCTCTCAGCTATATCTTCTAGCAGAAAAAATATTGCTGGGCTTGATAATAGTTCGGTTTCGGTCCTGCTTCAAGATACAGCCGATGACACTCTTCCGCCCCCGCAACAATGGACAGCTACCCACCTACTCAAACACCCTCCTTCTCGTATCTACTCTGCGTATATAAACCATGCAAATGAATCATCTTTTAATTCATCAATCATTTAAGGCCAAAATGTCTTTTTATCTTTACCGAGGTTACGATTCGTTGCATTGATCATCTCTCGGTCTGAGTCACGTTTTCCCGGCCCATGTCAGCCTCACATGGCGCCACATCTGGCCTCAACCTCCCAACATCACCGCCATCAAAACAACCAAGAATCCATCGCCATCACCAAGTGACCCATCTCACCTCACCTCTTTGTCTCATAGCCAGTCTCAGCGAATGGCTCACCAAGCTCACAATATCCCCTGGACCGTCCTCGCGTCGACTCTCAAGCTCAAGACCGCCAACTCATGCCAGCACCACGCCCAGAACTTCCACGTCCGAAAGGAGCCTGATCGCGGCAAGAAACTGACTTATTTTTCCAACGCTTTTGTCAAGAATGCTCTGGACCATGCGCGCTGTGAGAGGGACAAGTATCCCAAGAACTACGACCCTCCGGCGGACGATGAGGTCGTTATCTCGGATGAGGTGGCCAAGACCATCGAACCCACTGTTTATCGCTGGCGACTCTATCACGATGCGCCAGATGAATTTGACACCGTTCAGGAGCCAAAGAAGCATGGAATTTGTCAGCACATGAAACCTGATGAGATATGCCATTGTCCTCTACCTTTCAAGGAAAGGAAAATATCCGCCTTTTTGAACCCGCACACGTACAATTCGTGCTACGAGTTTTACAAGCACAACAGGGATGGCTTCTTTAACCTCGAGGTTGTCAAGTCCCTGCTCCTCTACGGAGAGATGGATACGATACTTCGAGTCTGCGCCGCTGAATACATTGATCTGGAGACTTGGTGGGAGCAATCTCAGTGCGCATGCATGCAGCCCGATCTTGGATGGGACAAGATCTGCCGCCTGGCCATTGACTCTTATGTCCTGCTCAATCTCATTCAATGCTTCCCGGAGACTTGGGACAATGCTGGTACTCCCTCGGACGCTTACACATCTATCAAGGCGTACCAGTATGTCGTCCGTCATTGTACCAAATCTGGTTGGACGTCAGATATTGCTACATATCCTCATCGGCAATTCTTTGGAATCGAGAAGGGTCAGTTCAAATCCTACCCGACGCCTCATGATATTGGTCAATGGGGCCATCTCCTGGAAGGAAAGTATCAGGACATGACCTACTATCCATATGGGTTAATGCCGTACCAAGAACTTCTGGATTTTGAGAAGCCTATGGGCTACCAGCCTCACGCTACGGACGTGACACATGTCCAGTGGATCTTGTGCCAGAGGGGCCTCCCGCCAGAGTTGGCCGATGCTATTCTTGACGAGGCAGACTACACCCCAAAGCGTCGACTACGTGTTGCAGACCAACCACTGCATCCTGAAAACCGAGCCGAGTTGGAGAGCTATCTCAAATACTGTTGGCAACTCATCGTTAGATGTACCATGATGGGGCAGGCGCTGGGCATGGATATGGAGCTGCTCCTGGGAAACATGATCAGGTTGAGCATCGGGGATCTCTTCATCTGCAAATGCGCCAAGATACACCATTGGACGTTTGATGACAAGGATCGAGACTTGTTGGTCTTTAAATGAGGCCAGAACCAACATCGGTAATGTATGTGTTCCATGTCTAAGATTCTCGGAAGCTACTTACACCATCCAGGCAAGAATATCCGTGCTGTCAAAATGAGTCTGGTTACGAGGGCTACCATGTCAACGGCGCTTCTCGCCCAGGCTCATCATTAAGCCATTCCGTCAAAGTTTGCATAGCCACACGCGCCGTGCGTACCCCCGTGAGCCTGAAAACGGCCCAGCGCACTTGACAGCTTGCGGGAATGACTTCTACCTCGTCAAGCCCGACTTGACCAGCCGTCGCCCCTCCCCGAAAAAGCGCAAGCTCGTGCTCAAGACATGCCTCCAAGAAGGCTGCGGTAAATAGGCTGTCCCACAGGCCTTCGCGTCGAGGATGCTGCCGCAGGAGCGCTATGGCACGGCGCCGCAGCGCCAGAGTCGGGCCAGTAGCAGCTATCACAAAGATTGGCTGCGTGATGGAAAGCGATGGGATGAATTCTGTCGCGCCAGATCTTTCGTGCCTGGCCTCATTCCCAAGCATGGAATCGGCAAGGTCCAGCAGCTGGATTGCGTGTGCTTCAAGATTGGCGTCCGAGCCACCCATGAGGTAGTCTATCAATGGGTGGCATACCTCTCGAAAGACTCGGAGGGAGTCTATCGCCTTACGTCGGTGCTGCGTCGAGGATGAGAGTTGGTCTGGCGGCCCAAAGCACAAACAATCACCCCAACTGTCTGAAACAAACATGTTAAGAGCTTTATCCAACTCATGAAAGGCTCGAGTATAGGGTTGCCGTTGACTGATGGGACTCTCCATTGCTTTATCATCACCTCCAAGAGTCCCAGCTTTGTCTGGTTGGATACGTTGTGATAAGAGAATCAGCGCATCGAGCAACGATTGAAACGCTCTTCCAGCACGCGCAATGTTTTCCGGCGTCGCTCTAGACGGCACACATCTACCGTGTTGGCAGATCCTTGAAGACTCAGTCGAGTTCGGTGCAGTATAGTATCGCCAGGCGATATACGCGTCGACATCCCTAAGAAGCTCAGGTGCTTCATTTGCGTTGCGGTTGTTGAGAGCTTGGGACTGGAGTTCGAGGCTGGCAATGATAGACAAGACGGCTTTATACGACACTGAGCTGGCTTTGAGGTATTCAGGCACTTTGGACCGGTTTACTCGGGTTGCGTCCAACTTGGATTGGCTTGAGTTAGGGTTTTGCGGCTCTCTCAACAGACTCTTTGCCGCCGCAAGATGGACTCCAGATTGCGCGTGTAGACCTTGGATACTGCATAGATAGGTGAACAGCACACTCACAATCAGCGCCCTCCATCTTTCTTCGGGTGGCGTCCGTGAAGACGGCAGATGGACTAGGTGCTTGACAGCCTGGTTATACTGGTACACTGCAAAGGGCGAGGTTGAATCCGCACGAGCAGAGCCCCGGCTTGCAAGATAGCCTTGGTGCGCCGCTCCAAGACTCACCACGGCGTGCCAGATAGCTGGATCCGAGTGGCAAGTGCGCGGTATATCCGTCAGCCAAAACTCGGCATCGAAGACGCCGGCAAACTCGGAGGCTGTAAAATCCAGGAAGAAGCGGTAGCTGCGGAGTTCCTGGTCGTTTCTTCTTGGCAGTGGTAATCCCAAGGACATGGGAATATTAGTGTTTCTTCTGGTTATCCGGGTCTCAGAGGACGAGAAGTTCTCTGAAGTTGGAGGGGATGGTAGCTCCGTGCTGTTGTCTCTATATCCATCACACTTTCGGCCGGTCCAGAGGCAGCGATTGCACGATGGCTTTTTCTCGTCGCACCGCACTCTTCGGATCCTATGTATGGTTAGAAGATTTTACAAATGTTATGAGTTCATGACTTACTTGCAGGTAATACACCCCGTTCTTTTCCGAGGGTGAAAGGCACGCTTCCTATGACCCGTGGCGCACATGTCATGCCCTTGTTCGACGATGTGTCTGCGACAGCACTTGGAGCTTGTTGTAACTGTTCCTCAGGCTAGAGATAGGGTGACGCGCAATAAGCCAGACACTCAATTTTCACCTTGTGCCCTCGCCACTCGAGCTTCGTCAAGGTGAGTGGCAGTGCAGCCTCGAATGTAAGCATAGGTATGGTTAGGTCGTTGGAAGAGCCCGTGCACTGTCATGATATAGAGTGAGATTACGCGACCTGACCAATAAGACGCTCAGTTGAGCTCTCATCAACTCTGATTCGTCTATTCGTCGACATAACGACGGGGTCAGGCTTCAACAAACCCTCATGGCTTGAAAGTGAGAAAGGCTTCTTCTGCGCAGCCAAAGCGAGGATATCGATCCTGACAGCAAAGTCACAAAACTGAGCCTCGCGATAGCCCGGCCGATCAACACAAATCGTCACCCTTTTGATATTTCCGGGTCCGCGGCTTACGGTCATACTTGACGAACCCCCCAATAGGATGTTATGTTCAACTTGAACCTTCTATGGTTGGGTGATCAGCCCGTGTTATAGGACGTGTCTGGACAAGGCTATAGGCAGGATGACCAGCTTAATAAAGCTTGCTGAAACTATTTAATAGCGAGGTTACCACGATGATACTCTCTTCGACAACACCATCTCCCGTACACGCATCACAGCCAACTTATTCATCATGTTCATCAACCCTCTAAAGACACCGAGACTTATCCTTGGCTTCTTGACTCTGCTCAGCTTGTCTCAGGCCCAGACCGCCCACGACTGTCCTCTCTGGGGTCCTATTTATCCTTCTCCGACCAATGTGCTCAAGTCGCCCATTGTCACAAAGGCCATCGACAACTTGACACAAAGCCTCGATGCAGCCTTGAGCACCGGGACTCTAGGCGCCGCCAATGCCTCCTTCCACCTCGAAGTTTTCTCCACGGATCAACTTCTTCTCAACTGCAGCTATGCCGCACCCCAGATCAAAGACACGCTCACCGCAGGCGTTCTGAACAGGGATACCATCTTTCGGATTGGAAGCGTTTCCAAGTTGGTGGCAGTTTACACCCTTTTGGCAGCCACTGGCATGGAGTACATCAACGATCCCGTCACAAGATGGGTCCCTGAACTGGCCGCTGCTCCTGTGCCTGATGATAGCGCCGTTGATGCAGCGCGATGGCAGGATATCACGATCGGCGCTCTGGCAGGACACCAAGCTGGCCTGTTGAAGGATTGTATGTGCTTTGCTTTTGCTTGTTGGACCTGATACTGACTTGGGCTACAGTTTCAATTGCTGACCTTGCCTTTATCTACAACGCATCCACTAAAGAGCAGCTCGGCCTTCCAACCCTACCACACAACGAGATTCCAAGTTGTGGCAGTGATGCCGAGTTGCCTGCTTGCTCGAGGCAAGGTATTCTGTTCCACGGGATATTTTCTCATTTCCTTACTCACCATGATACAGAATTCTTTGACAACATAAAGGCTCTCCATCCAGTGACTGCGCCGTTCAACATGCCCATCTACTCAAACCCGGCCTTCCAAATCTTAGCCTACGCCTTGGAGGGCATGACAAATAAGACCTTTTCTGAAGTCTTTGAGTCAAGCATTGTGCGCCCTCTTCACTTGAACGCCACGTACCTATCAACTCCACCGATTACCGACGACCTGAATGCCATCATCCCTGGAGACGAGATTGAAAGCGGCTGGAAGATTGATGTGGGAGATGAGACTTCGAGCGCGTGAGTATAGCCCGTCTACAAAATTGGGTTCCAATCTTTCTGACATTCGAGGCGCTCTCAGCCAGGGTATTATGCTATCCACCGGGTCTGACATGACAGCCATCGGCCAGTCGATTCTTTCCTCGTCTCTTCTATCCCCAGTGGTGACACGCCGGTGGCTGAAGCCTATATCCAATACCCCAGACAGCCATTTCTCAGTCGGCATGCCTTGGGAAATTCGACGAATTGAAATACCCGCAGTTCCAGGTGCATCTTCCAAGGCATCAGGAACCCGCCTGATTGATCTCTACACAAAGAACGGCGGAATTTTTGCTTACTATGCCCAGATGGCCCTCTCACCTGACCATGGATTTGGGTTTATGGTCACCATCGCTGGCAGGCCCCCGATTAGTGGCCCGGACCGGAGGGCCCTTGAGATGAACATCATCAACGAGATGGCGACAGATATCATGGTCCCAGCCTTTGAGGCTGCCGCCGCTAAGCAGGCCATCAAGAGCTTTGCGGGTACGTACACTGCGACTGACAACTCCATGGAAATGACAATTGTTGGTCTGGATGGGCACATGGGCCTTGGAGTACAGAACTGGACTTCGGGAGACCTTGACTTGCTTGTCACTTACTACGCATCCCTTTCAATGGTCGAGTCCGTGTCCAGCACAAGTCCAAGGGCAAGTCTCCGTCTCTACCCTGTTGGGCTTCATGGAGGTGGTAAGGTGGCTTTCAGGGGTGTTTATGGTCTAAACACCAACGAAAGCGTATTTGGTTCAAGAGACGAGCCTTGGCTTGGTGGTTGTGGTGCCTGGGCTGGGGTTGGCGAGCCGGCATACGGCAATGTCGGGCTTGACGACTTTGTGTTTGATGTTGACGAGGACGGGAGGGCTACCGCTATAACGGCTCGGGGGGCAAGGAAGACTCTTCAGAGGCAGGCATAGATGATGCTGCTTCAGAGCGGTAGACTAACTAGCAGCCTAATTCGGTGGTAATGGCTGAATGCTAGATGTCTTCCAACATTGCAGTATGGCTTCAGCCCATGACATGTCCAAAGTGAATGTCGCATCGCCCACAACGTCCTCAGTGGCCTCTAGTCAATTATTCGCCTCCGCCATTCGATTTTGATGCGCTGAGTACGCTTTGTATATCATCAACTACTTGAGCTGATGACTCGTATTCGCCCATCCAGCACTTTCGGGTGACTTGACCTCCCTTTTCGTCTTCCACCATGGGAAATTCGCCTGCCCTGAAGCGGTGTTGCACCTCGTCGTCTTCCTCAACAGGGTCAAGATCTAGAAACAGTCTCTGGCCTGTCATGATGGAGTAGATGGCTGTCCCTAAAGCAAAACGGTCGGTCTGATGATCACAATGGTCTTCATCATCCCGGGGCATGGATGAAAGGGTATTATACCGAGCGCCTCCATCAAGGGCGACGGTCCCATCCGGATGAAGAAGCATCCCTTCAAAGTCGCCAATCTTGATGTTGAAAGCCACGTCCAAGAGGAGGTTCCCGGTGGTTATGTCGCAGTGGACAACTTGGTTGGAGTGGACAAAGGTCAGACCCTCGGCAGCTTGCAAGGCCCATTTCAATCTTTGGCCAAGTGAAGTGTCAGGGTGCGAAACGAGATATCTCTGGACTGAACCATTGGGCATGTATTCGAGGAGGAGTCCATCTTCATGTCTTCCCTTGACAGAAACGATTCTCTCGTGGCGCCCTATCCTCTTGAGGATCTTTTCCTCAATCTGCAGCCCGCGCAAAGAGACCTCCCTCATCCGTCTCCTGTATTTCCAGCCGGTAGCCGAGTAGGCGGACGCATCCTCATGTGGCGGGACAATAGGAAACTTCAGTACTGTCTGGTCGTCAACAAGCGCCACGTAGTTGCTTCCGCTTGCGTCTAGGAATTTTTGAATCCCCCGAGGGTACCATGGGAGAAAGCAATATTCGCTCATAGCAAGTTTTGTTGATGGACTGGTCGAACGGAATGCAGAGCAACCTCAGTTGCAGCCTCATGGACAGGGAGCGTCGAGTCAGCTGATGAGGTCCTACCCCGCTCAGCTGAGCCATGAGAATGAATGTTAGTGTTGTTAGCCTCTACATCAGTCTTCAAATATCAAGTAAACTTGTATTACCACTCTTTGTCACCAAGCCCCAGCCCAAGCCGCTCGGCTATGGTGTGAAATGGAATCCATACCTTCTTGGCAATCTTCAATCTGCATACCAACCGTCAAGGTCTTTCAACAGAGCCAGTTGCACTTTACCGGCCGATTCGCCTGTCATTGGGTCTGTGGAGGCAGGGCAGCGGATGAGATCCAATCTGTGCAACTCCCGTCATGCCCCAGATGAATCCCCCATTCAACTATGCCACAAGCACGGCTACCAATATTGATTGCGACTTCCTCGCCTATTCCCAGCCAAGTAGGATGATTTAGACGGAAGGAATCATCCTAATCAACATGTTTGTCTTTGAAAATCCTCCAGGCGACGCACAAAGGTTCGATGATGCATCGGCTTGCATTGTAGCACAACCTACCTACGATAACCTTGAAGATATATAACCATCATGCGTTTATCCCTGATCCCATCTCCTCAAATTCCCCTCTTCCATCTTTTACTCTTCATATCCTACTTTATCAATATGGGGAGCGGCACTAGCACGCCCATTCGTGACTGCCTCGATGCCGTCTGTGCAAACCGCCCCGACTGCGTCAGATATCCTGATGACGGTCTCTTCATCTCCTGGGCGATACCCTTCAATCTCGAGTTTCCAGTAGTCCCCGCGGCAGTTCTTCGACCTAGGAATACTATCGATGTCTCGGGGGCGGTCAAATGCGCAAATGAAAACGGATTCAAGGTTCAGGCCAGATCTGGCGGTCACTCATACGGGTAAGGGCTTCATCAGGGAGGTCACTTCTCGCTGTGCTAACGAGAGCAGCAATTTTGGCCTCGGAGGAGTTGACGGGTCTGTGGTGCTTGATCTAAGGAACCTCAAAAACTTCACTATGGACCGCTCGACGTGGCAAGCGTCAATCGGCGGAGGGATGCATCTTGGAGAACTTGACGCGCATCTTCATACCAACGGTGGACGGGCCATGGCTCACGGAACGTGTTCGAGTGTGGGCGTAGGGGGACATTTCACAATTGTAAGTTTCACCGACTTGATGCAATTCAACAGCGACTAATACGACGAAAGGGCGGCCTCGGACCAATCTCACGCCTGTGGGGAACCGCCCTCGATCACTTAGTCGAAGTCGAAGTGGTAACAGCAGACGGAACCATCCGTATAGCGAGTGAGAAGGAGAATACGGATCTCTTCTGGGCGCTGCGCGGTGCTGGAGCCAACTTCGGTATCGTCACCAAGTTCGTGGTGAAGACACATCCGGAGCCCAACGGTATTGTCGAATACAGCTACAACTTTGCCTTTGGTACACCAGGAAACATGTCGACTCTATACAGGGATTGGCAAGCGCTGGTTGCTGATCCAACCCTCGATCGACGGTTTGCGAGCCTCTTTGTCGTCCAACCGCTAGGCGTACTCATCACAGGAACCTTCTTCGGGACTGACGCAGAGTATCGCGAATCTGGAATCCCCGATCGACTTCCAGGGGCTAAGGATGGTGCCATCTGGCTGACGAACTGGATGGGTCATCTTTTGCATGAAGCAGAAAGAGTGGGATGTGCAGCGATGAGTCTGCCAACGGCGTTCTACACCAAATCATTGGCCTTGCGGAGGAAAGACATACTAAACGAGACAGCTATTAGCGACATATTCGCATTCCTTGAGAACAAGAAAAGTCAAACGGCCCCCTTCGTCATCCTTTTCAATACCGAAGGCGGTGCAACGGCCGACACGGCAGGCAACGCGACCGCATACCCACACCGGGACAAGATAATGATGTACCAGTCCTACGGCGCCGGAGTGGGAAAAGTATCGGACTCAACACGGAGTCTACTAGACGGCGTGCACGAGCGGATCTTACGGGCGGCCCCGGGCCCCCGATCCACGTACGCCGGGTACGTGGACGGGTGGATGAACCGGACGGCGGCGCAGCATCTCTACTGGGCGGACAACCTAGAGAGGCTGACGCAGGTAAAGAGGACGTGGGACCCGGAGGATGTGTTTAGCAATCCGCAAGGCGTGGAGCCGGCTGATCATGAGACGTGACCTCCACGGCAGACGGACCTATAAGTGCATGCCGAGCCGGCTCCGATGGATGCCGTGTTTGGTGCCGATAAAGGCCGGTTTGCCGACGGTGTACTTGTGTAGCACAGATGTTGAACACGAAACACGGACCACTGTCGTTTATGTCTATGATACTTTTCAGCCTGATGACTTACGATGTTAACCGCCCACTCATGATACCATCGCTTATAGAGTACAGGCCAAAAGGTGGCATGTGAAGAGGATCCTCAACCCACCAAAGGGAATGTCGGCGGCTGAATTCCCCACCCTGCAAGCACCTCAAGTTCAGGTCAAAGTCGAGGGTCCTTGCCCGACCACGTTGTCATCTCGTGTCTGGATAAAATAGCATGAGGCTCTGAACCAGGGGATGCACGTGGGAAATCAATCAAGGTGCGCACGGTCTATTCATAAGGATTCATAAGGTGAGGTTGACAAAAGATATTGACCTCGGAGACTACGCCTTATCAAGAGGTTCAACTCTATGCACGCCATTCCGAATCCGCTTGTCAAGAACGCCCTATTCCCACAATTTAGCTCCCGCTCAACCCCGCATCCTCTATCTTGTCTCCCTCTGGGTAACTTATCCCGAATCTCTAACTACCTATGTGCCCTCGTGAGCATCATCGTTACGGCCATTCGCGGCACAAAGACCCACCCAGACATAGCAAAGGGCGTTAACAAATTCCCAAATGTTTGCAACCGCGGGGAAGGGAGCGGAGAAGGTTGTTGCGGTTCGACGAGGCGGCAAACAAAACCCGAACTTTTAGGACCGCTAGTTTGTTTCTGCTTCATACATCTTAAAACTAACATACTTTAGCTTTTCAACTCTACACGTCATTGGTCCTTGGGCTTGAAGCTATCGCCAGACAAGTTGTACGTCAGGTTGGTTCCATAACGTGTTGTTGTCATCTTGCACTTTACCACACCCTCACCTTGACCTATATCCTTGGCATCTCTACCAGCCATACTCACTTACATCCTCACCTTTTCTCACCTTGACAACCCCTCCTACACCAAACTCACCCACCCTGTCATCTCGCAAACACCCTTCCCCTTCGCCTATACAGCATATCCACAAATCCCTATACCCGCCCACTCCCCGTTCCGTCCCTGGTCCAAGTGCTCCCCGTCTCATCTGCTGTTCACCATCCACTCCTCGTCTGATTCCCGTCGTTTAATCCAAGATGCCCCCCAGCCCTGGCCGCTGCAAGACGGAGCCTCCAAAACAAGGGGACCCCCTCCCCTCAATCACATCCCGTCTCTCACTCCCGGTCGCCAAGGCGGGCCGCTAACAAATCCCTGCCCCCAACTACCCCTCCGATCCCCGGGACCCCTTCGGCAACATCACAGCGCGACGTGTCTCCTCATGTCCCAGTAGGAACTGCGTAAAACTGACAATGCGCCATAAAAGCAAAATCCTACCGAACCATGCTGCGCTCCGGATTGGTCGCCCCGAGCCTCTGGGTGCGCCGTGGACTTGCAGGGGCCTCTGCTCTGCGCGGATATAACACCGCCGCTGCATCCTCCTCCGTCCGTGGGCGTTGCTCGGCTTCTTCTTCAACTCGTCATACAGTAACAGTCAGGGACCAAAAGTCTAGTCCTTCGACTGCTCTGCATATCCCTTCCCGAAAAAGTCTCATCTCTCGTCAGTATTCGACAGCAAACCCCAAGATGTACACCGCATCTTTTGCCTTCTTCGAGGCCATCTGGGAGGCCGGCATCACCCATTGCTTTGTCAACTTGGGTTCCGACCACCCTAGTATTATCGAGGCCATGGTTAAGGGTCAGCGTGAGGCAAAGGGCAAATTTCCCACAATCATCACCTGTCCCAATGAGGTATGTCTGGCCTTGCAAACTTGAACTTCAGAAACTGACATGAGGATCTGAAAGATGGTGGCCATGTCCATGGCCGATGGCTATGCCCGGTTAACAGGCAAGCCTCAATGCGTTATTGTGCATGTTGATGTTGGTACTCAGGGCCTTGGAGCGGCTGTCCATAATGCCTCTACTGGCCGTGCCCCTGTGTTGGTATTCGCTGGTCTTTCACCTTTTACGCAGGAGGGAGAGCACCGTGGCAGCCGTACCGAGTACATCCACTGGATCCAGGATGTCCCCGATCAGAAACAGATTCTCTCCCAGTACTGCCGGTACTCTGCCGAGATCAAGACTGGATCCAACGTTAAGCAAATGGTCAACCGCGCCCTGCAGTTTGCCACCTCAGACCCCCAAGGTCCGGTATATCTATGCGGTGCGCGAGAGGTCATGGAAGCTGATCTCCAGCCTTACTCCCTTAAGCAGCAGCACTGGAACCCCATCGAGCTCGGAGGACTTCCCAAGAGCGCCGTCACCAAGATTTCCGAGGCCCTAGCTGGCGCCAAATCACCTCTTCTAGTCACAGGGTACTCTGGTCGAAACCACCAGATCCCCGGCGCACTGGTAGAACTGGCGAACAAGGTTAAGGGGCTCCGAGTGCTAGACACTGGTGGTAGCGACATGTGCTTCCCCGCAGACCACCCCGCTTGGCTTGGTCTGCGATTCGGCGCTGATGATGCAATCACCACTGCCGACACTATTGTCGTCCTTGACTGCGACGTGCCCTGGATTCAGACCCGATGCAAGCCTCGGGAGGATGCCAAGATCTTCCATATTGATGTTGATCCCCTGAAGCAGCAGATGCCTGTATTTTATATCCAGTCGGATGCCCGATATCGCGCCGATGCCTTGACGGCAGTGGAGCAGATCAACGAGGCCCTTAACAAGGAGGAGATTGCCAGCAAGCTCCAGGCCAGTGCTGCCGCCGCCGAAGAGGAGCGATCCAAGTCATACCAGAACAAGTTGGCGACAATCGCCAAGGCGGCCGAGCCTCTGGCGGACGGCAGCTTCGGCACCGGTCACCTCTCCAAGATGCTCCGCGACCTCTGCCCTGAGGACACACTCTGGGCTATCGAGGCCGTCACCAACACGCAGTTCGTGCATGACAACTTGCAGCCCAAGATCCCCGGTTCGTGGATCAACTGTGGCGGTGGTGGCCTCGGCTGGTCCGGCGGTGGTGCCTTGGGTATCAAGCTCGCGACTGACGCTGAGAATGGCGGCAAGAACAAGGGCAAGTTTGTGGTGCAGATTGTGGGAGATGGAACATATCTCTTTACTGTCCCTGGCAGCGTCTACTGGATCTCAAGACGCTACAACATTCCCGTCCTGACAATTGTGCTAAACAACAAGGGTAAGTCGAATGAAATACCATCATGAACAACTCACTGACTCTCGACAGGTTGGAACGCTCCCCGCAGATCTCTACTCCTCGTCCACCCCGACGGTCTTGGCTCCAAGGCCACAAACGAGGAGATCAACATCTCGTTCGACCCGGTGCCCGACTACTCCGGCATCGCCAAGGCCGCAGCGGGCGGAGACATCCACGCCGCCAAGGTAGACCAGGCATCAGAGCTGGAGAGCGTCCTCAAGGAGGCCATCGCAAAGGTGCAGGCAGGCCAGACTGCTGTGGTGGACTGCAAGGTGGCGCCCGACTGCTAAGGGATGACACGGCAGAGATAATGAATTTTTTATGATAGAAGAGATAATAAAGCGATGGTTCTAGACCTATGAGGCTCCTCGGGGAATACACATGAGACGACGCTAGCATGTGATTAACTGATAGCACGATTTCGGTTGATTCGCCTGCATATTTCTTTCATGTGTCTTTTTGTCGTATCTGCTCGATTGACAGACAGGTCCGCTTCGTTCTAGGCGATTGACTGCATTGAAGTGAACCAGTGGGGATCTTTGTTAAAGATTGATTAATTATTGCGTGGGAAACCTCGTATCTTGGCTCTCAACACGGAAACATCTCCACACCCCGAGATCAAGAAAGACGCATTCATACAAAGTTCCGAGGCGTTTTGAAACGAAAAACAATCAGACCCAGTCCCTGGCAGCTGGGTCACAAGGTGCATACGAAATGCTTCAATGCGAGACACGCTGGCAAGACGTGCGTATCGTGGAGGCCACGAGGGAGACAGTTCCTGGATCAAATCGACGATTCCGGACATTAGCTCCATGGAAACCGTCTTCAGTCGTATCTGGTGCAATTGCGGGACGTTCTAGACATTGCCACTCAATCTTGTCTCATTTTCCATCTCGTGTTGTCTCTCTTCCAAACGTGGCAAGGGTTGCAGAAGCGAAGTCTGATGTTGGAGTCTCTACATCGAATCCGTCCCCCCGTTTTCTTGTAGATCCCTTCAGGTCAGCAGGTTGCGTGCCCCTCCCCGCCTAAAATCCGGGGCGACCGCCACCCGGACGCGCTGTAGCGCCGCCTCATTAGCGACAGTGTTCTGTGTTGGTGTCAAAAATACTGAGACATTCAAGATCAAGTCCTCTCGAATACTGTTGGTTTACGACGTGATGATTGACATAGAAGTACCGAAATAATATAGGAGATACAACCATCTTCTCCAATTGACTTTCATGTAGTTTTATCGCTCTGTCATCTCTCTATAGCTCCCATTCGTGGAGGATATATCAACTCTCCGTACTGCCTGCTATCGTCTTTTTTGCCCCTCATGCCCTGTAGCGTCCTAAGCGCCCATGACCCTAGCCTCGACTAGGAAGTTGAGGGCGGCGCAGAAAAGGACCCAGCGATTCGATCAAAGACCCAGGAAAAAGCACATAAATCATCAGGCGACATTTACTTCTTGGCGAGGGGGAAGTGATCATCTCTTGGTTGGTTACTACGCTGTATATTAACCGCGAGTTCTTGAAGCATGATTACTCACAAAAAAGGTCTAGAATCTCGTTTGTGGGCAGGCAAATCTTTCCGGAATAATACGATGAGGGGAAGACACATGGCCGGAATCGACCGCCTGCTTGAATAACACGAGCTTGTTCTTTCTTCCGCGAGTCCGAACCGAGAGGCGAATTGATAGCATTCCATTGAACGGAGCTTATTTTTCTTCAGCAGCTAGTCTAGGGGACCGGAGCTTAACGCAGAGATCGGCTGAAAGGGAAGCCCGGTAGAGCCATCATCTCCAAGTTCCATTAGCTCCCCCGCACACACGCACGCACGCCCTGGCTCGTGACAGGCAAAAACCCACGGGCTGGGACAAGGCAAGGTCATGCCAGCCGCCGACACTACAAAAACAACTTTCCCTTTGCTTTTATTAATCTCGCCATCGCCGGCGCTTGTTGAAGCATCCCTTCATTTCCTTCTTGTCAAAAGCCTGCACGCGCGGCTGAAGGCTTCGCGATCCTTCTCATCTTGATCCTGCCCCGCCTAGTCGGACCGTCTTCCGTCTAATGTCCCTCGTCAACCGTTGTACGATTCTCATGGCCAACACCACCACCACCACCTAGAGTCAAGATTTGGGATCCCGGCTCTTGCTTGCAGCGACAGCGACAGCAGCGCTTCCCACTTTCAGGGTCCAGGTCTAGATCCCAAGGATCCACATACGGCGCCTCGTCTCGTCCCACCCCGAGTCGCAAGTTTGCGCTCGCTCTCCTCGCAAAAGGCACCTAAACAAACAAAAAAGCGCCGGGCCCCACGACAACTGGAATTCCCCAATTTCCATTGCGCTTTTTCCATCTTGTTTTCTTTCTTTTCAGCGACGAGATCATGAAAGGTGTCGAGCCGGTTCTTGCGCAGCGCCTTGTCTTTATCAAGAGACTGAGACGCGTCAACGGCTCCATATCCTGACGACCACCAACAAACCTCTTAAACACTTACCCGCTCTCTCTGCAAAACTGAGCCATGTCTCACCACAATTCGACGGCAGCCGTAGCGACAGAGACGCACGCCGGCAGCATCCCATTGCGACTCCCCGACTCAAACCCGAAACCCACCCCCGACCGACCGCCGCCTCCTCCACCGGTGCCCTCGTCCGATCCCCATCTGATCGCCGTCGAAGATAAGCATCAATCCACCCCGAAGCCCGCCGTCGATCATGGCCTCTTCGAGATGGCGCCCTCTGAGGCACTCGCCCTGCTGAGCGCCGGCGTCGAGCTGCTCGTCAGGATAACCGGGGACGTACCCCCGACGCCACCTCCAAAGTCTCCCACTGTACCGCACATGAGCGGCATGCAGGCCGAGAAGGAGAATATTGTGCGATCCCACTCGGACAAGAACCTCGCCAGGATGAGGAAGCAGGCCGAGCTCGAGGCCAAGAAATTGGTCGTCGCCAAGGAATCGCCAGCTCCAAAGCCAGAGAGTCACGACTCGGGCGCCATTGACGGTGTCCGGCTGAAGCAGCCCGCAGGTCTCATGTCGCCGCCTCCTCAATCGGAACCATACGTTGTTGTCGGTGCTGATTCGCAGCCCGTCAATCTTCAGCACAGCGCCATTACGCGCAAGTTTTATAGCAAGAACGAGCCGCCCATTAGCATCAACCAGTATCTTCAGCGTTTACACCAGTTCTGCCCAATGAGCACGGCAGTATACCTCGCCACGTCTTTATACATACACCGATTGGCAGTTGACGAGCGAGCTATTCCAGTTACTAGACGCAATGCCCATCGACTGGTCTTGGCTGGTCTTCGGGTTGCGATGAAGGCACTCGAGGACCTATCCTATCCTCATGCCAAGATGGCCAAGGTGGGAGGTGTCAGCGAGGCAGAACTTGCTCGTCTAGAAATCAGCTTCTGTTTCCTAGTCGGATTTGAACTGGTCGTTGGCGAGACACGCTTACAGAAGCATTATCAAAGATTGAAGGAGGGAACAGCCCAGCATCAGCGCATCCTCGAGAATCTGGACGTGCCAACACTGAGACTCGGCAAGAGACCACGCGAGGAGGCACAACCAGTGGCTTAACGACGCATATACCATACTCATACTATTTTCCATTTGTCCAAGGAGTTTTACCAGAGCATATGAGAAAGGCTTGCACACTATTTGTACATACGCATACGGGGGTCACGGCCATTAGTATTTGTGGGATAACTTGACACATAGTCTAGGCGCGGCATTGATGGGAGGTGGCAAGGCACATATGAAGCGAATATTGAGTTTCGATACCCAGACTAGGTCATAATTGACTGCATTCAAAGCCTCTTGTTGTTGTGAGTATATGAGGATGACTATTGGTTGTCACCAGTTATGAGGTTATCAGTATTTCGACCAAACAACGACGAGCTCTGTCATACTAGTATACTCTGACGCAAGAATTACACTATTTGTGCTGTTTTTGTGTGCACATGTCCCGTTTCGATGTCCTCGTGGCCCCCTTTTGGGTGAGATGCGAGAGGGAGGGTTACATGGATAACCGTCGGGTCGGAGCGAGAAATGAGGCTTCGGTGAAGGATGGAGGTTTGTCTCGGTCAAGGAGTCATGAGATTGTAGAGTTGGATTGATGGTGGATGTGAGAAAGAGTTCAGTATTGTTTCACTGCGAGAGTTCAGTGTCTTAGGGGATTTGTCTCAGACATGCCACCTTCACTGTCAACGTGTGGGCACCACTCAGAATTATGGTAAAATTCACCAGTAAGTAATATATAAAGTTTGAGGTGGTATTTCTTTAGTTAGTTGTTATATCATTTCGCGCATTTGCAACCTTAAGCTGTTCATGTTGCACCTACCTAGCGGGATGCTACAGCTGGCAAACTATCAGATCCAGCAGATCGACCAGTTACGACCACTTCAATAATCCCAGCTGATGATCCTCGCTTAGTCTAATGCTGGCTATATCCGGTTGACGGTGTACACTCGCCTTGTTTGACTATCAGAGCAAAAGCTGGGTAGTCTCCTGAGATGGAGAAGCGTATATACTCTTCAGTCATTCATCACCTTTCTAGTAACAACCATGATGATTACTGAAGCGAAAATTGAACACATTCTTCTTTCTCTGTTACTATCGGCAAGAACTAGGCCATCATACTAGCCAATGTACAATAAGCGATGTCTAAGCACGGCAGAGTGACAGACTTGCGACTCACATCAGCTCAACACACCCACCCCAAACACTCTCACTAACCGACACGGACGAGATACGGGTTTCCCATGTCAACGCAAGCATTACTAATTGCGGCCAGTTCGGATCTGTCAGAAGACAAATACGAGGCTATCCCCAGCCCGGCGGTTCCCAAGGATACGTGGGGCAAAAGGCAAATACGAGTATTCTCTTGGCACAACTCCGTCGGCCGTTTTCATGATCCGAAAGTCAAAGAATCAGATGGTATCAAGATATGAAAATATTCAACTGTGATGAGCTCAGTTGGTTCGCCCAGGTACGTTGCCCAGCTAAACACAGGTTCGTGAGCCAGATGCAGTCATCTCCCAACTTGCATGAGCCCGACCCAACTAAAGCAAGGTACGAGACAAACCCGCACCATAAGCATCGATTAAAAAAAAAATCGTTCCATCTCATGACCTGTTGAATCTACACGAATGTGGTCTCACTTGAAGGAGGGGGCGTGTCAGGGCACTATGAGACAAAATACATCCATGTCTATAGAAGACCGAGACCGAATATCCAAGGAAACGAAAAGTTAAACGCATGTGGAAATGCGCACTGCGAGTTTCGAAAGCCAAAGTATCCATCCAACACGAACTGGAAAAAGGGTTGGTTGTGGGCCTCGACCAAAGTCCCTCTTCTCTCGGACGTGGGGGAGGGGCTTCTAAATGTCCTGCGCTAGCGTGCGTGGGTGCCTGGGGAAAAGAGGAGAAAAGAAACACCAAGACTCGCAACATGGGTATATTTTGGGACTTTGGTAGAGCTTCATGTGCGTTCAACTTGACTTTGCCTATTGCCATGGGGTTAATAGATGCAGGAGATGCATTAGTTGCCGTTGTTCCCGGTGAAGCTATCTATGATTGCATCACCACTCATTCTCTCCAACACCTTGTTTCATGAAACTGGACTTTTGTTTAAACCAGGGCATATTCCATTGTGACAGAAAAGTTATTCCCTCTCCATCTTCTTCCGTTGCCTGATACACCCCCTCTTCCTCAGACCCCATGACACCACAAGGCATCCAACCTCCAAATGGGAAAGGGTAGTTCCCCCTCTCCCGATCGACGAGGGGTGATGGTGGGGGTGTAAGCATTCAAACCATCCTCATTCAGCTGTGCATGTACCCTGGCTTGCAGTAGGCTTTGAGTCACTCATCACTGGTCAATGGCCGGATGTCCAATCGCATGCTTTTAGAGGTGTGTCAGTCATGTTGGATCAATTCCTTCAGGCAACAGTTGCGATTTCGGAGTTTTCTTTGTGCTTCGTTCAACACCAAAACGGTTGGCATGATAGTTTGTATAAAGGTCAATCTAGACTAGTTGATCAAATGAATGTGTTGAAAGTAATTACTGCAAACTGTTGAAGTCGTGCAGTGTTTGTGGAAAGTGTTGAATCTCCTTGTCCCGTTTTGAAGCAGAGTTGAATCTGTCATGGAGCAGTAACTACTCCCAAGCCGTGTTGAACATCATGGCTCTCCATCAAACAGTAACAAACTAATAGTCGCTTCCACGACTCAGAATCTCCTTACTAGACTCTCGGAGCAGAATCGTCTACAATCATTAGCCAAATCCCACTCTAAGCATAGACATACTCACATGCTCAAACTGAGCCGAGTACGACCCCTTGACATCCGCAAGCGGTTCATAAGCCTCAAGCAAACCGTTGGAAACCAGACAATTCAGCTATTTTCAACCCATTAGCACAAAACACTCCAACACTTTACTGTGACACTCACCCCGGCCAAGTACCGCTCCTGGCCTAGACGTTCAAGGTAGCGTCGGCAAAACACAATGTTACCAAAGTTCTCCTTGATGACCTTGTGCAGCTTCTTCGCCGAGGCAAAAGGCAGCGAAGCCGGAGACGGACCTCCATTCTCCAGCTTGTAACCGTAGATTCCGACCTATCCCGATGTCAGTTTTCTTCTCCCTACGCAGGGACAGTCCACCACTCACGTCATCGTACAAGCGGCCGCGCCCCGTGGTCCCAAACGTCTCGATGGCAAAGACCTCCCCCTCCTCCATCTTGGTCTGGTCCGAGTTCTTGATGAAAGGGATCGACTTGCCGCCGTGGATCCGATAATGTTGGATGTTGTGTGCGCTGATGTTGCGAACCGGCTTGACCGGGTACGTCTTGCCGGCAATCTCTACCTCGTAGCTCTCCATGGCCTCCTGGATAGCCGCACTGACGTCGCAGATGCGCACGTCGATTCCAGAAGCCCGAGGCATCGTTAGAACCCCTTGTCATCCGGTTGAATACAGTCTACTTTACCTTGATGCCGCTATTGGTCGCGTCCTTGACCGCCGCGAGGAGGTTATCATACGTGGGGTCAAATGACATGGTAAAGGCACTATCGACGATCCATCCGTTGATGTGCACGCCAAAGTCGACCTTCATGACATCCTCGTACTGCAGGACTACATCCTTCTGGCCAGGGTTGGGCGTGTAGTGTGCCGTCTCGTGGTTGAGGCACAGGCCGGTTGGGAACCCCATCCCGGACTTGAGGCCATCGCCCGGTTCGAGACCCTGGTTGCCGAGGAGGGCTCGCACACCATCCTCGATGCCGTTGGCAATGTCACGCAGTGTCTGGCCTGGCTTGACGCTCTCCTGAGCCCACTGGCGGACTTGGCGATGCACTTCTGCCGCCCGGCGGTAGTCATCGAGGAACGCAGGGTCCTCAAGTTGCTTCCGGCCAAGAGCACGCAGCTCCGCCGCAGTGGTGCGAGCCGTGTTGGTATCCTCATACTCAAGAAACTCTCCAGTGGGATACTGTCCAGGAGTAAACAGCTCACTCAGCGGCACCCTCGGAGGGGATGATTGGTGAGTAGCCTTCTTGGCCTTCTTCTTCTTGGGCTTTCTCTTCTTCTTTTTCTTCTTATCAGATGCCTCAGTCAGCGATACGGCGCCAACGACACCCTCGTCATCATCGTCGTCGTCGTCGCCGCCTTTGTCACCCACACTCCCGTCCCCATCCCGAGACAAGTGAGCGCCTCGCGGTTCTCCGCCGGCGGAGCAAGGGTCGTTTGAGAGGGGGCCGCCTATCACAGTGAGCACTCATCCAGAGTCATGGTGGTGAGTCGTGTTGGTACCATTTCCCTGCGGGGGGTGATCTTCAGATATCTTGGCGCCCATTCCGACATGAACGCAGTCTTGACTTGATGATTGTGAGTTGCTTGGATGATCTTGAGATGTGAGCTGACTCCTCACGCGAGCAATGATGCAAGTGAGAAGGCGGTCAACAATGGCAGAATGGTCAAGTTATGAGCTGCTCATGATGATTTCACTTGAGATGATGAGACAAAATGTTTTGTTTAAAACCAAAACCCATTTTTGAGTTCCTTTTTTTGTTCTTTTGTGTATCTGATTTCTCCGTATTCCTCCCTCATCGGCTCTCTTCCGAATGAGTGGTGTCGGTTGGTATCAATAAATCCCAAGCCCAAATCAAAAGCTTTCATCCAATATCATGTACAAGTTTCCCAATAAACCATTGCCCAAATCTAAATCAAATCGCTAGTCCCGATAAATCCAAATGCCTCTGCTGTTTGTCCGAGAGCCCAATCAAGAAAGCCAATGATACAAGAAGAAATACACACAGAAGAAACCGATATCAGACTCTCAGTCGCTTACTCCCAGCGGTACACGCCGTCGTCGTAGAGTACTCGCTGCCGCCGGCTGCCGGGGCCGACTGTGGCCCGACGCTTGGGCTGCATGCGCTCCATCAGACGCCTCCGCTGGGCCTCCTCCTCCTTCTTCTCCTCCTTCTTGGCCAGTTTGCGGGCCTTCTCCTCGCGCTGCTCCTCCTCAAAGTTCAGTCGTCGCACGGCCTCGACGAGCTCAGCCTCGCGGTTGAGGACCTCGACTGAGGGTCGCTTGTAGGTAGAGGCACGGCGAGGACGAGGGGGAGCGGGAACTGCAGGACGGCTAGAGATCTCGGCGTTGGCCTCGGCAATGCGAATGGCAAGTCGCTGGGCAGCCTCCTCTCGTCGCTTCTCCTCTCGCTTCTGCTCACGTCGGATCTTGCGGGCCTCCTCGCTGTCAGAGTGCCGGCTGTCACGAGAGCTGGAGGAGGCGTGGCGAACGTGCTTGGAAGATCGGTGGTTGTCGACAACCTCGATGATGTGACGCTCAGGCTTGGCCCGGTCATCCACAATCACTGGTCGTCGGTGAGAAGCATCGCGGGTCTCAATAACGTAGGCGTTGGCGTTGGGAGAGGCGGGAGCAGTGTGAGGAGCGGTCCAGGTCTGAGGTGGTGTGCGAGAGGTAGGCGGGTTGTCGACCAGGACGATACGATCAGTGTGCTTTGAGCTAGGCCGACGCTCCTTCTTGTGGTGGAAATCGAGGACCTTTCGGCCATCGATGTAGAGGCCAGATGCCCGCTTCTTCTGGCTGGATGAGCTGCCGTATGATCGGTCTGACTCGTCACCAGAGCGGTAAGATGGCGTTGAGGGCACAGGGCTGTACTGAGGAGTGGGAGGCAGCTGTGTCATTGTGGGATATGTTGTCTCGGTGTAGTTGACGAGCTGGCTGGGGTGCTGGAAAACGTAGTTGCTGGCGCAGACCTGACCGTGACGGGAGTTGGCGCAGAGCGTGGGCTGCGAGTACTGCTCTGTCCGGCCGTCAGGGTAGACGTAGGTGTAGATGTTGGTGGTGCACATTGTGTCGGCGTTGGAGGGTTCTGGGCGCTGGTTGCGCGGGACAGGAGGGTTCTCCTGGATAACTACAGGAGGCAGACGATTCCTGTTGGGAAAGAGTCGAGTCTGCTCTGGTCGTGGTGTTGAAGGGTTGCTGTTACGGCGATGACGGTTGTATAAGATGTGATCAACAACGATGGGAAGCTGTTGAGACGACAGTGTGTTGGTGAGAGAAGTCAATCGAAGCTGTTGTTGCTGGAGGGGCCGTAGGTATTTATGATCCTTTTGATCCAGATGGGATTGAGTGTTTTGTTTGGTTGATTGAGAGGAGGAAGGGCCCTTGTTTATATAACAGAGAGGCCGCAGGTCAATGGAAGTTTGGTGGGATGGCGTGCAGGGACTCAAGTGTAAGCCGGCAACTGCTGAATCAGGAAAGGGTAGGGATGGATGCCTGGGGAGTGAAGAAGTCGACTGATGGACTTTGCTTGAGGGGGGTATCAAAAAGTGGAAAATATGCGGAGATGGGGTGTGTTGTTGCCTTGGGTGTTTGAGCGAGTCTGATGGATAGGAACAGGACTTTGGTTCGCCAAGCGGATCGCGATATATACATCGGGACCTGGGCTGAACAAAGATGGTGGTGTTCCCTCCGAGGCAGCCTCAGACCTCAGGGTGGGGATGGCCGTTTCTGCCTACCAGCCCTAGAAGCCAGGGTCTGTCTGTCTGTGAGTGTCTGCGCTGCGGCCACTAGACGACCCCCCTGCCACGGGCGCCAATGGCCTTGGGAATGGCCTTGTGGCCCCCAGGTCCACCATCAGGACCATGCCGATGACTCCCTCCCCAAGGTCAAGGGGACAGTCCAATGGCGGTGCCTGCTGAGCCACGGCCCATCTCGCTAGGGTCACCCCTGACCGAGACAAGAAGTTCCAAGGGTTCACCACCACAGAAGAGTAAAACACAGCCCAGTAACAGGACAAGTCCGTAGGATCGAGTTGTTTCCCGTCTGGGGGAGGGACGGGAATCGACACGGGAGACGAGGGGGACTCTGACAAGCGACGAACCAATGCGAATCTGATCAAGGGTTGGACGTAGGGCATTGACGGGTACGGTATCCCGCCAGCTGGTGAACCCATCGCCAACATTTTAGGAACCCGTCCACAAATTCGTCCAAGCGTAGGACTTTGGACATGTCATGTACCACCACGAGAGGTGGTATGCCATCTTTTGACAGTTTGCTCATGACGATGGAGGCGGCTCAAGACGCGGCCTTGGGTTGAAACGTAGAGGACACAATTGTGTTGACATGTACTGTACACCATCTTCTTTTCCTGTCTGGGTGGTGGTCTGCGCACACCATCCATGAGCAGATCCAGACCATCACGAAAAAAAAAATGGTACCTCGCAAAAAGATGCTCGGACTGCGACTCACTCGGAAAGTCCCAGACCACGCAAAATCATGTCGCCAACACCTTCTCCAACGCCGCCGTCGGCCGTCTTGTCAAAAAATCTGCATCATGGGGTCATTTTTCTCTTGTATCCGGCATTGACTCATCGAGTCTGCAGACACACAAAGGAAAGCCGATAACGCTAGAGCAAAGTGTAGACAGGCTACAGGCCACCTCCACGCCCTTGTCCACACTGGCCTCGTCCTAGAATGCGAGGACAGTACACACGCCCTCCAACCGGCGAGTCGGGAGACGGAGTGAGACAGGACTTGGGTAGGGCAGGGCGTGACTTGTCAAAGTGTACAATACGGCCCCATCGTCATGCGCGTGCTCTTTGTCGTCCCGCAATCGCAATCATTGACATGAATGTCACCCATCTCTCATTCGCCCGCAACTTGATCCATCTCCAAAGTCCGAGTCTCAACTCCAAGAGCCCCTGCAGCAGTGGGCAGTGCCTGGGGGCCCTGGAGTCCGCCTATCGAGGCTTGGACCTCGAGAGTGGACGCCTCTGGCAATTTGGTTGCGGCGCTAGAAGTCCTCTAACGCCAGAGGCGCCACATCGTCTGCCACAGCCTCAGCCCTTCCACCAGGGTATTAGAGGCTTTGGCGTGAGATTTGATCGCGATGGCTACTCAGCCTTGCATCGATCCCAGGTTTTCGATCAAGAGCTTGAGCAGAGTTTGATGATCCTGAAGGATTCATTGGATGCCTCTTCCCCTCTGACGGACATGCCGTCCTCCACCTGTCTGTCCATCATCCCGCCAAGATGCAAACCACACGGGAGCTAGATGGATGGCACAGATGCCTGTCACAACGGGACGCACAGTTCAGTTCAACGGTCACTTTAGGAAAGTCATCTTGGAAGCAGCCAGAAGCAGCCACTCTCGATTGTCGATTCGATTCGACTGCATGCGGAGCCAAGGGCGTCGTGACCTTGGAATTGAAGATGCAACATGTCGCACTACTGCGAATGGCTTCAGCGAGTGCATCACAACGCCCGCCTGAAAACTCTCCTCGTCCATACCCCGGAGAACCAAAGATCCAAATAACAATGATGCTGCCTGCCGAGACGTTTCCATTCAGGACTCAAGACATGGGCAACCGTTGACGTGCCTGGCCTCTGATCGATCCATCACGCGGCCGTTTGTGAAGGGACCTGCGTCCAACCCGGCAACTCCACAAGTCCGTGTTTGATTGGTTTGTGGCAGCCACTTCTCAAGACACGATATTCTTCAAGACGAACGCCAATCCCCATGAGCAACCTCATACAGCTCTGAATCAGAGCCCGTTCGGCTAGGAAGAACTCGGCCTGACGCGTCAGGATTGACAAGTTGCCTCTTCCTGCAGGCTCTGCTGATGGATCAAGAAAACTCGGCAGGACAGTCACCCTCTTCAAAAACGGCCCCCAACGGCCCCCAAGTGTGTGCCAGGGCTCATCACTAGGGCGATTGCCTTTTTGGCTGCCTCACGGACTAGGCCAATGAGCGGCAAGGTTGATACGGACATCGGTTCGAAATCCAGTTCAGCCTGCAGCACTTTTACGCGTCCGCACATTTGTGTCCAAAGATGGTTGCTGGTGACGATACCTGTGCTTCATTCATGGTGTTGATAGAAATGCAAGAACTCGTGGCCCCTGCTAAAGGGCCAAGAGTGGCGAGGTTCGTTTCATCAAGGATAGGTACGTACCGCCAAGGGTGGTCACCTCAAAGCGCTTGCCGAAAAGGGGAAAAGTCAGTCAGCCCTGTGAGGCAGGCACGAATGGTCTCTCAGGCAGCCGAGCTGCAAGCAAGAGCTTCTCTCAATCGCGCCTGCCTGCACTGCCCCCTCCGCATCCAGGTTCCATCATCATCGAGTTTCTCTCTTCTCGTTTACAGGCATTTTTAATAATACAGCATCCCCTGGTCATGATGCTTACTTTTTCGCTTGATAATAAAAGTCACAGGGGGCCTCATGAAACTGATCAGCCTCTGGGATGCCTCCCAAGTCCTGGCCCCCAATGTCTCGAGTCCCGAAGAGCTGGGACATTTTGTGAATTGACGCGCGCTTCTTCAACACCCACGCAAAAGTAAATTTAATTAAATTGCAAATGTTTCGGGTTGGGCCGTTGATTCTGGCTAACAAACCGTTCCCTCGGGTTCACCAAGCGCCGTCATGAACTGACAGTTGGATGATCGATCAACCAACACAACCGTACCTGGTAGTCAATTCCGTCGAGTGTGGGAGTGGCCGTATTTGGAGGCCATGACAACTGCACATAATTTGACTCTATTCCCATCATTCTTTCGCCTGCAGCCAACATGTTTGAGATATTTGCGGCTCTTCCCATGTCCAACTCGTGATTGGTGATCCTCTCGCCAGCCCTTCAGTTTTCGTCAGCAACCACTTTAGTTCTAAACATATACAAGCCAGCGGTGGCAATTCCGATCCTCCGTTGACATTTTCCGATAATAGATGCCTGTTCTATTTGGGGCTCCTTTTCTCGGCCGCGTTTCATGTGGCCCATTGTCCGCGCGGCAAAATCCAGCACGCGACGCCTTCAACTCTAGGGTAGTGCTATTTCAAGCCGAGTAGCACTTCGTCAGCTCAGTGGCGGTTGAGATGGAAAGTCACAGAAGCGTGATTTCGGCTTTTGCCATGTTTTCAAATATTCACACGAGAAGGGCTTACAGATTTGTCTTTATCTTGTTGCCAATATTAGCAACATGGCTATTTCAAATCCCATGCAGACAAATCGTAGGCATCGGATCTTACGCGTAAACTTGTAGCTACACTCTCCAATTGAAATCAATGTCAAAGAATCCCTTCTCAGGTACTTTGAAGTGAGAACATGGCACCGGCTTCTTCTGAGAATCTAGAAATCCACCTCTATCGACTCCCTCATTGCCAATTCGATTCCCCCACCAATCCAATACCACCCCTGGATGCTGCAGCGCAAAGTACATGACCAACCCGGAGATTCCAATGGCCGCGCTGAATGAACTCGTCAACACGTACGCGTACTTTTCCCACCACTCCGTGTACCGTCGTTTGATGTAGTAGTTGAAGACGAATGCCAACAGAACGCCTCCTTGGATGTAGCTCCAGTTGAAGGGTGCCCATCCCAGTGGTCCAGCCAGAAAGATGGGTGAGTTGACGTTCTTCCAGAATGATCGTGGCCACCGTTTTCCAAGGTAGTAGACGACAATTGGAAAGACAAGGCCAAGCGGCATGAGGTATGTGATGACAGCGTAGGGAGCTCCAGGACCGAATAAACGTCTGGGACCGATACATCCCCACATAACTGTCGACATGAAGAAGGAATGTGTGTGAGGACAAGTGAAGCGATCTTTTTGTCTCTCTGAACAAACATCGTCAACGTTGCGTAGAACCCAGTGGTTGACTCCAAGCGCGACAAAACCTGCTAGGACAGTCGCCCAGACCTGGGCTGCAAATGCCCACCGGGGAGGAATCTTTGCGTAGTGGGCTAGCTTCAGATCTGAGAGGAAGTTGACGGATTGGTGTGTCGACATGAAGCTGAACATTTTGAAGATCATGTTTGGGATTGCTCTCCCTTCTAGGACGTAGCCGCCAATGACCATGGCT